GGAAGGGTTGATCGGGGAACTGATCCCTGAACAGGCAAGCAGCCTGGAGACAGGGTTCTCAACCCTAGTCCAGTTTCCTTCCCTTGCCTGCCTGCCCTCGACCATCAGATGGGCCCCAGAGAACTCGGAGAGAACTAGAAGAATGAACGTTGAGGAAGGCAGGGTGTGTGTTCTCCAGGCCACCCCTTGAGAAGGCCTGAAGACTAAAGGCGGCACTCCAGGGCCAGGAGCCTGAGGTCTGGGAGCTCAGCACAGGTCAGGGCGCTGGGGCTTAGCTAGGAGATCTCTCCCCTCAGGATGTGTTCTGCCACAGGGGACAGGAAAGTCCATGAGCTGAGGAAAGACAGAAGGTGGCTTCCACAGGAGGTGACACAGGTCACTAGAGCTGACCAAAGTGACGTGGAGGGCGTCCCAGGCAGGACCAGCAGTGTAACAGCGGAAGGCCTGGTGGTGAGCAAGAGCCAATTTCCGGGAGCTGGTGAGAGAAACTCCAGCAAACTCAAAACTCACCCTTTGTGGGCAGCTGCTGGGCATTGAAAGTGGGGGGCTTCCAAGATGTTACCTGCCCTCTGAGTGAGATAACTGTTATTGTCTCTAATGTATACAGAGAGGAAATTGAGAGCCGCAGAAGTGAAGCCATTGCCTGAGAAGTGGTGGCCTTAGGATTTGACCAAGACTGGGGCTGCAGAGTCTAACCTCGGATCCCCGCCTGGAGCCCCATTTGGTGCTGCTAGTCTTCCTGTCTCTCCTATGGCTGGGCCTGCTGGGACAGAGCATGGCCACCGCCTCCCCACCGTACCCCTTTGCAGCCCGGGCCCTCCCTCCCTCCACCAGGCCCATGTGTTTAGCAGTTTGCACACGTCCAGTGCCTGGGGATGGACTGATTGATCTGTAACACTGAAAAAAATAATAATGGCTTGATCGTTACCGAGGATTAAAAGTAATCCTTTCGCTGTGGCTATTGCAACTCCGTTATTCACGAGTCAGCGGGCTGACACAGGCCTTGGAGCCCATAGGAGTCCATGAGCTCAAGGAGGCTGCCTGCCCCCACCTTGATATTCCTCACCTTGGCTATGCAGCTGGGGAGCTCGAGGGCCCTGTGCATCCCATGTTCTTAGAACCTGTGGTTCCCAGGGTCAGAGCTGAGCCCTGGAAGCGGGAGAAGAACTGGCACCTCCTGACCAGGTGCCGGATTTGGGAATGGGATGGGAGAAGGGGGCAGCTTCTCAGAACCATGGCCCGATTTGGAGACCTTCACAGTGTCAGCTTGGTGCCCACATTCCCATCAGCCTTTGATTTGCTATGAGAAAGGACAAGATCTAGTTGTTCCCACACCCAGCCCCAGTCAGCTCTGTGAGGTACGGTAACCTCAGCATAGCCTCTCTGGGGTCCTCTGAGGAAGGTCTTGGTCCCAGAGAAGGTGCTGGGTCGCTGGATGAGAAAAGAGGGCACAGCGACTGCCTGAGGCCCAAGGCCATAAGAGCGGAATTGCTGGGTATTGGTGGACCTCATAGAGGATGACTTGGGACATCTGTCATGGGCAGTGTCAGGTGAATTCAATGGTCAGGGTCAGGGTCAGGGTCAGGGTCTTAGCCCAACTCAGATTCTGCCCTTAGACAGGCTGTTTACTGTCTCAGCACCAGAGTACCTTTATCTGTCAAGGACTCACAATAGGACCCTGTCAGACAGATGAAGTAGCAGATACTGTCACTGGCCTGAGGTGGGGGAGGTGCCTGACATGCAGGAGAGTCAGAGCTGCAAGTTCATGGTCACAGTCATCATGATTAACTGGACTTCACTTGGTTCTGCTCAACACCCAGGAAGCCAGACTCAGTCCCATCCTCTGGAACTCTGAGACTTCCTGGACAGACAGAATCCATGAGATGGGCAAATAAAAACCCCTGAATGGCCCAGGTTCATTCCTAAAGCATAGCCAGTTCCCAGTGCCTCCTCCAGGAAGCTTTCCTAACACTCTTGTGTTCTCATGGCTTCTTACACCTATAGCACTAGCACCTCTGCCTTGTGTGATTCTACCTGTTACTTGTCTGTTCTCACCTCTGCACTGTGAACTAGTCACCTCTAGTGAAAATGTGGGGTGAATAGACACACAGCGAGGCTCTAGGCAAAGCAGTTTGTTCACAGGCACTGGGAATGATCCCCAAAGGCTGGACCAGGCTCATGAGAGCCCAGCACGAAGGGGCTCAGAAAGCCTTGGAGAGAGACAGTGAGAACTGGCACCGCCTGCTGGGCTCTGAGCCAGCCGGGGCCAAAGGAACATCAGTGACACACTCATCCCTTGGCAGGAGAGGGTTTTCCTCTTGGCACTGAGATGACACTAGCTTATAGTGGGTGGAGGTTGGCAGTGGGCCTCTGGACCCTTAACCCTGCCCTGGGGATCTCCCTGCTGTTGTCCAGGTGGAAAACCTGCTGGGCTGAAATGCAGAGTCCCACAGAGGTGCCTCTCAGGTCTCTGTGCAGACTTCACCTTCCCTGTGTAAACCCTGCTGTGGGTGGAGGAGATACCTACACAGAACGATGGGAATGTCTGGGGCCAAGGAGTCTCTCTGGTGGACTGAGGTTTTAAAAGCTTATGAGTGATAATCTAAGATGCAGCTATTGGTCTCTCCTTTCCCAAATCTCAGGCGGACAATTAATTCAAAGGATAATGAACCACAGTCTTTTGTTGCCTGAGACCAGGAGACCTAGATGGTGCCCAGTTACCACTACTGAGCCCTCGGATTGGAATCATAATAGAAGGTTCTAGACTGAGGAAGAAAATGTAGGACAAAATTCAGAATCATACAAAAAACTTCAGTTTACGTGTCTGATAAGAGACTATGGAACCCTTAGACGTCAACACTTAGACATCCTTCAGACCCAGGACCGAACTCGCTCCAGGGCTCACCATACAATCAAATAGGCATATAAAATTATCCAACTACCAATCCTTCTTCTTTATTTCCAACTTTTGCATTCCAGTCACCAATTATTATTATTAACACATCTTGACTGCATGTTCGGTCCCTTTCAGACCACAGAAGTTGGTAGAAATCCTCTATTTCTTCATCTTTGGCTTTAGTAGGTGTATTTGAGTAATAGTCACATTAACAGCTCTCCCTTGTATGTGGATGGATATTATCGTCCCACTGACAGCATTGTACTTCAGGACAGATCTTGAAATGTTCTTTTTGACAATGAATGTTTTATCATTCCACTTCAATTTGTCATTCCTGGTGCAATAGATCATGATTGTCTCATTCGAAATAGCCAATACTAGTCCATTTTGGTTCACTAATGCCTAGGATATTGATCTTTATGCATTCCATTTCATTTTTGACAACTTTCAATTTTCCTAGATTCATACTCTGTACATTCCACATTCCAGTTATTAATGGATGTTTGCAGCTGCTTCTCCTCATTTTGAATCATACCACAACAGCAAATGGAGGGCCTTTGTTGGGTGAAAGCTTTACTCTGTCTACATCATTAAGGTAGACTCTACTTTGAGGGGGCAGCTCTTCCCTACTTGAATTTCTAGTGTCTTTCGCCCTGACAGACTCATCTTCTGGTACTATATCAGACAATGACCCACTGCTATTCCTAGAGGTTTGTGAGGGAAGTAGAAGTAGGTGGCCAGTCCTCCTCCTTCGTCTGCCTTAGTCTGGGAGCTCCATTGAAACCAGTCCACCACTAGGCGACTATGCCTTTGAAATATCAGTAGCATTGTTTCTAGCATCCCAGCAAGACACAAGCCACCTCAGTATGGTAAACTGGCAGGTGAGTGGTAAATGAAGAGTAATGTGCAATCAGGATTAGAAGAAGACTCGTCAACAACCTGTAGTGCACAGATGACACAGCTTTGCTTGCTGAAAGTGAAGAAGGCTTGAGTTACTTACTGAAGAAGATCAAAGACTAAATTCTTCAGTATAGATTACACTTCAACATAAAGAAGACACAATCATCACAACTGGACATGATAAATGGAGAAAAGATTAAAGCTGTCAGTTACTCCATTTTACCTGAATCCACAATCAACATCTATGGAAGGAGCAGTCAAGAAATGAAAAGATGTGTTGCATTGGGCAGATCTATTGACAAGAATCTCTTCAAAGTGCCAATGAGCAAGAATGAAATTTAAGATTAAAATGTTCCTGACCCAAGCCATACATGATATTTTCAGTTGCTACATGTGCATGTGAAAGTTGGACAATGAATAAGAAAAAATGAAAAAAAAAAGAATAGATGCCTTTGAATTGTGGTGTTGGCACACCACATGGACTGCTGAAGGAACAAGCAAATCGGTCTGGAAGATGGGCTGCCAGGGTTCTCCTTAGAGGCCAGGGTGGTGAGACTTCATCTACACATTTTGGGTATGTTGTCAGGAGGGGCCAGACCTTGTTAGCTGACATCACGCTCAGAAAAGCAGAGGGTCAGAGAAGAAGAGTAAGACCCTCGATGAGATTAACAGGCACAATGACTGCCACACACTGGGCTCGCACACAACAGAGATTGTAAAGATGGTGTGGGATTAGTCAAGGTTTCAATCTCTCGTTCACAGAGTCATATGAGATGGAGTCACCTTGACAGCATTGAACAGCAAAACAAAGTGAACAGAATCACCTCTGAGGAATGTATTCCCCAGAATAATCAACTAACCAAGACCAAAAAGACAGCAGTTGTTGGGGAAAAAAACAAGGTTGAGAAGGCAGAAATGAAGAACAAACGGAAACAGGGAACGCAGGGAGGAAGTGAGGGAATGTAGTTGCATGCATTGTCGATGTTGCAACCAATGTCATGAAACAGTTGTTGAATGGAGAACTTATTTGCTCTAAACTTTTACACCAATCACAACAAATTGTTCCTCCCTAAAAGGAAGTCTGGCATGGAAGGTCCCTGAGATAGCCTGGCCCAGGGTGGGTTGGTGGGCCGAGGAGGTGGGAGAGGGCATGGAGCAACCTTCCTTCCCTCAGCCTCTGACCTCCCTGTTCTCTGTCCCTCAGAGGCTGGCTGACGCTGCAGAGAACTTCCAGAAAACCCACCGCTGGCAGGACAACATCAAGGTAAGAACCAAGACTCCCCAGTGCCTGCCCACCGAGAAAGGGTGGATATGAAGGGGGGGTAGATGCCCAGACACTGGAAGGGCACTGAGGGGTCTATGGACAGAAGCTAACACCTTTGCGGCAAACACCCAAGGCTCTCCCACAGTGCTGGGGCATGGTGGGTGGGATGCAGACATGAGCTCCCATATCCTGAGAGGGACGTGGGGTGGCTCATGATATACTGCTCTAAAGGGGCATCTCTCAAAGTTGCTGTTGCTACAGCAACTGGAGGTGGACAGATCCCTTAAAAGGCCATGGGCCAAAGAGGCCATTTAGAGAGAAGAACGGTCTTTTAGAATCTTTAATACACTGACTGCGAGAGACATTCTAAGAGGAGGATGTACCCTTCACAGATGTTCCCCACACTCCCAGGACCCAACCCATCTCCCTTTCCCCATTCCAGTACCTGGAATGGTGAAATACAGACCCCTATGCCTCTTCAACTTCCTGATCCCAAATATAAATGACAAGAGCCAGAATATCTCTTATCTGCTACTGGGACCATAATGGTGTGTCTTCTCTGGGGACCAGGCCATTTCCAGAGTGACCATTTTCTATGAGTTCCTTGATCCCAGATGGGAGGGCAGAGGTGATCACACCCATATGACAGATAAGAAAGAGAGACTAGAAAAAGGTGGGCTTACCCAAGGTCTCCCAGTGAGTCAGGGACATGGTGAGTTGAAATTCCAACTCTCCAGGCCCGGTGCTCTCCACTGGGGAAGGAGGTCTGATGAGTACCCATTTTACTGATGAGAACACTAAGACATAAAGTGGTTAGACCTTCCTGAGTTACCTGTTGATGGTAGATGTGCATGGCCAGGCTGCCAGGTGCCAGGGGGTTCAGGGCTATGAGCCAGGTTTCTTTCCCAAACCTGCTCCTTCTCCCAAGAGCCCATCCCTTGAGCCTTGCTGAGCCACCTTGCTCCAACAGTGAATTCTCTCTTCACTCCCTAGTAGCTGGGCGCTCATTTTATTGGGAGACAGGCAGATGGATAATAAGCTAGTGACCCTTGAGATGATTCCAACTCCCCAGGGACCCAACTCATATCCTTTTCCCCATCCCAGCACCACCACCAACCACCGGGCCCCTGGGCTTCCTCACCCACATATGAATGGTGACAATCAGGCTATCTCTCATCTGCTACTGGGACCATAGCCCTCACCTCCAAATAACCCAGGCCATGGCACCCAGCCGGTTCTGGCCCCTGGTCCTCTCTCACTCCATAACATTCCTCACTCCATCCTCCTAGACTCCAGCTATACTAGATATCTCCAGGGCCCTCCCAGTTTTATGTCAGATCTTTGCTCAGTCTGACTATTGCACTCAAAATGCCCCCAGTTCCTCCTTAGAGCCTAGCTGAGCTGTCCCTTCCCTGAGAGGCTACTGCCCAGCTCATCAGCCCCTCTGTCCTCCACACTCTGGGCTTCCAAGACACTGTGCTGTGTCCCCACATTCGTTCCTAATATGCCTGCTTCTCCTCACTCACACGCACCTCTTGAGACAGCTGTACCCTGCAGGTAAGGAAGGATGCATGAAGGACTCGGGCCTCCCAGTCGGGGCCCCACATGGACACAAAGAGGCTGCCTCGGTCTCAAACTTGTTTTCTTTCCCTGAATGCTGAAAACCAAGATTTCAAAGAGTCTCTTCCTAGCTCCCTGACCTCTGATTTTCAGCCCTCCATGTCAGAGGCAGCTTATACCAGACCCACTCCCCCGTCTGGGAAAGGGCCTCCCAGTGCTGGTGCTTGCTGCCTGTCATCTCTGACGCCTGTGAGAGGGCCGGTCACACATCAGCCATACGGATCAGTGATGGTCCATGGGTTTGCCTGAGTGTCCCAGCCCCTTGGACCCTGAGTGCACCTGTCTTGAGGTGCAGAGAGGGGAAGCTTCTCACCTGCCCTGGGAATGACCACAGGCAGCATGTATCTGCTACACACACACATACACACACACACACACACACACACACTCTCTCTCTCTCTCTCTCTCTCTCTCTCTCTCTCATGGCCAGCCAGACTTAGCCTTCCTCGCCGATGCTTGTCACCACACAGTCTCGTCAGCCCGCCTACCTGCCACCTGTGTGTCTCACTGGTGTTTCAGGCAGGGGTATGGTTGCGGTCACCCCCTCCTCCCCCAGCTACAGGGTCACTGGTCTTCCCAGGAAGCACTGCAGCTGCCACAGCCACCAGCCTGAAAGGCATTAGCACTAATGGTGGGCGCATTAGCCAGCACACCGGCCACTCTGCCTGGGCTGCCAGGGAGCGCTGGTGGCCGCTGCCAGCGGGGGCTGTCGGCTGGGAAAGAGATCATGGTTTGTCCCTCGTCAGCACATCACCCACCTCTTTCCCAATGACCTTCAGGAGGTGACAGATAAGAAACCCTGTTCCTCCCTAGCCTCAAACTAAAGATCTAAGCCACACCTTCTCCCAGGGTGCCCTGACCCCCACCTTCAACAGGGTAAAGCTTTTCTCTCTAGACACCAGCCTAAAGCTCCTCTTTCTGGCCCCAATCCTAAAAATGGGCCCGGCCGCCCACAGCACCCACCTTTGATGCCTCTAGCACAGACAGCTCCCCCCTCAGGCTGCCCTAGGGCTCACCTGCCTGTCCTGCAGGTTGGAAGCAGCCAGGCCTGGCTCAGCACACTCCTGTGAGCAGCCAGGTGCCCTGGAAACAATGACCAGGAACAGCTAGGCTTCAATCTGCTTACGAGGAGAATGGTACCCAGCAGTGCTGGACCCAGAGGAGATGTACATGAGGCCACACTAGAGGCCATTGTCCCTCAGTACAGCGTGGCCCTTCCTGCATCCACAACACAACAGTGTCTGCCTGCAGACGACGGAGAAACTGACAGTACTGCCCACCTCCACCCACCCCACACCACCAGCCAGGGGCAGAAGGACCCCTGGAGTCTGCAGGGTCAGACTGGGATAGGAGGGAAAGGGGATGTATCTGACCCCTCCCCAGTCTCAGTCCATGGCCCCACACACTTGATTCCAATAAACACAGCCCTGGCTGACCCAGACCGTGGGACTTGAGAGACCATGGCCTCCCGCTCCCGGTGAAGAGCACCTCTCAGGGCCTAACAGACAGGCAGCAGGTGCTCCAGTGCCTATAACACTTATTGCAGATGAAGATAGCCGCCCGCTGGACACCATGCATGGCGCCAGCACCACACAGTGCCAGCATCGTCTGCCACCCAGTCCGCTGCCAGAGAGGAGCTGGACCAGAGTGGGGGAGGGAGAAGAGGCCATTGTCTCCAGGGCCTCTGACACCTCTGGGAGACTGATGGAGAGGCAGCTTTGTCCTGGGGGGGGATCTAATAGTGTAGAAAAGCCATGTCCTAGAGGATCTAATAAGGAACTCCAGCAATTCAAATCCACCAGTCTGAGGGAGAAAGGTGGACAGTCTCCCTTTTTTATTTTTTTATTTTCCATTCATTCATTCATTGTTGCACACTTTCCTCTCGGCCCACCCCTCCCCCCAGTTCACTTTTCTCTTTGACAAGTATAAAAAAAAATTTCATTGTTATACAATCCCCTCCCCCTGAGTCCACTCCACTATGCAGGTTTCATTCTGGACTCTTGTCATGACAATAATACCTAATCAGATAGTCCTCCTAAACAGTACTCTCCCTCATCTGTTTTAATGCAATATATTGATTATATATATAAAAAAAATTTATCCCCTCTTAGTTTACCCCCAACTCCAGTGTCAGCCCCACTTTACAATAGTGGCACTATGCAGTATTTGTCCTTTTGTGACTGAGATTTCACTCAGCATAATGTCCTCCAAGGTCACCCATTTTGTATAATATTTCATGAGTTCCTCTGGAGACTTACAACCTAGGAAACCTGATAGAGGGTCACTATGAGTCAGAATTTACTTTATGGCAGTAAGTTGGTTTTATTTGGATAGGTCTAGTCGAGGAGGCAGTCCTGTTCTGGGGAGTCTGATGGGAGAGGCAATAGTATCCTGAGGAGTCTGATGGGGGAGGCAGCCTTGTCCTGGGGAATCTGATGAGGGGGCCAGTCCTGTCCTGGGGGCTCTGATGAGGGAGGCAATCCCTTTTAGGGGAGTCTGACTGGGGAGGCAGCTCTGTCCTCGGGAGTCTATAGGGGGAGGCAGCTCTGTCCTCGGGAGTCTATAGGGGGAGGCAGCTCTGTCCTCGGGAGTCTATAGGGGGAGGCAGCTCTGTCTGGGGAATCTGTGAAGGCTGAGCCAGATCAGAGGAGCTGGCTGGACAGGACAGGTGGCCGCCCCGGCCTGAAGGCCTGCCCTAGCCATCGGGCCCGCTGCCTGCTCCTCTGCCAAGCCGGCGACAGACGGCTCTCTCGGAAAACAGTCCTCTTGGCCGAGCTAGGCTGGCAGTGGGCCAGGGCAGGAAGGCTAAGCATCCTTACTGGCACAGCCAGGGCTGGCCGGGGCCCTGCACAGGGGGCTGGTGGACAGGACTAGTCACGTCTGGCCAGGCCATGGCAGCCGCCCTGTAACACTTCAAACAGATGAAAACTACTGTTCCCCATACTCACCCCACGCTCGCTCCCCACCTGCCCACACCCCTTGTGCCCTCTCCAAAGGACATGTATGTATCACCTTAGCCTGGCCATGGAGGGCTCCCAGCCCACCCACACATGCCATCCATGTGTACACAGGGAGTGGGGTGGATGTGTGTGTTCAGCGACATGACACCCTCCATACTCTGCCCAATTTGAGCAAAATAGCCCCTAAAATACAGGTAACTGAGGGAGGTGGAAGTATCAGCGACTCCAGTGGCATAACCCTGTGCCACTGCTAACCAGAAGGTCAGCGAGTCGAATTCACTAGCCAGTACTTGAGAGAAAGATGGGCAGCCTTCTGTTAAGATTTACAGCCTCAGGGAGCTCTGGTGGCCTAGTGGCAAGAAGCTACACTGCAATCCCAGAGGTATGTGGTTTGAATCCACCAAATGCTCTGCTGGAAAAGGAGGGACAATCTCCTCCTGTACCAGTCAGATCCAATTTGAAGGTACACACACACACACACACACACACACACACACACACGAAATAATAAAATTTTAAAAAATATTTACAGCCTCAGAAACACGGTAGAAGGTCACTCTGAGTCTGAATCAACTTGATGGCAGTGGAACTTTTAGTTCTGGAAGGGGGCTGTCAGACTTGGGGACTACAGATGTTGAAGACCCTCTTTTGCCCCACTCAGGAGGTCCCTTCCACACTTAAGCCCCTCCTGTGGGACCAAAGGTGCAAATGTGAGCAGGTCCAACCCTGGGTAGAGTCCCAGTCCTCTCCGCACCCTCGAGACTAGGTGTCATCATCCTGAGTTCGCAAATGAGACTATCGGGACCTGGAAGTCAAGCCTTATGGAGGCTGTATGACCTGGCCAGGCGCCCCGGGAGTCTGATGACCCCAGGAGTCCTTGTGGAGCCACTGAGCTGACTTGTGGGATAAAGCTTTTGAAGTTTCAGCTTCAGTTTCTACTTACGGCTCAGAAGCTCACATGAGCCCAAGTCAGGACTTGAACCCAGGCCCCTTTGTCAGCACCTTACCAAATAATCATTAAGTAGCAGGACTGCCTCGTTGTTATTTAACCCAGGAGAAGAGGGACAAATGGTGGTCACTCAAACACTGTACAGCCTAGAGAAGATCCAGAGGTTTTCTCAGGGACCTTCCTACCTCAGCCCTACCAGCCCCATCCTGCCACACCCCTGCTCCACATCATGTCACAGAAGCTTGCTGTGTTTACAGTGTATTTTTATATATGTGACCTTCCCTCGCCACTGTTTCAGGCTACTTCCTGAAGGTGGTGGGGATCGGAGAGAGAGAGCTCTTCCCCTTGCAGCCCTCTCCAAGCCTGGAGACAGAAAACACATCCAGATTCCTGAGACTTTTCTGTCTCCAGAGAACTGGAAATCCTCCAGTTTGACATGAATGCCCCGCCCCCACCCTTTCTCTGATGCCACCAATATCTTGAACCTCTGCTGAGACCCGGAAACAGCAGGACAGAGACCTGTAGCCATTGGAGCAGCTAGAAGGATGGTCCGAGTGAATAGCAGGGTCACCCAGGGTTGGCTCAGGGCAGGAAGGTCCCAGCTACCACCTTTGAGAGGAACCCAGGGTACCTGGAGTCCCAGAGTGACCAGCCCCCACCCAGTGCCCTTTCCTGTCCTTGTGAAAGGTTCTCTTAAAAAGTTGGCAAGTAAAGCCCCGTGTTCTAATCTGCAGTCCTCCCATCGCGCCCGCCTGTTTTCATTACGGAGGGAAAGAGCATCAGAGCCGTGTTTATAACCCCCTTTTAGATAACAAATCACATTTTCTTTTCGCCAGCGAGTGTGTTGAATTGATATTTTTTTCCCCTCGGTTTAATGGGTTTGTGTGTTCAGGAATGATCTTCATCAACTGAAACTCCTTATTGTGTTTGATGTAATGTCAGCTTTCATTATGTGCTGAGGTCGGAGCCGAGCGCAGGGAAAGGCCGCACAACCTGGAGCCCGGGGGCCCCGCCACAGCCCACTGGGGTCTGGGCTTCCTGGACTGGTGGGTGGGTGAATGTGGGAGGGGTTGGAAATGAATCCGTGATGTTAAGCATTTCTTATCCTTAACTTCGTTCCCTCATTTGTATAATGAGGGTCACGGGGCTGTTAGGACCCAGTGACTCAATCTGTGGGATAGGGACTGTGAGTCACCTTTGGTCTAATGTCATCAGGAGGCTGTGTTCTTCCCAAGCACACCACCGAGCAGACAGGTTTCCAGAATGTTTGCACTACACCTGCGTGTCCAGCAGTGACCTGCACCCCGAAGGTCTCCTGTGAGAGACCACCACCCCTCAGGGACTGCTTCCAGCACAAACCTCAATGCTAACTGCCTTGGGCCATGACCTAAGACTCTGGTTCAAGGCCAAGGGCCTCCCTGATAGATGAGCCCCAGAGAGGGAGCCCTCAGGCCTGCAGAGGTCACACAGAGCAGGCAGGGCTCCACAAGGTCTTGAGGCTGTCAAGGTGACCTTCAGCACCTGAAGAACAAATGCTGTCTCAATGCTTTTGCACTCTCAGGCAGGAGTGGTCAACACCCTCATTTTCAGAGCACAAAGAAATGGCCTCCTGATGAAGCAGAGACTTCTCGATGTGCTTCAGGGGCTGGCTGCACAAAACAGGCCTGCGAGTACCTGGGGAGGGTTCCTTGGACAGCTGCCCTGTCCGGGGTCCCGGCCCTAAGGGGGGTGGGGGACAGTCCCTTCTGGGTGAGTGGCACTCGTTGGCACCAGGCTCACCTTCTGGCGGCCTCTGACAGCCGAGCTGGGTTCTGATTAAAGATCATTAAACATGAAATTAGCCCGTTTATGTTACGGGTCCCCGGGGCGGCCGGTGATTATGACGTGCAGATGGCCGAGAACCCAGGCGGCAGGCATTGGGGGGCCCTGGCCAGGACGGGCGGGGTGGCACGCAGGGTGGGTGGGGGCCAGGGAGCAGGCGTGCGGGCCCGGCTTTGTTTCTTCCCACTCCTGTTGTGTAAACCCCCTTGCATTTCACAACAAATCACAGATAATTAATAAGTACATGCCCGTAATGAGCAGGCTTTTTAATAGAAGAAATTGGAAGATGCGGCGGCGAGTCATTATTTCACTTGGGCCCAGACTAAGCTCTGTTTTTCTATCTCCCCACCCCCCACCCCACTGCACCCTTCAGCCAGCATCTCTCTATCAGGGGGCCTGCACTGAGTCAGCCTCCCAGAGGGCTCCAGTGCAGGGACCCCTTCTCTGAGTCAGGAAGCCCGGAGGGATCCCCAACCTGGAACTTTATCCTCCAGGAGCCTGTGGGGGTGGAGTTGGGCCCCTCAGCACTGACTCATCCAGCCCCCCAGGACGGTGACTGTGAAGGGGCAGAGAGGCAGTCTGTGCCTCAGGACTACTAGAGGAACCTGAGGTGACCGTTCAGGCCTTGATATTGGAGTCCTGGCTGCATCTCAGGGGAATCTTGGGCTCTGAATGCTGAGGCCTCTCTCCAATCCCTCCCCACCGCAGGAGGAAGACATCATGTACTATGACGCCAAGGCTGACGCGGAGCTGGTGAGTGCCCGCCTCCCCCACCCCCGCCTGCTGCACCTCAGGGTGGGGGCAGTGTGAATGCCATACTCCCTTTGGGCCTAGGAAGGGTCAGCTGTAAAATGGATGTTAGGATTCTTCATTTGGCATCCTGTGGGGACACAGAGCCACCATCACTCATATCTACAACCTCCCTGACTCCTCCAGAGCTGTGTTCTGGTGGCCACTAATGGACAGAGCCTCACTGCACAAGATGGGGAGAACCCAGCTCCAACCACAGGCCAGGTGGTGGTGAGGCCCTTGGACCCACCCCCCAAAAGTAAAAACACACACACAGAACAGCTGATAAGTTGAGCATCAAAGCGGTCTTTCTGAGCACGCACTGGGAGAGTTGGAGAGGAGCAGTAGGGGAGGGCTTCCTGGAGGAGGCGTAGCACTAAGTGATGTCCAAGTACATCTCCAGTACAAGTTCCCTTTCCTGTACCAAGGGGATGAGCAGCTTCCCTGTACTGAGCACCAGATCCTGCCTGGCTTGGCCTGAGCTCAGCTAGTCCCTTACCATTGTCGAGGCAACTGGGGATCCGTGTGCCTGTTCTTCAGATACAAGAGAGGGCTCTAGTCAGCTGCAGTCACTCTCTTCAAAAGTGGTGGCTCTGGGACCCTAGTCAACAGAGGACTCATGGAGTATGGATGACTATTTGAGAGGATGTTGAGGGTGACAAGAATGTCAAAGGACACTGTTGGTAGATAATGTTAAGTGAAACTGTCAAGGCCTGAGCCCCATTGCCTGTCTTCATGACAAAGATCTTGGACCCAACTGCCCCTTTTGTGACTAGAGATATCACCACAGCACAGTCTCTGGGATGCCCATATCCCCAGCCCCATACTGGCTGCTGTAGGACACCCAGAATCTCATCTTCCTCTTCTGGGCTTACTGGCCTCGGAGTGTTTACTGGGGCTCGGAGGAGGTGTCCAATAGTACAGCAAGAGGAGAAGCAAAGAAAAAAAAACCCAAAAACCAAAAAACAACAAACCTCTCTCAGGGTCTGCAGGCCAGGTCGGGCTGGCTGAGCCTTTGGGAGGGCAGGCGGGCAGGGGGTCTGAGCAAGAGGGGTGGGTGGGCTCAAGCAGGTGTGCTTCCCCTTGGCTGAGCCTCTGTGGCTCCCAGAGAAGTTGCTAAAATTAAAGCTGGAATCTGAAATTCAAATGAAGAGCGAACCTTTAATTAGACCCTGAATCTAATTCCTTACCCCCCTCAGCAGCGGGCTGTAATTTTAGCAATCAGTGCATTAAATATAAACCAGGAGACTGCATTCGCCCACCATACAAAGCCCCTGAGCTCTGGGGTGGCACTGAGGGGCTAGCTGGCCAGCTGGCCCCACCCTCATGCCCCCTCTATGAACTCCCTGTACCCCAAATTGTGTCCCAGTCCCCTAGTCCCTGGCTTCAAATTGTTGACTTCCTGCTTCCAGTCCTTTGGACGTCTGCTGGAGACCTCAAGACTGCCCAAAACTTCACGCCAGGGTTTTGGGCCAAGGTCAGCAAGCTAAAACACAGCCAGGCCGATCAGACCACGGTATTAACAACAGCACGCACACGCTTGCCGGCGACCGTGCTTCTTGTGTTGTTTTGTTTTTTTAATCTTTGCCAGAGGTACAGTTAGAGATCTTTCTACACCATTTACTTTTAAATTACCAGCCAGAAGGTGGGGGTGGGGGAAAGAGAAAGGAAGGGAAAAAAGTTCGCCAGCTGATAGCTTATCAGAACGGAATCCAAATGTCACATTAGTTGGGAAAGTTGGGAGATTAAATTTTCCAGCGCCCTTCATCTGCTGCTGACATTTCGGGGGCTTTCTTCTCCTGCCCGCCCCCTCCTCCAAGCAGAACGTGAGTGGCTCACGCCTCACAGGCAGCGGGCTCCCCACTCACTTGGACCTCCCTGCTTAGCAGCTGCCTGCCCTGGCTTTTACCTGGCACCCAGGCCTCCCGGGTGTCCTCAGGGGTGTGCCAGGGCCGCAGAGCACTGACACACGAGGAAAGGGGCAATGGAAGAGTAGCAATTTGGGTCTGCCACACAAAACCCACCCTTGAAGAAGTTAAAAAAGGGTGGCTGTCTACAAGTCTCTCAGAAACAAGCCAACCCTATTGCAGGCCAGGCCACTGCCTTGTGCATGCAGGCACCTCTCTCTGACCGGCCGGGGAACCAGGCGACTGTGGCCACATCACTTCTTAGCCTGAATAAAGCACAGCCTGGGAAAACACCTGGGGTGGGGACATGAGGGGCGTGCCCAGGACACAGTGGGTCAGCTGGAAAGTAAGGCCCTTAGCGGGAGAGGAAACAAGGCAAACTTGGGGTGGCCAGAGGTCTTGAGAGAGCATAGGGTAGTTTAGACCCTTGGATCCCCTCCTTTGAGGGCATGAAACCCCCCAGCTCTGCTCTCTGTCCTGTCTCAGCCACTCTCCTTATCTGGAAAAGCCTCGTCAGTCTGGCTTTTTCTACCTTTTCTCTCTCTCTCTTTCCCTTCTCTCTGCCACCATCTTCCCTCCCCCCTGCACACCTGCACCCGTGCCTGCCACCCCCCCTCGGCTGCGGCATCCACACTGCAGTCGTAGACCCGCTCCTGCCAGCCTGTGGTGGTGGGCGGGGGCGCATGGCGCATGCCCAGCCTGCCCGGCTGAGAGATGCCATAATTGGCACCTGTCAGACGGCTGCAGCTCATTTTAGAAAGTCAACGGGAGCCCTTATCGTCCTGCTGCTAGCAGGCGCCATGGACCCGCCATCCAGAGGCCACTAAGTCTAAATGCTTTCCCCACCCAGCCCAGCTCTCCTGGACTACTGCCCCCACTCCAGCTCAAGCCCTGGGCCCACCCTACTGCCAGAGCTGGTGCTTCTGTCTGTATGGGGCGAGGGCCCACTCCCACTGCCAAAGGAACACTGGCTAGGGGGTGGGGGACACAGAGCTCCTGGGAGGGGTGTCAGGGCTTCCTGTGGTTGCAGAAGGTGCTGTCTTAGAAGCAGCCCAACCCTTCTAAATGTGTTTGCCCCTTTGCTAATAATTACTTCTCAGTGCTGTGGGGGAAGGGTCATATTAGTTTTGGTTTTAGATTTGGGGTTTTTTAAATATGAGGAATATGGGCAAAGACAGGCAGGGGTAGCGAGGAGTCACAGGCCATCTGGTAAGAGTCCATGCCCCCTGTCCATCTGTCCTTATTTCTCTCTATCTCTGTCTGTTTGTACCGCAGAGTGTAGTACCCCTCATTCAGATGGCCCTGTCTCCAGCCCGTGGCCCACCCTGTCCCACCTGCAGGCTGGCCTGATCCCACCCTACCTTTTTCCAGTCCTGATAATTCTGGGGGTGGGCGGGGGGTGTGCCTTTCTACAGGATGACCCTGAGATTGAAGATATGGAGAGAGTATCAAAGGTCAGCACCCTGAGGCTGGACTTTGTCGAGGACCCAAACTTCAAAAACAAGGTCAACTACTCGTATGCAGCTGTGCAGATCCCCACGGACATCTACAAAGGCTGTGAGTGCACCCAGCAAGCTGCAGGGGCTGCCCTACCCCCACACACCACCAGAGGGGCAAGGCTGTTCCCAGCACTCTCAGGCTGGCACCTAGCCCCCCAGCCCCATCACAGGGGCTCACTGATACCCCACAAGCAAGCACCTGTTCTCACAGGTAGTCCCACATGAACTGCCAGGATGTAAAAAGCCCCAGGCTTCCAGCAAGCGACAGAGTATTGCACTTCTTCTGCCCGTGCATGCAGTCTCCTTAGAGCATGTATATGTGCACATGCACACACACACACACACACACACACACACACACACTCTCACATTGTACCAGGTCCTGCCCATCCTCCGCACTCCCTGCCCTACAGTGGATGGGCCCATCAGCTAATGGACAGGGAGCTACAGCTTACTCCCAGACCCCAGCCTTCTCCCTTCTCCTTGGCTGACAGCACATAGTCAAGGGCTTGAGAAGATGGTTTCCAGCTCAGAGCAGCCAGGACTGAGGAGGTGGGGGAGGAGGCTGGGATGAGGATGGTTGAGATTCCAAGCTCCAGGGACAGAGCAGCATTGCTCAATGGGAAAAGCAGGTTACTACAGCTAGAAGGATTTGAAGTAGATAAAAGAAGGGACTTCCTGATGATCATGGGGGGATATAAAGGGAAAGAGGGCAGGAATAAAGCATTGTGTAGGGAGCCCCAGGATTCAAGTAACTTTGTGAGCTCTTAATCCAAGAAGACCACTGGGTTGAGGGGTCCTAGGGCAGAAATCCCAGAGCTGATGAATGAGCTCCAGAATGCTGGGAATTCACCAGGGTCTTCAGGGTTGCCCCCCACCCTTAGGGTCAGCTTGGCCTTCCTAGAAGCCTCAGGCAGGGCTGGGTGAGGACACCTGCCCATTCCTCCCCACAGGCCACCCGCAGGCCACCTGCCCGAGCCAGTCGAGGGGCACTATCACAGGCAGGCACGCTAATTAAAACAGGAGCCACACCGCCCTCCCCAGTCACCCCTCGCTACCCACACAAATTACATTTTATATGTTTTTTATTTACTGTGTCACTTTTAATTAAATCTGTAATCGCCTGCCTGAGGGGGCATGGTCCCCGTTTCCCAACTCAGCTCGATCTAAGTGTGTATGTACGTGGGTATTGGAGTATGGGGTATATGTGAGTGGTGCCAAGTAGCAGCAAATTTCCAGGAAGGAGCAGGATGTTGGCACAAATGTGGCTCGAGGTGAGGGTGCGTGCACGTGCGTGTGTGTGTGCATGCGGCCACATGGACTGGCAAGGACAGCCCAGAAGGGACAAGGGTGTCATTTTGACTCTAGACACAAGCTGTAGATATGCCTCTGCCAGTAACCAGAACAGTCTCCAGAACCATCTGCCCTAAGCCTTTCTTGGGGAAACTGAGGTCCAGGATGGGGCAGGAATTTCCAAGCAGAGAGAGGTCCCTCCCTACCTCTCAGGCCAAACTGTACTCTGTGAACTATCTGAGAGCCCGACTTTATTTGTTGTTAAGGAGAAAATAGAAATTGTTCAACTCACTAAGTTTCTAAATTGGGACTGAAACCATAACATACTGTTCAATCAGCACAGCCAGTGCTAGGAATGTGTTTTGTTTTCACATTACGGCCAGTTAAGGGCAGCCACTGGGACGGAGAGATGGAGCGAGAACACCGGGGGAGGGGCTAGGCAACAGATAGTGCACATCAGAGGCTCTGGTGCTCTGGAAGGACAGTGCCCCCTGGCTGTGGGCAGTCTTGAGCATCTGTATCTGTGTGTCACAGCTCTTCATCTGCCCTGAAGGCTTCCATGTTCAGATACTCTGCTCTGAACAGAGAAACGAAGCTTTGGAAGGTAGAGTAGTGTCTGGTTCTTGCTCCTGGTGGGTGTTTGCCAGGGACAGAGAAGTGATGTGTCAGGGTGTTACTTGGGAATAAAGAGGTTGAGTCAGCTGCAGGAAAAAATCATAGCCACCCAGGAGTGAAGGGATGAGCTACAAAGGCTTGGTGGAAGAAGATAGCCCGCGCCTGCTTTTTCCAGGGGAGCTCTGGTGGCTTAGTAGTAAGGAGTTGCACTGCCAAGTAATAGGCACACAGTTCAAATCTACCAGCTGCTCCATGTGAGAAAGAGAGGCAGTCTCTTCCTACGTGATTTATTGCCTCTGAAAACCTGCTGCAGAGTCAGCTGTGAGTCAGTTCCAATTTGACAGTACGTAGCAACAACTTCTTTCTTATGAGCACATACGTCACACAGGTACAGGGCATAGAAGACCACAACTGTGGAGCCACTGGGCTGGTTCAGAACCGCCTGGGATGGGGAGGGGGACATTGTTCAAACCATCTGGGCCTCTGCTTGTGTTAAAGGAGCTCCAAAGCAGAGTGAGGAGAGCCTTACTCTGAGAATATGACTCCTGGAGCGGTTCAGGCCAGGGAGAGGACATGTGCATCCACAGAAGGGTAGAGACAGGGGCGGGGGGCTTAGTGGCTGGCGATCTCATTGGGGCAGGAGCCACTGAGGTGCAGTGTGGTCTGTAAGCATGAGTGTGTGTGTCCCCCTGAGCCATGGCAGCAGTCCGAGCTTCTGAACAGATGAGTTCAGAGCAGTGTGGGGTATGGTACTGTTGTATGCCGCTGAGTCGGAACCAACCCACAGCCGACCCTGGGGGCCCGGAAATAGTATGAGATTGCCCATCCTCCTCCCATAGAGCAGCTGGTAGATTAGAACCGTGTGCCTTTAGGATTGCAGCACAGCTCTTTACCACTAGTCCACCAAAGCTCTTTAGTGTCGGGTATAGAGGGGGAGTTATATACACGACTACAAGTTGACTGCAGATTGACCTTAGGTGAATGTGGGCTCTCTCTCTCTCTGTGTGTACACGCGAGGCCGCATGTGGGCGGGGCCTGTGTTGGAGCAGGCTCAAGGCATCACCCCTGCCCCCACCCCTGCTTGCTCCTGGCCCCAGTTGATTAATCATGGAGCTGAGTGGCTTCCAGCTTATCTGGTACCTTAATAGCTGAATAATTCCAGCCCCATCATCGGGCCCTTAATTGCTTTCTTGTGGCTGCGGCCAGGAGTGCATGCTGAGTGGGTGAGCTCCCAGGGGAGCAGCCTCAGGCTCCAGGCAGGATGCTGGGCGGAGTCCCCGCTCACAGCCCTCAGCACCTCAGTGCCCCACTCCTGGGCCCACAGGCCACAGCTCCTCTGCCTAATGAGCTAAGGGTTAGGCCAAAGCAGACCTTCAAGGACTTGGATGGGGTGAGGACCAGGATGTCTGTCTCGAGGAGCCTCTGGGGAATGGAGGAAACTGGACAGGCAGAGAATAGATGACTTTTTTAGGCAGGGTGACATTCAAGGGTGTTTTGGGGGCAAGAAAAGTGGGGTGCAGTAGGGACAGCTTTGGCATTTGCCACCCCAGCCCTCTGCTTCCACCACAGCTACTGTCATCCTCAATGAACTCAACTGGACAGAGGCCCTGGAGAATGTGTTCATCGAGAACCGTCGGCAGGACCCCACGCTGCTGTGGCAGGTCTTTGGCAGTGCCACTGGCGTCACCCGCTACTACCCTGGTGGGTGCCAGCCTCCTCACCCCCCTGCCCACCTAGCTCCCATTCTCTTTCCTCCCCAGCCCACCTGTCGTGGGGTCTAAGGGTGGGATGATCGCCCTGCAGGCTGGAAAGGGCCTGATTACATTATCTACCGTCAGAACTGGGTCCCTCTGTCCTCCCACAGCCACCCCTTGGAGAGCCCCCAAGAAGATTGACCTGTACGACGTCCGAAGGAGACCCTGGTGAGCAGAGAAGGGTGTTGGGGGTGCTGAGTAGTGACACCCCTACCTCCCTTCGCCGGCTCCCCTCCCTCCCGATATTCAGGCCTCGGAGCAGGGCGCAGCCAGCTCTATCCAATTTTCATTTCACACATCGTTGCCACTGGAAAATGGATCCCATCACCCAGGCAGGCCTCCCCACTGCCTCTGCCCCTATCCGCTGCCCGGCACCCCCACTCCCTCAGTGCACAGAGACTAGGACAGCGAGGGCTCCCGAGGATGAATGTGCCCTTCTTCAGGGTCTGCCAGCCCCCACCCCCACTCATCAGAGACCTTGACACCCCTCCAGTGGCTCCACTAAAAGGCTGGGCTAGGAGGCCCTGGTGCTCCCCACTTCTCCAGGATCCATGGCCTCCTCCCTCCCTGCCACCTACTCCATCCCACACACAGCTAAGCTTGGAAGCCTAACCGACGAGGAACACAAAAAGCCACTGAGAGGGGAGCTCTGCTGGCCTAGTGGAAAGAAGCTACCCTGCAATCCCAAAGCCATGCAGTTCGAATCTACCAGATGCTCCCCTGGAAAGGGAAGGACAATCCCCTCCTGTGCCAGTTGGATCCGATTCGATGTCACACAACAAGTTAAAAAAAAAAAGTCATTGAGGCCAGAGAATAAATCTTCCACCTTCTCTCTGGATCGCCGCCTCATCCTTTCTTGGAGTTCACTTACTGAGAAATGAGGTCACTGTGTCACAGGCAAGGACGGTACCTCACTAAACATGGTACCTGGAGTGCCTCAAACAGTGCCGAGCCCTTGCAGTGGACACTCAATAGAAACATGTTGAATTAATATATACATGAAGGAAGGGAGGACGCACAGGCTGCAATGGACAAGGCCCTAACTGAGGCTTCTCTGGGCAGGTATATCCAAGGGGCCTCATCACCCAAGGACATGGTCATCATCGTGGATGTGTGAGTCAGCAGGCCGGGCTGGGACAGGACCAGGGTGGGCTCTGCTACCAGGGAGCATCATGGGAGGATGGCTGAGGCCAACCTGGCACCTCTCTGACCCCCATCTGACCTCTGCAGGAGCGGCAGTGTGAGCGGCCTGACCCTGAAGCTGATGAAGACGTCTGTCTGTGAGATGCTGGACACACTCTCAGATGATGACTACGTGAATGTGGCCTCGGTGAGTGCCAAGGGTATCGACCACGCCCCTGTGCCCCAGCAGCTCCCTGGCCTGGAAGCCTGAGGCCATTCACCATTCTGCTTCCCCACTGCAGTTCAACGAAAAGGCACAACCTGTGTCATGCTTCACACACCTGGTGCAGGCCAACGTGCGTAACAAGAAGGTGTTCAAGGAAGCTGTGCAGGGCATGGTGGCCAAGGGCACCACAGGCTACAAGGCCGGCTTTGAATATGCCTTCGACCAGCTACAGAATGTGAGCCCCACGGGTGGGCAAGCGAGCGAGAAGGGGCGGGTGGAGGGCCCAGGCACAGACACTGGAGAAATCAAGACAGATGGTCTAGTTAGCGCCGAGCGGGCAGGCGGCTCGGGCAGACAGCACCGTCTGCCGTGGGGAAGGAGGGCCAGGGAGCCGGGCCTGCCAGGAGAGGGAGGCCCTGCCCCCGTCCAGGGAGATGCCTGACCCCACGACCACCCCCGCCCAGTCCAACATCACTCGCGCCAACTGCAACAAGATGATCATGATGTTCACGGACGGAGGCGAGGACCGTGTGCAGGACGTCTTTGAGAAGTACAACTGGCCCAACCGGACGGTGAGGCTCAGCCCGGGCGGCGCTTCTCTGACCAGGGCCCAGCTCCAGGAGGGGCTGTCCTCTGGTGGCCGTGTCAGTGACCTCACACTTCCCCCCACCCTGCAGGTACGCGTGTTCACATTCTCCGTGGGGCAGCACAACTACGACGTGACGCCTTTACAGTGGATGGCCTGCGCCAACAAAGGTACTGTGGCCGGGCATCACTGACACGGGGCTTGCCTGCCATGCTGTGGTCCATCAGGATTGTTTCCCGCCTGCCCTTTCATATGTCTGTCTGTCCTGTTAAGCTGCTTCATCCACTGTCTGTCCACCTTTCCATTCAAGTGTCTGTCCGTTGTCCACCTGCCTCCCAGCCTTTCCACTCCTGAATCTTGTGTGTTGAGCAGGCCATCTCTGTGTGTGCTTGGGACTGGCCCCTAGATGGACTCAGAATGTCATGGTCATTCTAGAATGGGGGACTTCAGAGCTCAAGCACCTCCCTTCACCCTGTGTCTGCCACACTGCTACCTGGACCCCCATGTTCACGCTCTTCCATTGCAGCAGTCCCAGTGACAGGGTGACAGCACAGTCATGGGTATGTGAGACACTAAAGACAGGGAGATTGCAGGGCAGATCAAGGCTCTGGGCACACCTCAGGTACAGGAACACTGAAGGCCCCACAGAGCCGCCCAGCTCTGCCTCTGCCCCCTTCCCCCCCCCCCACAGGTTACTATTTTGAGATCCCTTCTATTGGGGCCATCCGCATCAACACACAGGTGAGACTGGGGAGGCCCCTGTGGCCCCTGCTGGGATGAGGCTGTCCTAGGCTGGTGTGGGGTGAGGGCGCCCCCTGGTGGATTGTGGCGGAACAGTCCCGACAGAACAGTGGGAGGGGCAGGGCCCTGAAGAGCTTGAACCTCCTTTCCAGGAATACCTGGACGTGTTGGGCAGGCCCATGGTGCTGGCAGGCAAAGAAGCCAAGCAGGTGCAATGGACCAACGTGTATGAGGATGCACTGGTAAGGGCCTTTGGGCAAGGCAGGGGTTGGGGCTACCTACCATTCCTCAAGCATGTGCCCAAGGGGTGACATCCCCTGAGGGTCCCCTTTTGGCAACAGATAAAGATGAGGGAGGAGAGAGGGAGACTGTGCCCAAGCCCCTGCTCTGAATACTGGGGGTGAAGGCACAGGAAGGAGGCTCCATCATCCTCATCTCCTTTCAGGGCCTGGGTCTGGTTGTGACAGGAACACTCCCTGTGTTCAACCTGACACAGGATGGCCCTGGAGAAAAGAAGGTGAGGTTCCCTGCTGGTGGGGCTGAATGCTGTGTGTGAGGGGTGCTGGCATGCCCACATGGATGAAGAGGGGATGAGATGGGACTGCAGACTCCATGCAGGCTTCTGAGGGTACAGTCTGACCTTGGGCATCAGGGCTTAAGCAGAGATTGAAGTAGACCCTTTACAGACTCTCATTGTTTTTGCTCCCAGAACCAGCTGATCTTGGGTGTAATGGGCATTGATGTAGCTCTAAATGACATTAAGAGACTGACTCCCAACTATACGGTGAGTGCCCACCGGCCCCCTACCTCGCTCTGACTCCTTCATGGACATAAGCAAACCTTCGTAGAAGAGCAATTATAGCACCTGCGCAGGGGCCCTGAGCTCAGGGAACACTTCTTTGGGCCTAGCACCAAAGTTAGCACACTTTAAGTGTTTCTAATTTTTGCAGATCATATTGTCTATGCAATTCTGCCATTGTATTGTGTGGCTGTATTTCAACACAACTTAACCTGTGGATCCTGTACTTTTAATTCTACATTATTTTCACATGTCACAAAAATGTTTTTGCCTTTTCAACCATTTCATATGTAAACACCAAATACAGCTCATAAGCACCCAGAAACAGACCACAAACCAGACATGGACAGTAGCCTGCCACCCTGGTCTTGAACACAGGCAGAGCTTCTGGGCAGAACAGAGGGGACATTTCTTAGAGATCAAGGGGACTCTCTGGGGAAAGGCCTGAAGGTGAAAGGCAGTAGGAGAGGCTATTCCTTGGAAAGGGACATCAGGCTTGGAAATGTAGAAAGTTAGCAAAAGAACCTATTGTCTACAAGAATGGGCTCAGTGTGTCAGGGATAATAAGGGTAGCACAGCATAGGACAGGGTTCAGATCAATTGTTCATAGGGTGGCTATAGATTGTACTCGACTCGATGGCACTTAACCACAAACAACAAAACCAAGGAAGGAGCAAGATCACAGGGCAGCTGGCCCAGAGACTTTGGGAAAGGGCTTGTGGGTCTGGATGGTGTTAGGGGGTCTTTGCTCAGGGAGGCAAACAGCACCCCTCAGTGGGGTAAAAAACAGGAAATGGTAAAGCTTTAGAGCACAAGGAATCCCTGCCCAACCTCCAAGCCCTGAGCCCCGACTCTGTGCCCCCAGCTTGGAGCCAACGGCTATGTGTTTGCCATTGACCTGAATGGCTACGTGTTGCTGCACCCTAACCTCAAGCCCCAGGTGAGCCGGGCAGATGGTCTGGAAGTGGGTGAACCCTTAAAAGTGAGGATTCCTGACTTTCTCTCTGGCCTCTTGCAAAGACCACTAACTTCCGGGAGCCTGTGACCTTGGACTTCCTGGATGCAGAGCTAGAGGATGAGAACAAGGAGGAGGTAAGTAGAAGAGGGGAGGTAGGCTGGGGTGCTGGGGCAAAAGAGGATGGGCACCCTGCCCCTCATGTCTTCCGCCCTTCCAGATCCGAAGGAGCATGATTGACGGCAACAGGGGCCACAAGCAGATCAGAACACTGGTCAAGTCCCTGGATGAGGTGAGAGGTGGGGGAGGAATGCCAGAGGTCAGGCTGGACTCCCTCCTGCCCTCCCCATCCCACCCCCCTCTGTGTGCTAGCCTGAGCACTTGACCCAGCCTCTTCTCCCAGCGGTACATAGATGAGGTGATGCGGAACTACACCTGGGTGCCCATAAGGAGTACCAATTACAGGTGAGTGGAGCCAGGCTGGGCTGGCAAGGAGGGGAGGGGCAACCCCAGAGCACAGAGTCTGAGCCCAGCTGCACCCTCCCTCTCAAACCTCAGACTGCCAGGAGGACAAGGGTCTTGGCTGGCTGTTAACCACCATCCTTCAGGAGCTTCCAACTGGCCCTTCAGGGACAAGCGCCAGACCCCTGGAACTCAGGACAAAGTTAGGATGGTGTGTCCTATGCCTCCTCATACCCAGCACTCTCTCATCATTCCTGCCTGGACTACACCCAGGATATCGTCCTTGGCACAGTCACAGGCCTGCTCTGCTCTCAGACAGCATCACAGCCGCAGCACCGGGCCTCTTATGGGTCAGGCTCAATTGCGGCAGATTATCTGCTTGTGAAAATGCCCGGGCATCCAGGCCCCCAGGTTCAGCTATGCCTGCCCCTCACTCTGAGGCTGGCCTGCTTTTAACCTGTTCACAGGGCTCAAATGTTCAGAGAGGCCCCTGAGGCAGCACCTACCCCCAGCCTAGCTCGCTCACCATGTTTGTTCTGCCTCATATAAGTTTGCAGCTAGTGAAAATGGGAAGGCAGGCAGGGCAGGTAGTGTGCTGTGGAAGGCTGTTGGGGATGATGATTTGTTTGGGGAGCTGAGAGTTCTGTGGCATTCAGAAACAATGGGACAGGGGATGGGGAACGGAGTGGAAAGTCCAGACCCCTGGTGTCTTTATGTGTCCTAGTCCTTGAATGTTCAGCTGATGGGGAAAGACAGAAGAAAGACCATGGCCTCACTGCACAGCTCACAGCTCCAATGCCCTGGGGAGAAAGAGCGGTGCTAGTGTGGCCCAGCTATCCCCAGCAGTGACATTCCCTCCTCCCTCTCCAGCCTAGGGCTGGTACTCCCGCCCTACAGCACCTTCTACCTCCAAGCCAACCTCAGTGACCAGATCCTGCAGGTCAAGTGTAAGTGGCCCGGCCCCTGCCTGCGCCCTGCACCCCGCCTCTGCCCCTGCACCTCCGCCAGCCCCAGGCAGCCTAGCCAGCCGCTGCTTGCCCGAGGCAAGGGTGGCAAGGCAGCCCCTCCTGCCCCATCTGCCCACCCCCAGGCACCCGCAGGCTGGGGGCACCTGCTGTCGGAAAGTCTGTGGAAATCTGCATGCTCGCCTTTTCTCAGATTTGGTTCCAGACCATTCTCTCATGGTTTCCATTAAGGTTTCTGTTTTTGGTTTTTCCTACTCCGTGTCTTCCCTCCTTAGCCTGCCTCCCTGCACACCCCTGGGGGCTGCGCTCTCTCGGAAGACACCCCCACCCCTGCCCTCTCTTCCCCATCCCCTCCGCTCAGCTCTCCCCCTGTGGTGTCCCCCCAGGGTCCCTCTTTCCCCCTCATCCATGCTCAGTTTCCCTCTTTCCTCCTCAGTTCTCTGACTCATTCTCTTCTTCTCACTTCCTCCCTCATCTACTCCTTTCAGCCCTACTACCCCCACTCCCTCCCTCCCTGACTCTCTCTTGCCTCTTCTCTTTTCCCTCCCCCTTCTCCTCTCTCTCCCTCTCCTCTCCCTCCCTCTGCCCCCCTTTCTCCCTCATCCCAGTTTCCTTCCCTCCTCTGTCCACCCTTTTTCTCCCTCCCTCACACACTCTCATTTTTTTCTCCGTCCCCCCTTCCCTCTCCTCCATCCCCCTTTCCCTCCTTCCTCTCCCCCTCACCCTTCCCCTCTGCCTGCGGCTCACCCCTGCATGCCCTGCTCACCCTGGGCCTCCCCCGAAGGCCTCTGCCTCGGTCTCAGAGTCTATGGCCCCCGCTGCCCACCAACCCGAGGTCACTGGGAGGGAGGCTGGGGCTCCGGCCCCACCGGGCGCCCCCCCACCTGCCTGGCCGACTGGGGCTCATCTCCTTTGAGTTTTCTTGCTCTCTCTTTCTCTCTCATGTCGTTTTTTTGCAAGAAGTTTCCTTTCGGTATGATGATGAGACACAATATTTTCATTCAAACAGCCATTGAATAAAATATTGTTTGTGCCCCTCCCCTTCCCCTCCCCCTTTTCGTTTGTTTTTGTGTTTGTGTTGTTTTTGTTTTCCTCGCTTTCTCTCTTGGTGGACTGTCCCAGTGCCAATCAGCAAACTGAAGGGCAAGTATATTCAGAACCAGTGCACCCTCCTCTCCCCACCCCACCCACCCTCACACCCCTGCTTGCCCCCCTCCCTGCCCAGGACCAGCCAAATCCCTGCTCTCCAGGGCCCCCAACCCGGCATTCCCCTGGATCCTCCGGTTCTTGTCTTTCCTCTAATTAGAGCCAGTGGCCCTCGCCCCTGGCCCTGCCTGCAGGGTGTTCTCTGGTATGATCTGAGCGCTCAGGCCCCCCTCCTCAGTCCTCCTCACGCCCACTGGGCAGGCCTATACCTCCTCTGCCCTTCCAAGACAACTCAACAGTGGGGCCAGGGCTGAACACCTCTCCACCATCCCCAAGCCACCAGGACAGGGGATCTGAGATACCCGGCACCTCAGAGGGGCCTATGTAGAGGTGAGAAAGGCGTCACCTCCATATGGCCTTCTCTGGGTCGCTCTCTCTAGAAACTGGCAGTCCTCCACTAGAAAGTACAGAATGCATACGTAGCCTCAATCCCTGACCATGGCCGAAGAGGGCTGACAGCCAGGCCCGGGGAGAGCAAAGTCAAGAGAGGTCAACTAGCCCATCCTGGGCTCTGTCCGAGGTGCTGAAGCCCTGCCCCTTCCTGCTCCCAAAGGATGGTGCCCAGTGGCCCAGCCCTATCCTGTGGTGCTCTCTGCTCCTGCGGAAGGCATCCGCACAGGCGCCAGGTGTGAAAACAGTGTGCCCTTGAGCAAATACAGGCCGACTCAGGGCAGTACGCATGACCAGAGGACCTGTCTGGACGTCAAAGACCAGCAAATAAGCTAGAAGAGAATCAGGTTGTGTGTGAGGGAATAGGATTCTGGCACTCAGAAGTGCCCAAGCCAGAGGCATCTGGGTAAGATGAGAAGTGAGCTCCCAGTTACTTGGTAAAGAAGAAAGGGAGGCTTATCATAGAGGGTGCTGGGGAATAAGAGGGGACAGTACCCAAGGGTCTCTGCTGCTGGTTCACAGAGATCCACTCCTTTCAGAAAAATGTCTGAGAAGATGGAATGTGGAGCATTACTGTCCCCTGCCCCCTGGAAACAGGGCCTCCCTAAGAAATCCTCTTCCAGCCTAGTCCAACAAAGAGGACACAGTGACCCCCACTGGCCTGGGTGGGGGTGGGAGATGGGTCCTGCTCCCACTGGCTTGAGTTGTCTTTTTCTACCCTCATCCCACTAAGTGAACCCAGAAAGACAGGACCCCGATAACAATGACAACAACATAGTCTAGTCTCCTTGCTCCTCCTCCCTCTTTTTTTCTTTTTCCTCCTCCTCCTCCCTCATCCCTCCCCTAACTCCTGCCCCACTGGCTTGTTCCAAACCCTGCCTCACAGTCCTATCAGAAAGCAACAGTCCAACCAGTGACTGCCCAGTTCCCCCCGGGCACCCCAAGACTCCTGCCCCAGAATCTTGCAGTGCATTGTGGGAGTGTTCAGGAACAGGGAAAATTTCCTCTTCTGCAAATATGAAGCCCTGCAAATATGAACAAGGTTGGAAGGAAGGGCAGGTAGGCTGCTTTGAGAACCAAGAGGCAGATGGACCTCTCCCAGATGCTGACCACCAAGATGGCCAGTCCAGCTAAGTAGGAAGAGAGGTCAAGTGGCCATATCCCCAGATGGAGTCACAGATTGACTTGTGGCCCCTCCCACACGCAGACACATTGACACACTCATGTACAGATGACAAACAGGCACAGGCGCAGGCTCAACTTGTGTATCCTTCAGCTGCAACCTCCTGCCTTCCCCAAAGCCCACCATTCTTCTCTGGCAAGTCCTAAAGATGGATGAGGACCCTGCCCTGCTCCTTCCTGTCCCCCCACACCTCATAATCCAGCAGCACCCAGAGCTCTGCCACTTTCTAACCTCCCCTCCCACAGTGTAGGCACCTTGAGGGTCTCCACACCACCCACCTGGTTCTCTGCCCCAGGGAAGACCGCTGCACCCCCACAATGCACTGTAGCCCACTCTTAGCTGCCCGCACCCGTCTCTGGTTGGACTGTCTGTGCCCATGAGAAACACCCTCGGTTTGGCCATGTTGATGCCTGACACAGAACAAAAGCGAGACCTACCAAAAATGCAAACAGCTGCAGCAAAGAAAGAGAGATAAAAATCCGCAGCCAAAAGCCAATTCCCTTCCTCAAAGTCTCTTTGGAGGCAAAGGAAGCTCAGCATGCGGTTTTTTCCATTCTGGATGTGATAAGAGCGAGACTGGCGCCTCCCCCAGACCATGCATATATATAGCAGTGTGTGTATATATATGTGTGTGTGTGTGTCTGTGTATATGTGCTATACAGCCGTATGGAAGCATATACAGCCACGCCAAGGGACTCACTGCCGACAGAGGACCAGGCCCGGGCAACATATTGGCTATAACTGCCCTCCTCCTGCGATGCTGTAGTCTCCACAGGCCCTCCACCCCTTCCTGCCCACCCCTTCTCTCTGGCTCGAAACGGAACGTGGAAGTGGCGGGTTCCCTCTTTGCTGGTGTCTCCCCTTCCCTCAAGCCACCCTCTTCCCTTCCTCTCCAGCCCCCGTCAGCTCTGAGCCCCCCTGGCCTCCTCCCTCCCCAGCCCCCGCCGGATAACCCCCCATTTCTGTTGCAGATTTTGAGTTCCTGCTCCCCAGCAGCTTTGAGTCTGAAGGACATGTTTTCATTGCTCCCAGGTAGCTTGTGTGTGGCCTTGCTGAGGTGTCCTCCCCTCCCCACCTCCCCGGCCCTGCCTCCTGCACTGCTGCCTGGAGCTCTGTGTGTCTGTGTCCTGTGCCATGTTGCCCCCCATCCCGACCCCATACATGGCCCCGTATGTGCAGCCGTGTGCATACCTGGGCCATGTAGCCCCACCAGGCAGCACTGGCCAGCAGCTCCACGGCTGCCGTTTATCCAGCAGCCAGGGGCAGGCGAGCTCTGGACTCTCAGCAGACCTTCCATGGGCTCCCAGGACAGCAGGAGGGAGCCCTTGCTTCCCAGGGCTCGCTGGGCTGCTGCTGCTCTGGTTAGTGGCACCTTCCCTCTCCCCTGCCCCACTCCCTGTCGTTGTCCTGTGTCAGTCAGTGTTTGTGTGGGTCTGGGGGCCGAGCCAGCCAGAGCCCCTGTCAGCAGTGCCAAGTTTGGGGGGGGGGGGTGGAAGTGTGGCTTCAAGGTGTTGCTCTGGATAGCAGGGGGTTGGCCCAGATCAGGCTGGGCCTGAGCCCTTTCTGGAGCACATACTCGGGGTGTGCACACACACACATACGTCCTCCAATACACAGTCTGCCTGTTGGCCCAAGCTATGGAGGTTGGAGGCCTCTGGTGCTGAAGCCCTGCCCTGTGGCCTGGATCCTGGATGAGGGCTGGTGGGTGAAGTGGACACTGTCAGGCACCAGGCAGGGACTCTGGGCCGTCCTCATCTCTCTGTGTGTGCACATGTGTGCATGCCCCCACCAATCTCTCTGTGACTCTCTCTGTCGATGTGAATTTCTACTTGTGTATCACTGTGTGTGTCCATAAAGTCCCGGTGTAAATGTGGAATGACCTGTGTGCATCGGTGACTGTGGAATGTATGGCAAGGCCTGTGTGGCCTGTTTGACCCTGCAGAAACTGAGGCCCAGGTCTATTTTTTGTCACCTCTATATCCTTGGCTCCGGAGAACTCACAGTTTCTTGGATGAGTGACTAAAGTAGCCACAAATGTGAATCTGCGTACTGCGTGTGGGAGGGACTGCAAGTGACTTGGTGTCCAACACAGCTGTGCGGGTGTCACCCTGGATGTGTCAGATGTGGCCTCCATGCACAGAGGTGAAAGCTGTGCAATGCACGAAGGCTCCTGGAGCCAAGGACTGAATAGGGGCTCAGACCCGGTCCCAGGTTCCCTCAAAATGCCTGGCAGGAAGTCCCTGGTGGCTGAAGGGGAAATAGCTCCATCCATCAGGGTAGATGGACCACCTGCCAAACTTCCGAGGGAGCAGAGTGCCAAGAAGGCCACTCCTTGCTCTATGACCCCCACATTCTCTGGTTCCAGAGCCAATGCTGGGCCCGAGGAGGGAGATGGCCTTCCTACCTGAGGGAAGAACCCAGAACAGCAGTCCAAGGACCTGCATGCTCCCAGTGATGTCCCTACACTTTCTGTGGTTTCTAAAACCCCAAACAGGCTCAGGGGGCAGAAGGAAGGGGCTAAGTGTGCATCTCCTGGGGCCAGTGGTGGCCATCCAGCTCACACCATCGCCTGCCCCACCCTACCCAGACTCCCAGTGGGGTAAGGCCCGCACGAAGGTACCTTAAACCATAATTAAAAAGGAAAAAAGAAGGAAATTAAAAAATGCTTTTTAAAATTTAAAAATCATACTGTAAATTCTAACTCATAGCGATCTTGGGGGACAGAGCAGAACTGTCCCATAAGGTCTCTAAGGCTGTAAATCTCTGGGGAAACAGACTGCCTCATCTTTCTTGGAGAAATGGCAAGTTCAAACCAACAAACCTTCCCTTAGTAGCCAAGTACTCACGCACTGTGCTACCAGGGATCCTACTCCCTTGGGTTATTGTTGTTATATGCTCTTGGGTGAGAACCAACTCATAGCTGAGCCTCCAGTAGGTTTTCAGAAGCCGTCAGTCACATGAGAGGAGACTGCCATCTTTCTCCCATGGAACAGCCGGTGGATTCGAACTGCCTGCCTTCTGGTTGGCAGTGCAATTGCTTAACCACTAGGCCACCTGGGATCCTGCTTACTATGTTAGGGGCAGCTATTTCTCATGTTTCAAATGAAAATACTGAGGCCCAGAGAGCCTGAGTGACTCACACAAAGGAGCACAGGCAGGAAACAGAAATGACAGTCAGATTCAGGCTGACAACGTCTCTGCTGATAATTGGGCCTCGGCTGTGCCTGTCGTGGTGAGGCAGCCATGATGCATCTCCGCATCTCCCGGGGCCTCCAGGCAGATGGTGCTGGAGAGATGGAAGGCCCAGCGAGTCCACGCCCGGCAGGAGAACTGGCCAGGAGAGAGGACGTCAACCCTCATCCTCCAGTCAGTTCTGCCCCCACTCAGACCTGGGCAGCCTGCCAGGCAGCTGCAGCTCAGCCTCTCCCCACAGCCTTGACTTCTCACAAATGGCCTGTTGGGAAGCCCTGGCCCTACTGCTCTGTCCAGCCCCCCAAGCCCACTCTTCTTGCCCCTCCCCACCCCCAGAGAGTATTGCAAAGACCTGAACGCCTCTGACAACAACACTGAGTTCCTGAAAAACTTCATCGAGCTCATGGAGAAGGTGACTCCAGATTCCAAGCAGTGTGAGTGCCCGGTGGGGAAGCTGGGTCCAGGCAGTGCTCTGGCAGGATGGGGGCAGCCCTGAGGAAGCTGAGGCCTGGGCAGGTGTGGACATACCTGTATCCACTCCGAGGACAGGGCCTGAGCCAGGTTCTGGGGAAGGCTCCCATGGGCAGAGTTGGATAGGAAGAGAAGGGTTGGGCAAAGGGCCAAAAGAAGATTTCCTGTATCCTTCTCCTCATACTCTAGGCAACAACTTCCTTCTGCACAACCTGATCTTGGACACAGGCATCACGCAGCAGCTAGTGGAGCGTGTATGGCGGGACCAGGACCTCAACACGTAAGGATACCCCAACCTATGGGGGCAGGATATGGGTGGGCCTGGAGGCGCCGGCCTCACTTGGGAAAAGACCAGCCTATGACTCCACCTACCTGTTGTCCCCAGGTACAGCCTCCTGGCTGTGTTTGCTGCCACTGATGGTGGCATCACCAGAGTCTTCCCCAACAAGTAAGTGACCTAACTCCCTGCCCCTCTACTGCTGCCCAGAGGCCTCCCTGCCCCTGCCAGGACCACTACTCCCTGCTGAGCTAAGCCTGAAGTCACCCTTTACCCATGAATCTCTGCCCTTCTGGATACTCCAGGGCAGCTGAAGACTGGACAGAGAACCCTGAGCCCTTCAATGCCAGCTTCTACCGCCGCAGCCTGGATAACCATGGCTATGTCTTCAAGCCCCCACACCAGGACAGTAAGTATCCAACCAGGGTACCCTGCAGCAGCAGATAGGCAGCCTCACCTTCTCTGTCTGCTCAGCCAGGGCTGGGCTGTGCTGAGACCCTTCTCAGACACGAGGCCAGCCAAGGCTGGAGCAGACATGGAGAGAGGGCTGGGCTGCTCCTGCCTTCATTGAGCCCTGTGTGCCAGACACGGGCTGGGTGCTTAGGATGGAGCCAGCCCCTCAGTTGGGCTCCTGGACCACGATACCCAGAGTGGCATGTTCAGTGACCACCAACCCCTGCTCCTGAAAGCCCTACCCCATCCCACTCCCAGCCCTGTTAAGGCCTCTGGAGTTGGAGAACGACACTGTTGGTGTCCTGGTCAGCACAGCAGTGGAGCTCAGCCTGGGCGGGCGCACACTGAGGCCAGCAGGTGAATGCCCAGGGTGGAGGCAGGGGAAGGGGCAAGGGCCATGGAGCTATCTAGATAGGTGGACACTGATGATGACCTCTTGTTCATCCCAGTGGTGGGTGTCAAGCTGGACCTGGAGGCCTGGGCTGAGAAGTTCAAGGTGCTAGCTAGCAATCGTACCCACCAAGACCAGCCTCAGAAGGTAACTGGGCCGGAGGTAGTATGTCCAATAGTAACCTTCTTGAAGCCCTGGGAACCCCTACAAGGGTCCACCCAGAATAACACCTGCACCTAAGGAGAGACAGGGCTGTGACAGGTGGCCTGGAGAACCGGAAGTGTGAAAGGGGATGGAAGTAGAAGGGAGAACCGGTGGTTGGCTTACAAACTCTCACTCTCTGCCCAGCAGTGCGGCCCCAGCAGCCACTGTGAGATGGATTGTGAAGTTAACAATGAGGTGCGTGTACTCTCTGAACCTGCCCTGGACACAAATTCACCCACTTCCAGAATTCTCAGTCCCAACCCTGGCTCCTATCCTATTCCTTGACTGATGGATGTCAGCATCCCCCCCCCATTTCACTGCCTTACCACGGCCAGAACAAATAGAAGCACCCCTCTTCTGATCCATCGGACTGCCAAGGCCTGAGGCCCAGACCCTCTCTATCCTCCCCCTCTCCCTCACTTCTCAGGACTTGCTCTGTGTTCTCATTGATGATGGAGGATTCCTGGTCCTGTCAAACCAGAACCATCAATGGGACCAGGTGAGAGTCAGAAGAAGGGTGGAAGGAAGGAGGGGGGGTTTAGGTTCAAACCATTTGGGGGGCTATCTCTACCCAAACTGACTTAGACTTGTTACTCCCTAAACTGTTGGCAATTTCATCTCAATACAGAGAATTCTTTAAAACAATGCAGTAATTTGTAGGGAGCTCTGGTGCCCTAGTGGCAAGAAGCTGCACTGCAATCCCAGAGGTACACGGTTCAAATCCACCAGGTGCTCTGCTGGAGAAGGAGGGGCAATCTCCTCCAGTCAGATCCTATTTGACAGTACACACACATAAATAATAATAATAGTAATAATAATTTTTAAAAAAAGAATGCAGTAATTTCATAAAATACTATATAACAAGGGAGAGACTAGAGAGCATTGGGTTGAGTGAAATATCTCAGTCACATAAGGACAAATATTGCATATGGCCACTTGTGAAAATAGGATTATTCAGCAATATATGTATAAATGTTCAAAAAAGAAAGGAGAGAAGCAGATGAAGAAAAAGGGGGAGGGGAGAAAAATCATTGGGATAGCAGGGGTTAGTGGTTGAGGAAATGAAATAATGGCAAAAGTTCAATGGGATCTTGAAATGACAGGGTGATAATAGGCATAGAGAAATTATAATTATATAAAATATGTATGAGTACAAAGTACATGTATGAACATAATATGTGTGAAATATTTTATGCAAACCAATAAAAAAATGTTTAAACATTAAAAAAAAAAAGCTAGGAGGGATGACACCTCCAGTCCTGTGCCCATAACCTCCTCCCTCTATCCCCAGGTGGGCAGGTTCTTCAGCGAAGTGGATGCCAATCTGATGCTGGCACTCTACAATAACTCCTTCTACAACCGGAAAGAGTCTTTCGATTATCAGGCTGCCTGTGCACCCCAGCCCCAAGGGAACTTGGGGGCCGCACCCCGGGGCGTCTTTGTGGTGAGCTGGAAATGTCTGAAGATGTGGGTCTGGGAGACTGATTCCCTTATAATCTCCACTTCTGACTCAGAGGTGAGAGGTCTGGGGGTGCCCTGGGCCCAAGGGCAGCGGTGGGAGCCCACACTCTCTCTCCACTGCAGCCCACCATTGCAGACTTGCTTAACCTGGCCTGGTGGACTTCCGCTGCAGCCTGGTAAGTCTTGGAGACAGAAGAGAAGGTACTCTTCTGGACAAGAGGACTCAGGAGAAGTGGGAATACTGGCTTCTGCTTACCGCCTCCTCGTGGTACCTTGTGCCCTACAGGTCCTTGTTCCAGCAGCTTCTTTATGGCCTCATCTATCACAGCTGGTTTCAGGCAGGTAGGTCGGATTTCTGAGGCCCTCCTTCAACGCCCCCTTCCCCCGTTCCCTGCTAAGTCAAGAACAACCCCAAAGAGAGGGCGGGGCTTACGGCTGAGTGAGGCTGAGGCCCGAGACCGCACCAGCGTCTGTAGGCGGGGCTAAGGCGCTCTGGGAACCTCGCAGACCCGGCAGAGGCCGAGGGAAGCCCCGAGGCGCGAGAGAGCAGCTGCGTCATGAAACAGACCCAGTACTACTTCGGCTCCGTGAACGCGTCTTACAACGCCATCATCGACTGCGGCAACTGCTCCAGGTGCACTGGGGTGGGCGGAGCCTTCGTGGGGGCGTGGTGTGGGGCGTGGTCTACGGGGCTGTGGGTGGAGCTAGAGGAGGGAGGCGGGGTCTGCGCGTGTCCTAGCTATGCAAAAGAAAGGGGCGACTCTCAGCGCCAGCTTTCCACGTGTTGTGCCACAGGCTGTTCCACGCGCAGAGACTGACCAACACCAACCTCCTCTTCGTGGTGGCGGAGAAGCCGCTGTGCAGCCAGTGTGAAGCTGGCCGGCTGCTGCAGAAGGAGACACACTGTATCCTGCCCCCGCCACCCCCTGCCTCCCGCGCCCCTCCTACCCTGAGTGCCCCTGGGTTCCACCGTGGCCTCCTTGACTCCCCACCCATGCCCAGCGGACGGCCCGGAGCAGTGTGAGCTGGTGCAGAGACCGAGGTACCGGAGAGGCCCCCACATCTGCTTCGACTACAACGCAACGGTGAGGAGAGGAGAGGACGCAGCGGTCTGCCTAGACAATTCGCTTCCCTCACTCTGCGCTCTCTCCTGGCTCGCGGTCTCTTCTGCCCCATGAACTCCTTTTCTCCTTGCAGGAAGATACCTCAGACTGTGGCCGCGGAGCCTCCTTCCCGCCGTCGCTGAGCGTTCTGGTTTCCCTGCAGCTGCTGCTCCTCCTGGGCCTGCCACCCCGGCCGCAGCCCCAAGTTCATGCATCGCGGCGCCTCTGAACGACCCCCACCCTCGGGCCTCCCAGCCTCTTCTCCACCCTCCCGCTCCATACTCCCGCCTTAGAGCCTCACCCCTTCCCTCACTGATGGACCAGAGGTGCCAGGCCCTGAGAGTCTGCACCTTAGGGTGGGGGTCCCAAAGGAGGACACTGCAGGTCTTTGGCCTTCAAGCCACGTATCATCGCTGAACACCATAGTGTCCCCAGACTTTTGATTCCCATTGGATTCAACCACCCTGGAGGGCTGGGACAGGGAAATCACATGTACTGGTGCAAACCAGGCCTCCACTGCCCACCAGGCCCCGGGCTCCCTCTGTGTTGGGGATCTAACTCCTGCCCCAGCTGGACGATTCAAAGCTGGTCCTGCTGCCCTGTTCCTGCCCAGACCTAGTTTCTGTTGGAAGGGGTAACAAACATAAAGGAAAATGGGCACTTTGAGACCTGTACATGCCAGGTCCCTTAGGGTGGTATGTGGGGGAGAGGCTCTGATGACATTTTGGCAAGAGAGAAGTCCTAGGGAAGCTCCCAAGAGCTCCCACTCCTCTCAGGCCTATAGCCACCATCCCTCTCCCAAACCTTTCAAGTGTCAAAAGAGACACAGACAGTTTCAAGACAACCCTGGTGCCCTGAAGGCAGAAACTGGACTCATACTAGACATGCCCCAGAATGCAAACCTACACACACACACACACACACACACACACACACACATATAGATGGGGTGAGATGGGGCTCACAAAGCCTTACGTAGGATGAGGGGTGGGTGGGAGGGATGACACCTCATGCTCCATCTCCTGCTCACCACCTGCCTCTAATCTGAGTGCAGCCCAGCTGATCCTCCCATCTCTAAAGTTGAATGTCAAACAGTGCCAAATGCCGGGACAAGGGCAGAGAACTCTCAGCCTCACCTCTGGCTGCCAGTGTCCCCCAAGTGCCCCTCACCCTGCCAGGTGCTCATTATAACCATTTCTCACTCATGTCAGGCCCCCACCGGGTCCACATGCCACTGCCTGCACCCTCAACAGAGGAACCTTCACCAGACATCGCCCTTTGCCTTAGCGGGAGTGACTTGGTCTCTCCTAGCTGGGCCATCCCACACTCAATACAGCCCTTACACACTCCAGCCTGTGCTCACTCCCTGCCCCATTTGCACACACACACACACACACACACACACACACACTCCTTGCCCCTAGGAGGCCAAACTGCCCCTCCTGCTGAACACATATTTTCATGTGCACACACTTGGTACACGCACACACATACTACACACACAGAGGCTGGGCCCGGGCACATCTCTTCACACAATTCATTTTGGTCATTTCCCCCAAAGGCATCCCAGCTTTGGGGGTCAGTGGGGGGAATGAGGGCAAGGGGATGTGGCCATGGGGTTCAGATGGACTGGGAGGAGGGGGGAAGGGTGATGCATTAATTAATGGTTCCGTTAATTAATGTCATGTTGCTTGTCGCTTTTTCAGTGTGTGTGTATGTGTGGTCCATGCCCGCTTCTGGTGCCAGGGTGGGTACTCATGCTGTGTGCCCGACTTGGATGCCAGCCGTGTCCTGCGAGGGCGTGTGTGTAACTGTAGTGTAGTCAGGTGCTCAATGGAGAATATAAAAATAAAAAAGAAACAAGCATATACAGAAAAATATATATTTTAAGTTTAAAAAACAGAAAAACAGACAAAATTCCCATCAGATAGCTGCCCAACCCCCAGCTAGGTCTGATCCTTCTCATAGCCCACCCGACCTGGCTTCCTCCTCACCTCGGGCTCGGGGGATCTGTGGGGGGCTGGGGGACCATTTCCTTTTTTCTGCCCTTTTTTTTGTTCTATTTTGTACAGACAAGTCAGAAAAACAACAGCGACAAAAAAGACAAACTTTGTAAAATATTGTGTGTGTGATTCCTTGTAAAATATTTTCAAATGGTTTATTACAGAAGATCAGTTATTAAATAATGTTCATATTTTCACTTCAAACAGTTCCCATGCACTGTGTCTGCCCAATGGTGGGGATTGGGTAGCAGTGATGACAGGTGGCTTTGATCTCAGAGTCCCGCCCACCACTCAACTGGGTGTGAATGCCACTGTAATCCAGGCCCCAGGGGAGCACAGGGGATAATGCTTTTAGAAGGAAAAGAATGAAAAGCCTCCTGGAGGCTCCAGACCAGACCCAAAAAGGAAGAAAATAGAGATGAAATGTGAATGTGAGTTTGAAGGAAGAGGTTTGCAGGAGCCTGGGGTGTGACCCACCCACAAGCAAAAACTGCAAAAGGAAACCTGGGGGTCCTCTCTCACATGGAAACCCAAGTCAAAATGAGTATTTGCAGAATTTCAGGCTTTGTTAGTGAAAGCCAAATGTCTATACCCTTGTTCATTTTAAACTTATTCCTCTAACAGCCAACTCGAGTTGGTGTGGCTTTTGCATTCTTTTCAGGGAAAGAGGATTATAGCTACCAGCACTGAAATTTCCATCTGGCCTTTGTTCTTCTCAACAAAATTTGACACTTGGGGTTCAGAAGGGGTTCTACTGAGGGCTTGAGTTCCTCAGTTGCAAGGAGGCCTTTAACCTTCCACCTGATTCCTCACAGTCATGGTCATGGGACCCCATATGTCTCAGACCTGTGTTCCACAGCATTTCCATTGACTGATTTTTTTTTAAACAAATTGGCAAGCCTTTCCTCCTGACCATCACTTCAGGGGTGAGGGGCCAGGTAACAGTGTACCCACATTCTTCAGATTAAACAATTGAGACCTAAAGAGGAGAAACTCTTTCTTCCCAAGTGGGAAGGAAAAGAAATCATCAAATGTTTAGAAAGGATGTGTCAGTGGAAGGAATTGGATGCTCAACAGAAAGCATTTCTCTCAAAATCTAGGAAGCTCTGGTAGTGAAGTCTTTTAAGAGTTACACCACTAACTTAAAGGCCATACCTCTTTGGTATTCAAGTCCACCAGCGGCTCTGTGGGAGAAAGAGGGCATTCTCCTCCTGCGTAATCTGCAGCCTTGAAAACCTGCTAGAAAGTTAACTATGAATGGAGTCTGACTCAACAGCAATGAGGCTGAGCAAAGGCCTTTTCCTCCTTCTTCCACAACCCCCAAGACAGTTTTCATGACCCCCAAAAGCAGCTGTGAAGTTCAATTTGCCAGATAAATACAGAATGCCAAGTCAATTTGTTTTTAAGATAAACAATGATTGATTCTTAGTGAAGTGTAACCTGATAGTAGAGGTCCTTATCTAACTTCACAAGAGAGGAAGAAAATCAGCATCAGCCCAAACAGACCCCTTTGAGGTAGAAGTAGAAGTCTGAGATGCCTCTACACTTTTTTCTCACTTATTTTTTTTCAATAGTTGTCTCCAACATCCCTTAAGGCAGCCCATACATGCAACAGGCTGCATACACTGCCAAGGAGTTGCTGTTCACAGCCATTGCATCCCTGTCCCCACAGAAAAGGAGGACGGTCAGTTTAATTAGCTGCTGCATACACTTTTTTTATAAAAAACTGATGTTGCACTCTCTACATGTAGCTTTCATCTAATGCCTCTTCCAGTGTTATAGCTCTGTCTCCTGAATCTCAGAGGTTTGCAGTACAGGGACCAGCCCTAAGTCCAAAAGACACACTCCCTGCTCATGATGGTAGTGAGGTTCTCCCCTCAGCCTCTGAGTTTAGCTTTTAAGTCCACATAAAAGCGATTTATTGCACTGTACTAGATATATTTTAAATAGGGAGTCTGTTTGTGTCCCAAGGGTCCCAAAGAATGAAATAATTTTATAATTATTAATAATGAGACAGACTACCAGGAATGATATAGAACACAGAGTGTGAAAAACAGAGGGCCAACAGTTCCCATGACTGAAGGCCCCAAGCCATGCTTCTCTGAGTATTTATTTAGAATCATAAGGAAGGTAAACAAAGCAAAATCATAAGGAAGTACAAAACAAAAACAAAGGATAATGGTGAAGTCTTTTACAGATAAGGCCAAATTCCTCTTTATGCTAATCTCAGGAGGGAGGGATTCAGTTGATAACAAACTAAGAACAATGTTGACTCTTAGGGAACACCTTAGTGCCACAAGGTGACCTTCAGCTTGTATTAAGCCTCCCTCATTTCCTGATATGTTGTTGTTATGTGCCGTCGAGTCACCTGCGACTCATAGCGACCCTATGTACAACAGCCAGGAGGCAGTCGTCAGAACAGAGCAAGGGAACACTGCATGGTTCAAAATTGAGAAGGGCGTACGCCAGGGATGCATCCTATCTTTTCAACCTATATGCAGAACAGATTATCCAGGAGGCTGGGCTCTATGAGGAGAAATGTGGGGTCAAGATTGGTGGACGATTTATCAACAATCTGCGTTATGTGGATGACACAACCCTGCTTGCTGAAACTGAGGAGGATGCGTTTCCTGATATAGCACTTGGTCTACTATTAATAAATTTGATATTCGGCTTCCCTCACGTTTGATGCTTTGGTTAAGCATTACTCACTTAGATGCTCCAAGGAAGAAAGATCTGGCACTCTTACTATAAGAATTATTTATACCTTGGAAAATTCTATGGATGTTCTACTATGCTACAAGGGTTTACTGTTGTTGTTGTTATTATGTGCCATTGAGTTGACTGTGACTCATAGTGACCCTATGTACAACAGCCCTAAGCCATTCTCTATCCCTTGCCTATCTTATTGTCTCCGACATGCCTAACCCCATCACCCCAGTGACTGAAGCAATCCATCTCATCAAGGGTCTTCCTCTCCTGCACTGTCCCTCCACCCTCCCAAGCAGACATCCCTCTCCAAGGACTGATTCCGCCTTGGAACATGCCCAAAGTATGTCAGACGAAGCTTCAGAATCCTTGCCTCCAAGGAGCTGTCTGGCTTCACCTTCTCCAAGATGAAACTGTTTGTTCTCCTAGCAGTCCATGGTACATTCAACACTCTTCTCCAGCACCACAGCCTAAAGGCATCAATTCTCTATCATCCCTACTCACTGTCCAGCTCTCCAGTGTATAGCATGCAATTGCAAAGACTATAGCCCAGACCAGACTCTTACTATAAGGATTATTTATACCTTGGAAAATTCTATGGAAAGTTCTAATATGCTGAAAGGGGTTATTGTTGTTGTTGTTACGTGCTGTCAAGTGACCTGCAACTCATGGCCCCAAACCCTGCTCTATCCCTTGCCAATCTTATTGTCTCCAACACACCTATCCCCATTACCCCAGTGACTGAATCAATCCATCTCATCAAGGGTCTTCCTCTCCTGTGCTGTCCCTCCACCCTCCCAAGCATGACATCCCTCTCCAAGGACTGATCCTGCCTTGTAACATGCCCAAAGTATGTCAGACGGAGCTTCAGAATCCTTGCTTCCAATGAGCATCCTGGTTTCAAGCTTCTCCAGGACAAACATGTTTGTTTTTCTAGCAGTCCATGGTTTATTCAATACTCTTCTCCCGCATCAAAGCTCAAAGGCATCAACTCTTCTTCTATCATCCCTAGTCATTGTCCAGCTCTCTGAAGCATAGTAAGTAACTGCAAAAAGCATGGCCTGTATCAGGCACACCCTAGTCTCCAGACTGATATTGTTGCTCTTCAGTACTTTGGAGAGGTCACTTACAGCAGACTTTCTCAATGCAATTCATCTTTTAATTTCCTGGATGCTAGTACCAAGAGTGTGGATTGTAGAGCCAAGCAAACTAAAGCTGTCAACAATCGCAATCTCTTTATCATCTATCATGATGATTGGCCCAGTGGTGAGAATTTTTGTTTTCTTGATATTGAGCTTCAATCCATATTAAAGGCTGCAGTCTTTGACCTTCTGCAGCAAGCAGGGTTGTCTCATCTGCATAACGTAGGTTGTTGATGAGTCTATTTCCAATCCTGATGCTACACTTCTCCTCATAGAGCCCAGCCTCCCAGATAATCAATATAGATTGAAAAGATAAGGAGATAGGGCACATCCTTGATGCACACACCTTTCCCAGTTTTGAATCATGCAGTGTTTCCTTGTTCTGTTCTGACAACTGCCTTCCTGGTCCAAGTATAGGTTTTGCATAAACACAATTAAGTGTTCTGGGAGTCCCATTTATGAGTCACAAATTGGCTTACCATTACCAAATAAATCAGTACCACATAGGCCATTCTCAAACTAAAAATTTAAAAACATGTTGCTATGTATCATTAAGTTGGAAGTGGCCTTCCTGCGGGTTTTCAGAGGCAGGAAATTGCATGGAAGAAAACTACCTATTTTTCCCCCCACGGAGCAGCTGGTGGGTTTGAACCTTCTGTCTTTGGATCGGTAGCACAGCTCCTTACCACTAAGCCGCCAGAGCTCCCCTTTGAAGTATGAAAAAAAAAAACCCACCAAACCTAAAAAAATATTGCCCATCTTAAATTAAAATTTAACTTAAGAGTCTTCTGTGTTGATTTACAAAATCTGTCAACCCTTCCCTAGAATGGCAACCCCAACTCCAGACAAAGACAAAAGATGTGAACACTTTATAACCTGGAAGGCTCTGCAAACAGCAGTAGTTCTACTTCGAACAGTAGCTAAGAAGAGAGTTCTGAGCGTTAGATAAACATTTTGTCATAAAAGTCTGTTAATCATATTCCTATTTCAAACAAGTGATTCCATATGGAAAAAAATCAGTTTGCACACGACACAACCTGCCGGAAGCCACAGGGTGTGCCTGGCTCAGGTTTTGGGGGAGACTTCTCTTCCTCTCAGAAGTGACCAGAAAGTTTCTAGTGGGGAGCGAACTGAAGACATCCCATCCTCACTCTTTCCAAGACAAAGACAGGAAACCTGGGTTCTTGTCGCAGTTCTAGCTCAAGTAGAGCCTGAGCAATATGCTCTTACTTCCATTTTACACACGTGTTTTCTCATTGTAAGAAAGTCCTGTCATTATCTGCATTTTACAGAACATGAAAATTAGTTTCAATTAAACTCCAGGAACTTGGCCAAGGCCGCAGAACTGCCAAGGGACAAAGCAGGGATACCAGCCTCGATCGGCTACCATACACCGGACCACTGAGACTCTGGAAAATTTGCACACACAAGGACCATAAGGGAATCCTTACTTACAAACCTGCCCACAGGGGCACTCTTTTAGATGTTCAAGTAAAAGCCACGTGGCGCTTTCCAGGGAACTGCCAAGTTTATACCATGGGCACTTTTCAAAAAAATCTTCGAAGTTCATTTCCCGTCCTCCACCGCCCGAGAAACTAGGAAGGCGGCCTTGAGAACTACAGCTTCCGGCAAACCCTGCTCTCACCAGCGATGGGAGCTTTTGGGCGCATGGGTTCCTGGGACTTGTAGTTCTACTCAGAATCCTAGTTCAGCCCATCCCGGAACTCCATGTCCCAGCATGCCACGGAATCGGAAGTCCAGAGCTCAGAAGGCATTCCTCTTCCCGGGGACGCGCAAGCGCAGCGCCCCTGTTTGTCGCCCCCCCCCCCCGAAAAGGGAGGAGGTGCTCTCGAAGTCAAGACGGAGGCCGGGCCGGAGCTAAGCGGACTTAATTCGGGCCCAGTACAGGGTGTCACCCCCGCGCGCGAACCGATGGGACGCAACTGGATGGAGGAGGCCAGTCCCTGAGATCAGCAACGGCCTGGTCGTCCTGGCGCTGATGGTCTATAAGGGGTCCAGGCAAGCGTAGCTAAAGCGCCCCAAGGCCTTCCTTCAGGTCGGGAGCGAGGGTCCTAGGCCCGGCCTCGCACCTAGGTCCAGGTCGGGGCCGTGGGATCGGTGCCCGACCAGACCGGAAGTGGAGTTTTCAGTAGAGCCATAGTCCAGTGACTAGGCCGGGCCTGGGCCTCCCGTCTGGGGCCGTGTTGGAGCGAGGCCCCGGGGAGGCCCCGAGCCCACCAGACTTTTCCACAACACCGGCGCCTGCCGCCAAGATGCAGCGTGCCCTACCGGGCGCCCGGCAGCATTTGGGGGCCTTCCTGGCCAGCGCCAGTGTGGTTGTGAAAACCCTGTGCGCGGCTGTGCTGTTCCTCTACCTGCTGTCCTTTGCTGTGGACACGGGCTGCCTGGCGGTCACCCCAGGCTACCTCTTCCCTCCCAACTTCTGGATCTGGACCTTGGCCACTCATGGGCTGATGGAGCAGCATGTATGGGATGTGGCCATCAGCGTGGCCACAGTGGTGGTGGCCGGTCGTTTGCTAGAGCCCCTCTGGGGGGCCTTGGAGCTGCTCATCTTCTTCTCAGTGGTGAACGTGTCCGTGGGGCTGCTGGGGGCCTTCGCCTACCTCCTCACCTACATGGCTTCCTTCAATTTGGTCTACCTGTTCACCGTCCGCATCCATGGCGCCCTGGGCTTCCTGGGGGGTGTCCTAGTGGCGCTCAAGCAAACCATGGGAGACTGCGTGGTTCTGCGAGTGCCCCAGGTGCGCGTCAGCGTGGTGCCCATGCTGCTGCTGGCACTGCTGCTGCTGCTGCGGGTGGCCACGCTGCTCCAGAGCCCGGCCCTGGCTTCCTATGGCTTCGGGCTGCTCTCCAGTTGGGTCTACCTTCGCTTCTACCAGCGCCACAGCCGAGGACGCGGGGACATGGCCGATCACTTTGCTTTTGCCACCTTCTTCCCCGAGATCCTGCAGCCTGTGGTGGGACTGTTAGCGAATCTGGTGCACAGCCTCCTGGTGAAGGTCAAGATCTGCCAGAAGACAGTCAAACGTTACGACGTGGGCGCCCCGTCCTCCATCACTATCAGCCTCCCAGGCACAGACCCTCAAGACGCCGAGCGGAGAAGGTACTGGGGGAGCTTCCAAAGTCTTGTCAAGCTAGGCTAGCAGATTCAGAAAGGAATACAACCCAGTCTTTGGTTTTCAGGAACTCAGCATTTAGGTGTCTGGGTTCCAAGAGGTGTTTTCCAATGTCAGAGACTGAAAGGAGCTTTTCTCATCACATCAGCCATTTACCCAGCCTCTGGAAATGTCCAGTTTCCTCTGGTACTGGGCGAAGGGTTAGTGGAGAGCCAGGTAATCATAACCCCAACTTTGACATGGCTCGACAAATCTTGGAAAATCCTGAATCTTGTACATGGCTTCTGCAGGAACCAGAGATAACCTGTTAGTTCCTCTTCCCTGTGTCCATAAGAAGCCACCGTGATTCCTAAATGTTAGAGCCTTTCCTAGACTTTAATCCAGATTCTGTGATTCTCTGCCACTTATTCTGGAGAGGGGAACTTAGGGTAAAGGCATGTGTCACCAAACCAATAGGACAGGCCACGTGACCCACCAGGGAGTAGATGATGACCCTTTTGTTGCCTGTAAACCAACCTGTCCACACCAGAGGAGTCCCACCTGAATTATTCACTGGATGCACCTTGGCCAGGGCAGGACAGGTATTTATAATCCCAGTTCTGCAGACTCACCAGAGAAATGTCACAGCTTCTGCTAGCCCACAGCTCCATTCCACCAACATACTTGAATCTTTTGAGACAATTACTTGGATAGTGAAATCCTAGGCAGGCTGTATCCCTACTTTCTGTATTTGTCAAAAGCAGAGCCTTTGCTTACCTGTAAAAATGTGTTCTTGGCTGGAAGGTTCATGAATTCACCTGCAGGTATCACAGCACTTATGGTGTTGAGTGTGGGAAATATCTCTTCCTTGAAGGACTTACAAGGGTGGTAAAGGTCACAGTTGACAACCATGGTTCAGGGTGGTGGGAGTCATAAAAGTATACACAGCATGCTGCAGACATAATTCTGGTCCCTACAGCTGATAAATCCTAAAGATCTGGGAAGGCTGGAGCTAGAAAGCATTAGACTTGTCTTCAGCAATTCAGATGGGGCTAGACGTCAGGGTAGGGGTCCTTCTTTGGTAAGAAAGTTAGCTCCAGCATTCTAAAACCTCTTCCCAGGCCCAAGCAAATGGACAGGGGGAGACAGTTTCCAAGGAGCAGCAGGGTGGAGAAGCGGAGTTCTGGCACAGCCTGTGGTTGCTCACTTAAATGAGGGTGGGGTTGTTTCCTCCCACCAGCTTGACATCTGTCTACAAGCCACCTCCAGATCCAAAGGGCTACTACTAGCAGAAGGAAGCCGAGTTTCCTGTCTGCTTGACCTTTATGAGGAAGTAACTGGCATGCCACTACCTCTGCCTCTGCGGGCTTTTGGCAGAGCAAGGAAGGACTTCTCTGAGATGTGGCCTGGGTATCAGCAGACAAGGACTGTCTTATCTGTACTCAGTAAATTGTACTGTATCGGTACTGTAAATTGCTGTGTGCCAGGTTAGAGCACAGGGTTAAGGTGTCCCAGGGCCTGCTGTCTCTGCCCATTTGGCCTCTCCTTACAGGAAGATTTTGTTCCCTACTGGAGACTAGAAGGCTATATAGACTGCCCCTCATACTACTGGTGGCACCAGATTTGGTGGCACCAGAGGTCCACGGTGGCCACTATTAGAAATATTTGCCTGGCAGCATGGGCACTCCACCCTCCTGGTGGTCCCGAGCGCCTCATGAGTATATGGTCTTCTGATGGATTTTTCCATTTCTGCCAGAAGTGGAGTTTGCAAGGGTCTGCCATATGGACCAAGTCAGCCTATTCCCAGCCCATGTGGCCTATTTTTCTTTTCCCACAAGGGTTTAGCTAAGCCTTGATCTAGCACAAGCCCAAGTGGCTTTGAGAATTCTTCTGGGAAGGAGGATGTTAGTCAGGAGGGTTAGACTGGCCCAGGTTGGTTGAGAGCCAAGATAAGGGGCTTAAGCCCCAGCCTTCCCGTACAGATAGGTGCCAGGAGGCTCAGGACATTCTTGGCCTGGAGAAGGAAAGTGATGACAGAGACTGGACAGAAGTTCACATATCCAGAGACCTAGGCTTTTACCCATCCACTCGGGCACCAGCTTTATCCACCCTGAGGTACTACATTCAGAACTGTGTTAGCTGGCAGACAGCACATTAATCTCAGCCAGGTGAAGTCTCTCATCTATAGAGGGAAAGGTCAAAAGCCTTTGGGTCTTAATTCTGATGGCAGAGTAGGCCCCTATTCAGCCCCCACGGAGCTCCGAGTCCTGCAGAGATTCTAGGGAAGAAGGCTAGGTTGCAGTTGGAGGATTCATTCTAATGGGGGAACACTGCATAATATAAACTAAGGCCAAACTAATAGTGACCTGTCTTTTCTCTTCTGGCCCCAGGCAACTGGCCCTGAAGGCCCTCAATGAGCGGCTGAAAAGAGTTGAGGACCAGTCCGTCTGGCCTAGTATGGATGATGATGAAGAGGAGAACAGAGCCAAGGCAGACAGCCCCTTACCATCAGACAAGACCCCCACATCCGCAGGGAAGGGGGCTGCCCCAGAATCCAGCTTAATTACCTTCGAGGCAGCGACCCCGAATCTGTAACTCCAAACCACCCCAAGGGCAGCACCTTCCTTCCTGAGCCCTCCTCGCCACCCTCAGCTACTCCAGTACCAGCTCCTCTGAGGGGAAGGAAGACCTGTGGAAGGCTTCCACAGCCTACTGCTGTTTGTCGCCAACACTACCCAGGCCTCTGGATACCTGGTTTCAACTCCAGATGACCACTGTAGCAGGCATGGGGCCCCTGAGGCATCAGCAGCCCAGGCTCCATCTGAGGTAAGACTGCCTCAGCAGATGGCCTTCAGCAACTGGCTGCAAGGACACTGGTGCCTCAGCTCCTGTGCTGACCCTCATGCCTGAAACTGGTTGCTGAGAGCCCTAAGCCAAGGCAAGGATCTGCCAAAAATATTCTGGGGGCCTAGCCAGAGCAGGAACCAGCACAATGCTGCACATCCCTGCCTGCCCCCAGACAGACTGTTCATGTCAGGATTTCTGTTTCCCTCTGATGTGACTGCGGCTGCTTCTGGGTTGGGACAGCCACAGCTCCCAGGTATTTTCTACAGGACCACTTGAACGGGCCGCCAAGCCCAGCCTGGCAGTATCAATAAAGCAGTTCTTTGAGATGTGGCTCCTGGGCTCTGTGAGACCACCTTGGGCAACACCCTTATTATGCCCAAGTGTGACATTGAGACTTGACTTTGAGTTCAAGGGCTCAGCCCCCATAGCTATGGCAACTCCAGCTGGATAAAGGCCTTCGATCCCTGTGCCCCAACCACACCCCCGCTGCCAAGTAACCTGCCCAGAGCTGTCACCTCAGACCTGAATCTTTTTTGTGTCTTTCAGTGACCTCCCATCACCAGTCAAGGAGGCTTCAGGCCTCTACCCAGGGTAGTTGAGGATTAGAGACCTCTGTTAAAAGTTGTTCCCTGGCTTATCTCTATGATAAAGGGTCCAGTGCTGACTGACCCTTATCAATCCTTATCAATGCGGAAACCTGCAGCCCCCATCCTGTCCGTTCCGTTCCGTATCTGAAGACTCCACAGAGTGGCTGTGCATTCACAGCTGCAGCCTTAGCCCACTTGTATACATGATGGCTCCCTCACCTCAAGGCACAGCCAGGGACAAGGGTCCCCATCTTGTCCAGTTTCCTGTTTTTTTTATGCCGATAGCATTAGTGAAAACCATCCCCCATTCTGTGCTGCTCCTGCCATCCAGTCTTTTTTCAGTCATTTTTATTTTTTTTTTTTTTAAAAAAACCTTATAATTTCTGGAAATACCAGCACTGATTTGCTGGGGAGGCAACCCAGCTTCAATCAGACACATGATCCGTATCCTCCTCTAGGTCCATGGAGAGAAGCAGCACTCCAGTATAAATAGCAAAAATGTCACACACAGGCCTTCTCCCATCCTTGACAGTCCCAGTAGCTGAGGTGTCGCTGGGAGATACCTGGAGAGTCCAAGAGGTCCTAGGCCCAGCTTGTCAACTGAGGGGCAAGTCCAGGCTTCTGTTAAACTAGTGGGGGGCTCATGGCTGGATCCTCTTTCGATACAAATAGGCGTTGCTCACCTGATTCATGATGACAAGGCTGGTGATGACAGGACAAAGCACAGCCAGGTACCAGGCTCCACCAGTGACTGTAGCAGTGAACCATAGTGAGCGCATACCCAGCAAGAGGCTTGCACTACCCAGAAGGTAGCCCACCAGCCCTGAAGTGGCATGATACAACTTGAGCTTGGCCAGGGGCCATCTGGGCAAGAGCTTAGGGTACAGCAGCCCGACTCCACCTGAGCACTGCAGCCCCGCCCACAGTACAGCCAGCAGCCCTGCCCAGCCATGCCATGTAGTCAGGTGGGCTTTGCCCTGCTGCTCCTTGTTGAGGACGATCAGGCCCAGGCCCAGCAGCGCAGACAGTAGGGCCAACAGCTGCAGCACCCAATGACAGCGTGCTCGGCCCTTCCTTGAGAGGGAGCGCAGCAACGAACTTTCAGGAGAGAACACTAGTAGTGCCTCGGTCATCAGGAAGGAGAACTGAGGAGACAGGAATGGGAGATTCATGTGAGCGTGCTCAGAGAGGAAGAGGACTTCAGATAACCCTCTATATGTTCAGCAAAGCTGGGCTCATTTCTCTTATTCTCTCCCTACTTAGTATCCATTTAGAGGGACAGGAGTGGAGAAGCCCATCTGGGAAAAACCTCTTCCTTCCCTAAATAATCAGAGAGAGAGGGTCCCTCCAGACTAGGTGCCATTCTGAAATGTCATCTCTGCTGTTAGCCAGCAAACATGAGGTTTGAGATGTGGCAGCTATAAATGATTCATGAGCTTTGTTTCTCTGATGGGAGCTGGATACAATTTCTGGACAAGAGGTGGCTACATAGGTGCAATGTTTCAGCAAAAATTAGATGCCTTGCCATAAATTATGGTTGAGTGGACAAATAAGTAAAAAGGGACACAGGAATATCCAAATTTTCTAAGTTTCCTGTCTTGCCTAGAAGTAGGTTAAGCTTCATTTTGTACTTAGACAAATTTCACCAATTTGACCTCGGTCATGAATATCCTGGTTCAACTCTGGGATATAAATCATAAGCAGGAGTTGGTGCATGCAGAAAGAAGATCCACTAGACTTCAAAGGCCGCCATTTCTGTCCGAGCTTCCTCCCATCCCCCAGTGCTACCCAAGCCCACTACTTACAGCAAGAGACATAAACACCGGGTGCCAGGAAAATAGGCCTGGAACAAGAAAAGACAATCTAGTGAGGCCAAGTTAAGAACTCAGCTATGCCAGTCCCTACAGATGACAAACTGAGACAGCTCATCATTCAAAAAGGTGCTGGCAAAACAGGAGTCCCACCTTACTGCAACATACTGACCCCATACCTGATTGACCCCACAGTCTCTGGGCCTAGAAGCCCATGTTTAGATGCCTTTTTCTCTGGCAGACCTAGCTTCTTCCCGGAGCAGTCAAGTGGGGTACCAGGACGAGGATACTAGATGCTTTGTGGGGTCTTGGTCTAGCTGACAGAGCCCCACCCTCACGCTACACTCCAATCATTCCTCTAGCATAGAATGTCCCTTCAGCTGACCCTCAGCCTGCTCATTCCGTTCCTCCGGAGTCAGGACGAAGACTGCCTGTTGCCCATGTTACCCAGGAAGAGTGGGTCTTCCTTCATAACACACTCACTCTGAACACTACTTACTGGAGCCAGGCCTGGCAAGCACAGCCACAAAGATGGTGAAGCCCAGAGCCAGAAGGTGGGCAGCAGCCCCAGACGCCATGCGCAAAACTCGGTAGATGTGCGATTCGGTCTCCACAGTCAAGGCCATGACTAAGCAGGGCCGTGGTGGTAGCCTGAAAATACAGCGGAATAAGCAAAGATCTCAGGTGCCCACTGCCCATTGTTTAGGACAGGAATGCCACCTTCTCCCAAGGTAGTAAGATGGTGCCAAGGCAGGCATTAGATACATTTACAACGTGCCAGTTGAAGGCGGAGGCCTGCACGAATTACCTGGGCAGGAACTAACGCTAGCCCACCTTTCAGGTAGCATATGCAAGGCTGATAAGACTATAAATCCCAGAGTGCACCATGCCACTACCGGGAGAGACCACTAGCTGAGAAGGCGTGAAGCACTACGGGAGTTGTAGTTCCCTGCAGCGGCCCAGGTTTCAAACATGAATCCCTTCCCGCACAGTGTCCCCAGGTCCAGCTGGCATGCTGCACTTCCATGCTAGGGATTCGCTTACCTCACCCACAGCGCCGACCCGACACGGTGGAGTCCTCCGGAAAAGCCAGAATCTTCGCGGCCCTTTCGCGCGCGCCACCGCGTAGTGGAGCAGCTTCACTTCCGGGTGCGACGTCCTCCCACCCGAGACTTCCGGGGACGAGCCTCCAGCCCCGCCTCTGAGTCTTCGGGCTGCGCAGGCGCCTTTGAGCTGACCGCTGCCAGGCTGAGTTCACAGATCAGCCCAGGCCATCCTCTGTCTCCAAACAGGTGTTCCCTAAGGGTGGAGACTACTCTGCACGAGAGAGACTAGAAGCTAAGGGCTTGCGCCCTCCTGGAGCCATGGGCAGCAGTTGTCGCATCGAATGCATATTCTTCAGCGAGTTCCACCCCACGCTGGGACCCAAGATCACCTATCAGGTGCCACTCGGGCTTGCGGGGCTAGGAGGGAGAGGAACGTTCTCAGGAACATAGCCAATTATCTGGAAGCGGCAGTACCCGAGGTGCAGGCGGGCACGCCACTCCTTCACTCGCGGAGAACTGTAAACCATGAGGATACTCAGATACAGGATCATGACACCGTGTGTCAGAGAAGCAAGCAGTGATTGTGAGAAATAGGGGCCAAGAGGAGATACCAGGCCCCAAGAGGGGTGGGGTGAGTGGTCCTTGAGTATAACTAGATCACTGCGTTGAAATCTAAATGATGCATAGAAAGTTTGTTAAGTGTCATTGTTAGGTGCCACCGACTCGACTTACCTGTGCCATCTCTATCATCTCTCTTATATGCTCGAGCCCAATGTTACAGTCACCAGGTCAATCCATCTTGTTAAGACTCATCATCTCTTTCTATGACTCACTACTTTTCTCAGCATGTCCTTTTCTAGAGACTGGCTTTCCTAACAATGTGCCCAAAGTGTATGAGAGGAAGTTTCACCATCCTTTCCTTTAAGGAACACCCTGGTTACATTTCCTCCAAGATAGATTTGTTTGGTTTTTTGGTATTCTATGGGATAGTCACTACTCTTCTCTAACACAACTCAAAAGCATCGATTTTTCTGGTATCCTCTCCCTTACTTTACCTACTATACATTTGGCTGTCGGTTTAAAGTCTAAGGTGTGCTGGGAGGGAAGGGGTGGGGAGAGTATTTCAGGTTTCTGCACATGAAAAACCAGGACTCCATCCAGTCCCAAAGTCTGATGAAAAGCCACTTACTGGTCCCTTCCTCAGGTCCCTGAGGACTTCATCTCTCGGGAGCTGTTTGACACGGTCCAGGTGTACATCATCACCAAGCCAGAGCTGCAGAACAAGCTCATAACTGTGTGAGGCCCCAGTTGGGGGATCCCCAGGAAGAGGGGATGGAATTTGGGGAAAGCCTGACTCTGTTCCCACCTGTTCTTCCATGCAGCACAGCCATGGAAAAGAAGCTGATAGGCTGCCCCGTTTGCATCGAGCACAAGAAGTACAGCCGCAACGCACTGCTCTTCAACCTGGGCTTTGTGTGTGACGCTCAGGCCAAGACTTGTGCCCTCGAGCCCATTGTCAAAAAACTGGCTGGCTACCTGACCACACTGGAGGTCTGCTTGGGCGGATGGGCAGGCAGAGTTAGGGCAGGTGCTCCCATGCCTCAAAAGCTCCCCAGACCTGGGATTGCCAGCCAGCTCTGGACCCAGATAGGGCAGGAAGCCAGTCAGGGGTTCTGGGGTATGCCCACCATGCTGTCCATGCTCCATTCAGCTAGAGAGCAGCTTTGTGTCTACGGAGGAGAGCAAGCAGAAGCTGGTGCCCATCATGACCATTTTGCTGGAGGAATTAAATGCCTCAGGCCGGTGTACTTTACCCATTGGTACGTAACAGCCTCTGCAAGGACAGAGAATATATGGAAAAGTGAATCTAGCCATGGGGAAGAAGGTTAAGGCTTGTAAGCAAATTGGAGACCAGGAAATAGCTGTAGGTTAGACTGATGATATCCAGAGTCCAGTGCATGGAGTGGGAGTGGGAGGTAGCACAACCCTCTGTCTCTGTCCCATAGGCATATCCCTATCCTTTTTTGGACCTAAATCTCTTACTCTATAAGAAAGGTGAAGATTGGCCCTACCTGTGGCCACCTGCCTGCCTCAAAGGATGCTGGGAGGCCTGAATGATTATGTTTCAGAAGGGCTCTTGAAGGAAATGATACTCAATGTGAGTGGGACTCCTTGCAGATGAGTCCAACACCATCCACTTGAAGATGATTGAGCAGCGACCAGACCCTCCTGTGGCTCAGGAATATGATGTTCCTGTCTTTACCAAAGACAAGGAGGATTTCCTCAATTCACAGTGGGATCTCACCACACAACAGGTATGCCAATCCTCCTTGAGTATCGTAATATGAGGGTGGCCACAGCCCTGGACTCATCCCACCTCCACCAACCCTGTCCTGTCCAGATCCTCCCCTACATTGACGGTTTCCGCCATGTCCAGAAGATCTCAGCTGAGGCAGATGTGGAGCTCAACCTGGTTCGCATTGCCATCCAGAACCTGCTGTGAGTAGGGCTACGGTTGCACCCAAAACAGGCAAACGCCTGAGGCCCTCGATACGGGGACTAGGAAAGTACGGCTCTCAAAATCTGAATATTGCTGTCTTCCCCAGGTACTATGGAGTTGTGACACTGGTGTCCATCTTCCAGGTAGATGGGTCTTATTAGGCGGAATGTGTCTGGGCCAGGCCAGCACTGTGTCAGATCCTCCAAGCCCCTCGCTTAGACCACTGTGCCTCCTGCTATCCTCCAGTACTCCAACGTATACTGCCCAACACCCAAAGTCCAGGACCTGGTAGATGACAAGTCCCTGCAGGAGGCCTGTCTGTCATATGTGACCAAGCAAGGTAGGGACTAGAAAGTGGTGCATTCTGGGTAACCTGTCTGAGAAGGATAGGTTCAGCCGGTGAACTGACCCCTGGCACCCATAGGGCACAAGAGAGCCAGTCTCCGGGATGTGTTCCAGCTGTACTGCAGCCTGAGCCCAGGCACTACTGTTCGAGACCTCATCGGCCGCCACCCCCAGCAGCTACAGCGTGTTGATGAGCGGTCAGAGGGGGATCCCCTAGAATATGAGGGGCTTGCCTGAGGGTAGAAGGACCCTCAGGAGACCTGGGGCAGAGAGACAGAGGGGAGGCAGAGAAATCCCAGTGAGTAGAATCATGGCAGTCCAGTCCAGGCAAGCCTTCTTGGAATTGATGGGCTTGAGGGCCAGTCTGGTCACTGACAACAAAATTTGAAGGGAGATGGCAGGAACAGATTGGCCTGCTGAACAGAGACCTAGGCAGGAATCACCTCTCTTCCCTACCCTTACCGCAGGAAGCTGATCCAGTTTGGGCTTATGAAGAACCTTATCCGGCGGCTACAAAAGTATCCAGTGCGAGTGTCTCGGGAGGAGCGAAGCTACCCTGCCCAGCTGTACACAGGCTGCCACAGCTATGATGAGATCTGCTGCAAGACAGGTGGAGCCAGGCAGGGCAGCCTGGGTGGGGTGAGGGCAGGGCAGCTAGGCCAGAGTATCTGACCTTACCTCCATCACCACACCCAGGCATGAGCTACCATGAGCTGGATGAGCGACTAGAAAATGACCCAAACATTATCATCTGCTGGAAGTGAAGCCTATGAGGGCCTGGATAGAATCTGGCTGTGGCCACTCCCTCCAGTTCAGCCCTGCTGGTGCCAAGTCCAGACTGATTCAAGATTACCTCTCAGATCTGTAAATAAACTCATTCACTTCAGTCTACCTTTATTGAGTACAACTTCTGTGTCGTCTACCTAGGTCCAATGAAGCAAAACCAAGACAGATCCAAATAGGAAAAATTGCAAGTTGATCCCAGCTAGAAACCTGTTTCCCTCTTAGAAAACAAGAGCAGCATGCCACAGAAAACAGATGTCTTCACTAGTTGATAAATGAGGGAAGCCAAATTTCAAATTTACTAATAGTAAACCAAATGCTATATCAGGAAATGAGGGAGGCTTAATACAAGCTGAAAGTCACCTTGTGGCACTAAGGTGTTCCCTAAGAGTCAACATTGTTCTTAGTTTGTATAAACTGAATCCCAACCTCCTGAGATTAGCATAAAGAGGAACTTGGCCTTATCTGTAAAAGACTTCACCATTATCCTTTGTTTTGTTTTGTACTTCCTTATGATTTTACTTTGTTTACCTTATGATTCTAAATAAATACTCAGAGAAGCATGGCTTGGGGCCTTCAGTCATGGGAACTGCTGGCCCCCTGTTTTTCACACTCTGTTCTATATCATTCCTGGTAGTCTGTCTCATTATTAATAATTATAAAAATACTTTACCCTCGGTCTGCAACAGATAAACAGTGCACTCTCTGCTTTTCCTTGCTGGTAGTGAGATTCCCACCTTTGCTGCTAAATCCACTTGATTTAACTTGGGGGGATGAAGGGGGGAACCCCAAACAATCCCATAATGATTAGCTTATTCACACCTTATTTCAGGTTCCCACCCAGTCAGGTGGTAAAGCTGATAGCTAGGAAAGTCATTTTGAACAGTAAGCCTATGGCAACATTGTCACCACACCTCTTCCAAGTTTCTCATTCCATGGTTTCATAATTTATCCTGCTCTAGTAGATCCACAAATTTAAATCTGTCCTGATTTTACCAGGTTTAGAACCCTGCATCCACCAGAGACCAGGCAGTGACTGAGATAGACATAGCTCTGTCTGACCCCTTTCTGAGCACCACCTGATGGGCAGAACCAACAATATATATGTAAAAAATTAAAAACCCAAGCCCACTGTAACTCAAAGAGGTCCTGTAGAAGAGAAATACTCAATAGAGTATCAAGGAGGTGTGATGGAGAGTGTGTTAGGACAGAAGCAAAGGCTGCTTTGGATTAGATGGACAAGAGAGGCAGCATTGAGGGGCAACTCGAAGGAAAAGTTCTAGGCAGAGGTAGTAAGTCCAAAACCTCTGATTTTTTATTTAAAAAAAACCAAAACACCCCACCACTTAGGGATGTTGAGGAAGCCTATGGGATTGGAACTTAGGAGACAAAATAGGTGAGAAATTCCGAAAGTAGAAGTGAGCCGGATCCTACAGAGCCGCTGGTAAACCACTTTGGACTTGGTATTGTGCAGGCCAGTGGCCACCACGGAGTGTTTCCATGCACGGTAGTACGATCTAATGTACACCTTTAAAACTGCTGCCTATATCCATGAGGGTCACAAATGAAAGCAGGTCCAATGAAAAGGCTGCTCTAGTTACCCTGTGAGAAGTGATGGCAGCCTGGATTAAGATAAATTGTCGGCCCTTAGCTGTATTTCCGTAGCAGAGCCCACAGATGGGGAGCTAAATACGTGAAGCACGGGAGTGAGGAAGTCAAGTAGAGGAGTAACCAGGCGGGCCGACATGGGACAGCTGATGGGAGTCAGCATTGCTCCGTTCCAGGCTGAGCAGAGAGGTCTAGGAAACAGAAGCCACGGGAGTCTGGTGCTCAGAAGAGCCTCGAGGGCTTCAGCGGGTTGCAGGAGAAGAAAGCTGAGGTCCAAGTCGAGGGTGTAGGGGGAGAAAAGCGAGGTCACTGCCAGCCAGCCTTCAGGACCTTCCACAATTTGCCAGCAGCGGGAGCGGCTCACACTGCGCAGGCGCCAACCCATCTCCAGGGCAACGAGCAGCCGCGCAACCCCAACCGCTCCACAACTCTCCTGTGGCTGACCTTGTCCAAGCAGGAGCCGGTGGTGTGTCCAGTGCCAGCTGTGGCCCCAAGGCAGCAAAACTCCACGTTGCCGTTTTCTGTCAACTGTGCCGACATGAGCGACCTGGAGCTGCTGCTGCCGGGACAGGCTGATGGACTGGTGCGGGGTCTGCGCAGCTTCCCTCTGCGTGAGATAGGCTCTCCAGGGTAAGGCGGCCAGGTCAAGGGGCTGACGGAGTCAGGGGGTCCGGGACCTTTTTGAGAAACTTTGGACCTGAGATGAGGGCAGAGGGTGTAAGGGAGGAGGAAGGGCGCAGCCAGGAATGGAGGGGCTCCCAGGTGAGAAGAGAAAGCAGAGCGATAAGGGCATTATACCTCTTGACTCCTCTCTAAGGAACCCTGAAGGGATACCATGAAAGACAGTGATCTGGGGGAGTTTTTGTTTGGGGACATGTCTCTAGACCCTGGGGATCAGGCTGGACTTCAGAAGTACAGAAACCTCACCCTCAGTGCCAGTGCACACACATACATCCAAATGTACCACATCCCTTCGGGGCAGGTGGAACCAGCAGCATGAGAACCTGGAGAAGCTGAACATACAAGCGATTCTAGATGCCACAGCCAGCCAGGGTGAGCCCATCCAGGAGCTCCTGGTCACCCACGGGAAGGTATGTCCCTTGGCCACGGTATGCCAAGTATCCTTGACCTATTCTTTTGCCAGACTGACCTTTCTACCTCTTAAGAACATGCTTGCTGGCTGCTCTCTCCTCTGGTGCATGTCCTTCCCAAATGGAAAAGCGAAGTATGTTACACATTCATTCTACACTACTATGAAACAAGGCCCTCGCACACCAAGGCCAGTGCAGGGCCAGAGCTGAAATGGATAATCATGGATCCTAGAACAGCCCAGGCTGAAGGGAGAAGGCAAAGCGTTAAAAGTATCCTTCAGCAGATTATTAATAGACAGGAAAAGGTCCCTACTGAAGTGGCAGTAGGATGTTGGCATGAAAACAGCTTCCCTATAGGGAGATTAGACATAAGGATCCTCCTGGCTGGAGTCTAGACCACAGAATGGCTCTAGAAGATGACCTAAGATACCACTTCAAAAGGGGTGCCCCTCCAAGAAAATTTGAAACCCATTATTGAGGAGAGAGGGAAAGAGCACTGTGAAGAATCTCAAATAAAGGTGAAGCCAAGGCACTCAACAGAACAAGGACAAGAGAGAGGCCTGGATGGGAGATACAAAGGTACAGGGAAAGGAAAGCAGGGTCACTCCAGGCAGCCTGAGGGCAAGGTTGGAATGGGTCTCCAATAGCAGAGAAGATGTCTCCACAGATGAGAAAACAGTCAGAGATGCAGGTGTAAGGCTCAAGAGAGAGGTAAATGGGTATTTGTAGGACCTAGCAGAATATAAGGGCACAGGGGAATTTGAGGGGAGCTGGGCTGGGCCAACCCAGGGATGAGGAGGTTCCCAGACCAAGGTAGGCTCACCTCCTCCCTGTCCTCTGCTCCTTGAAGATCCCAGTGCTTGTGGAGGATCTGATCACAGTGGAGATGTGGAAACAGAAGGTGTTCCCTGTCCTGTGCAAGCTGGAAGACTTCATGCCCCAGAACACCTTTCCCATCTATATGGTGGTGAGCTGGGCCCCTGGGTCACACTTCCTTCAGAAGGTCCTGGACTGAAGAAGGCAGCTGGTAGTCCTTAATCTCATTCAGCAGTCCTGAGCCTCCCCTTGTCTTTGGATGGCAGATCCACCATGAAGCCTCCATCATCAACCTTTTAGAGACAGTCTTTTTCCACAAGGTATGACAAGGAGAAGTGGATACAGTGTCCCAAGCCAGGACAGGCTCTCAGTGGGGATGTTGCCAGAGGTAGAAGTTTAGACCTTTTTCCTGCCCCTATGCCCTAGGAGGTATGTGAGTCAGCAGAGGACACCATCTTGGACCTGGTGGACTACTGTCACCGCAAACTCACTCTGCTGGTGGCCAGGAGTCATTGTGACAGCCTCCCTAAGGAGGAAGGGTCCCAAGACATCACCCCCATGCAGGTTGGCTGAGGTTTCCTGGGGCTGCCAAAGGCTGGACCTGAACTTTATGAAGCCTGGGGAGGCCAAGAGTGATTCATCCTGACCAGTGTGTGGTCCCCCAGGAGCTGCAGCAGCAGGCAGAACTGATGGAATTTGAGATTGCACTGAAGGCCCTCTCGGTGCTCCGCTACATTACAGACTGTGTGGACAGGTGGGCGGCCCTGCTGAGACAGTGGAGAGCCGTGGGGCTGGGCCTGTGGCCTCTGCTCATCCCTGCCACCCCCTACTTCTAGCCTTTCTTTGAGCACTTTGAATCGCATGCTCAGCACCCACAACCTGCCCTGCCTCCTGGTGGAACTGTTGGAACACAGTCCCTGGAGCCGAAAAGAAGGAGGTAATGAGCCCCCTGACCCACACCCTAGACCCCAGGCTGCTGCTTCTAGGGTATGCTCCAGGATTGGCAGTAGTTGTCACTTGCTCACAGGCAGACAAACCCTGACCTCTAGCCCACAAAGGACAGCTATTATAAAGTGGTCCTGGACTTGGGTTCTCTAAAGGACTCTAAGCTTTCTCAGGCTAGAAGTACCACCTGAGCAAGTTCTATGTCCCTGGCTTATCTTGCCCTGCCCAGGAAGTGGTTAGAACCCCAGTCCACACAGATGGCTCACTCAGAAGAGTGTGCCACAGCTGTACTCATTGTACTGGTCCCTCTTTTCAGGCAAGCTGCAGAGATTTGAGGGTGGCCACTGGCAGACTGTGGCCCCCAGAGACCACCAAAAGCTAAGTAAGTTGGATGGGCAAGTGTGGATCGCCCTGTACAACCTGTTGCTAAGCCCAGAGGCACGGGCTCGCTACTGCCTCACAAACTTTGCCAAGGGTCAACTGCTCAAGGTGAGATGTAGCCCCAGGCATCCCCACACCAGTGTCCACAGCCCAGCACCTAAGGCCCACGGGCATCCTCAGCCCCACAGTTCCTTTAGCCCCACAGGCACCCTCAGCCCAGCTCAGTCCTGTGGCCAGCATCTGCCTCACACTGGTTTCTCTGGACACTTTTGCAGCTTCGAGCCTTCCTCACAGACACCCTGCTCGATCAGTTGCCCAACCTGGCAGACCTGCAGAATTTCCTGGCCCAGCTGACCTTAGTTGAAACTCAAACCCCCAAAAAGGACCTGGTGTTGGAACAGGTAGGCACTGAGAAGTTAGACCCAAGACCACTGCCCACTTTGCCAGCTCCTCCTGCCCCTTTCCATTTCTCTTTCTTTCCCACTGCCTACCTCTCAGATCCCAGACATCTGGCAGAGGCTGGAGCAAGAGAACAAAGGCAAGTGGCAGGCTATTGCCAAGCATCAGCTGCGGCACGTGTTCAGCCCCTCAGAGCAGGAACTGCGGCAGCAGGCACGGAGGTGAGCTCTGCTCAGCTGCAGAAAGGGTGGAAGGGATGCAGAAGGTACCAGCTTGGGCCGGCAGCTCCCTCACCCCCACCTACCAGATCTAGCCAAGATTTCTCAATCTCTTCCCCAGGTGGGCTGAGACTTATCGGCTGGATGTGCTCGAGGCAGTGGCCCCTGAGCGGCACTGCTGTGCTTATTGCAGTACAGAGGCCTCCAAACGCTGTTCCAGATGCCAGAAGGAATGGTATTGCTGCAGGTGAGGGTACCCTAAGATGCTGAGACCCTGAGACTCACCCCCTACAAGCACTGTCCTCTTCACTGTCCCACCTGTCTGCAGGGAGTGCCAGGTCAAACACTGGGAGAAACACGGAAAAGTCTGTGTCGAGGCAGCCCAGAGTGACAGAGCTAAGTAAAGACTGCAGCTGGCGAGGACGGACTACTCTCACCCAAAGACCCCACTCCAGAGTGTGAAACCCAGAACCTCGAGACCTCTGCTGAGCCCCAAGCCTGTGGCTAGGGCTCAGCATCAGGGCAGAGAAGAGCTGCTGACCCAGCTCTGGCTGTGATGTTACCCGCTTCCTGCCCCACCCTGGAGGGCCGACCAGACCAAGGGCGCGCTCTCAGCAAGCTGAAGCCAGAGACCTGGGCTGGGGATGAAGGCCGGATGTGGGGACCCTCTTCCTCTCGCACAAGTAAAGCTGGCCTGCAGAAACACGCCTTTCTCTGTGTGCCCCTTGACAGTCGTGGGGTCGTGCTCTTTGGCGATGGAGGGAAGGAAGGTGAGGCGGGGATTCTGCAAGAACTGGTGCGCCACTCCCCCCAAACTCCATCAGGCACCGCCTGCCGGCGGATACAACCCCCGCGCCCAAGTTTCCATTGCGCTGCTCCCCTCGTCTCTCTCTCCGGGCCGCCCTGCTTGGATCTGAGAGGCGGTGCGGCTGTCAGGTCCGCCCCACGGCCCCGCCCGCCCGGCGCTCGCGCCCTGTGCAGCCTGCTCGCCACCCAGAGCCGAGCAAAGTCCCAAGCGAGTCGAGCCATGTCCACGGAGCCTGAACTTATTGAGCTGCGGGAGCTGGCACCCTCACAGCGTGCCGTCCCGGGCCGCACCCGCCTAGAGCGCGCCAACGCGCTGCGTATAGCGCCCGGCACCACGCGCAACCCCGCAAAGCAGCCGGCCCCTGGCCGCGGCCACCGCTTCCATCCTGCAGGGCCCACCACGCATACATGGTGCGACCTCTGCGGGGACTTCATCTGGGGCGTCGTGCGCAAGGGTCTGCAGTGCGCGCGTGAGTAACGGCCCCCGCAGACAAGTACACAGAATGTGTGGCCTACGGGACAAAGCCATTGCTGCAGGCCAGGTCACAGTGGAGGGGGGCGTTGGGGACGATTGGTTCTTGCGGACCAGATCCGTTTTCTTTGGTACACTGCGGAAATGAGTGCAGGCATACGATGGTTTGTCTCCTTGGTTTGGCCCATCCTCACTTGGGACGCTGGGCAGGGACAGTTGCTTATGAATAACAAGGTACTGGTTTCAAGTTTCTCTTTACAGAGCCTTGTCATTCTTGCAAAAGGCTGTGGTCCCAATAGTCTTAGCACATGGGCCTACCCCTACCCCAACAATCACTTCCTGGAAGCCTGAGGTGTAGGAAATTTACTCACCTGTGGGAATGGGGTCTGAGAAAAGTTGAGTAACTTGAGTGGGCTGCAAAGCGTTCGCTGAAATGCCTCAGATTTTTGCAGAGTACCTGCAGTGAGCCAGGAACTGAAATAAGGGGGCCAGCTACATCCTAGACTTGCCAGTCGCCTCATGGCACTCAAGGACTAGGGCTGAGTGAGGTTGTTCTCTCATTCGCTTCATGCTGCTATAATCACCTGGGGCTGTTTCACAGCCTTCCCACTGCCTACGCGCGGACCCTGCCGCCTCGGAGTCACTGAATCAATTGCTAAAGGGTTATGTGCTGTCAAGTATGATTCATAGCGACCCTGTGAACAACTGCCCTGAACTTTGCCCTATTCTGAGCCAAACCACACGGTCTCCGGTTAGGCATCAGTAATTTTTAAAACCCTCCCTAACTCTCTCCCATGTGCAGCCCATGTTGTGAATCAATATTGGTCTGTTTGATAAATTTAGGGTTGGTACCCTAGTCCTCTGTATGCCTAGAGACTCTTTCATCCAGTTCTGATGTTTGTCTTAATATCCACCCGAGGGGGAAAGAGAGATCAAATACAAAGCATGACCTAATGCTCTATCTTCAAGAAATACAGTGGCATGGGGAGCTCTGGTGGCCTAGTGGCAAGGAGCTGCAACTACAATCCCAGAGGTGCACGGTTCAAATCCACCAGATGCTCTGCCGGGAAAGGAGGGACAATCTCCTCCTGTACCAGTCAGATCTGATTTGACGGTACACACACACACACACACACACACACACACACACAAATTTAAAAAAAAAAGAAATACAGTGGCCATGAAGTGGGACAATTTGGGTGTATTTGATCAACAATGGGAGAACATATTTTTTAATAAGATGTGGGACTCTGGTAGCGTGGTGGAGAAAAAGTAAAATTTTTGCATTTTCAGTATGCAATGTCTATACGACATGTAGGATTTGACCTAAGGGCCAGGGCTGGAGCCTGGGATCTAGGAGAGAAGCCACTGGGTGACCAATGGGAAAGGGAAGGCAGACAGAAAAGAGAGATCAAGAATGAGCCCCAGACCTTTGCCATGAAGAAGTTAAAAGTTGAACAAGCAAAGGCGTTCTGGAAAGACTGCAGAAAGGTGGGGAAGGGGAGACTGAAAGAGTAAAAGAACAAAAACTGAAAGTATAGACACCTAGGAGCCAAGAGGAACAAGTGTCAAAAGATGCTGTTGAGCAGGCAGTGAAGAATGAACCGTTATGTTTGACAAGAAGCAGGTTGCTGGAGGGACAGACAACTGTTACTGCAGTGGGTGAAAGGCAAGGAAATCAATGTATAGAGGCTTGTGTTGATAAGTTTTGTTATTAAGGGAGGGACAACTAGGGGGACTTGTGTGTTAAAGGCTTTTGGGGTTTTTTTACCTTTAAGTGAATTCCAGGGAGCAACTGACAATGGGATAAAAGGGAGAAACAGACACCAAGCTCTACAGATCCAACTGTCTAGCAGGCCTGAGTCCCTAACCGCCTGAGGCTTTCTAACCTGTTTTGAGAGAGAAGGGATCTCCATAATTAGCAGATAAAGAAGCCTGAGAGAACACTTGTCATGAAGGGCCCGAGGCTTCCTTTCCGTCCCCTGGAGTAGGGGATCCTGGCCTCACAGCTCCGCCTTTCCACAGACTGCAAGTTCACCTGCCACTACCGCTGTCGCGCACTCGTCTGTCTGGACTGCTGCGGACCCCGAGACCTGGACTGGGAGCCGGCGTTGGAGCGGGACACGAACGTGGTGAGCGCGGCGTGGGGCCGAGGGTGTTACGGGCGGGACAGACGGTCCCCAACACCAAACTGCCCTTACGATGCGCGCAATGAGCGTTCTAATAACAAATTTCGCCCCAGCGGTAAGTAGATAATTCTGGGTGAAGGTTCCTCGCTCTTCGCAGAAGCCAGAAGCCAATCACAGAGTCCCCATGCCGCTCAGGCTCCGCGCATGCGCACACTCGGCGCCTGGCCTCGCCCCATCCGTTCTAGCGGCCACGCGATTGCACATGCGCATACCATCGAACACTGGAGAGCGTCGGGGGGAGGGGGTTACGGGTGGAGTGGCGCTTCGCTGCGCTGCCTGGACGATGAGGTCATTCCCGGAAGCCACACGTTGGTGGCCCAGTCCCTCAGCGTCCCTCCCCCAAGGAGACGAGAGCTGGGACTCGGCTTGTCTACGAGTTCAGTCTTAACGGTTGCGGCGCGGACGCCGGTGGTCTTGGCTCGCGGCCTTCCGCGCGGACGCGCACGCGCCCGGTCCGGCGGTTGGAGGTTTTTGACGCACGCGACCAGGAGACGGGAGGGAGGACGGGCGGGCGCAGCGATGGGCGAAGCAGACGCAGGGACGCCGTCTTTCGAGATGACTTGGAGCAGCACGACCAGCAGCGGCTACTGCAGCCAGGAAGACTCCGACTCGGAGCTCGAGCAGTACTTTACGGCGCGCACCTCGCTGGCGCGCAGGCCACGACGGGACCAGGTGGGGGCCAGGGGACCCCGCTCTTGCCCGGTTTGTCACCGTGTTGGTGGGCAGCCTCGCCCTCTCATCACTAGAGTCCCCTCCCGTGCTGGCTGTGAACGGGCCCGCTCGACTCTGTGTCGGGTTCGCAGATGATGGTAAAACCCCGATGCCAGCGCCTCGGTTACCGGGCTCCGAGACCTCCTGCCTACCCCATCACGAGACCGGTTAAACCGGGGGAAGCAGCTACGTGGCTTGGGGCAGACCGGCGTGGGCATTGCTCACCCATGACTAAGGCCGACTGCGCAGTCTGGTCTAGCACCTCGATTTCCCCCTGCGGGCGCGCCCACCCCCTCCCCTGGGAACACGCAGAGGAAATGAAGGGAGGAGTCCTCGCCCGGAATCCGAGCCGCGGCGAGGGGAAGGCCAGGAAGGACCGATCCCTTCATTTGCACGCCCTCCAGGACAGAGCCCGCTGAGCCCCCGCCTCTTGCGGGTCCTGGCATTACCTCTTGCTCGGTTGTGGAGGATTCTGATCTCCCTCTAGGGTGGACCTTGAGAAAGGGAATTTAGGACCAGCTCGATGGAAACTTTGGTTTTGGGGCCGAAAACGTCCAAGAGTACTTGGCCCTCGTTACTCACAAGAAGTTGGGTAAGATTGCGGTAGATGCCATGAGAGAGAAATCAGGATTATTAATCCAGGACTGAAAAATGTGAAGTTTGGCCCTGGCTTTTTGCAGTTGGTGTCAGGACAGCTAAGTCTGCTTTTTCTTGTTAACCAGGTCCTGTAAAGTCAGTTTCTTCCCATAGGAACCCTATGTGACTGAGAAAAGGAAATTTAGGCTCCACTAAGAATTTCTTTTTCCGGGCTTTAGTGTGAACTCTAGGGAACTGACCCCGCCATCATTCAAGCCTGTCTTTTCCCGTTCTGGGGACAACTACAGCGCCTGATAGGGTTTTCTTGGCTGTAATCTTTACAGAAGCGATTCCTGGTTTTTCTCCTGTGGAGTGAGTGACTGGATTCAAATTGCCAAGTTTTTAGTTAGCAGCTCAGCACTTAACGCCCCTCCAAAGTCTGCTAGGTGTCTCCGCTATCAGAGCCCTACCTCTGTGTGTGCATTGTGCCAGAGTGTTAATTACCAGGCTCTGAAAACTATCCTGGGGCTGGGATCCATCAGAGAAGCATCCAGGCCAGGTCACTGGAAGAAGTGGAGACAAGGAAGCTCAGCATACCTGAAAGAAAGAGGTTGATTCCCTTATGAAAACCAGCAAAAGTGTTAGAGATGGATATTGTTATTAACATAGTTGCAGGTTCTCCACAAATCATTAAGAATACATATATGGTTTACAATTTCTTGGGTTTTATATCATTATTAATATACATTGTGTTTCATTCGAGTACATTGTGTTTTATACAGTTATTCACATGTTATTTTGTGTGCCATGGATTTGGAACCAATCTGTAGCTGACCTTCTAGCAAGTTTTCACAGGCAGTTTGTCCCTCCTCCTCCCTTGGAACAGCTGGTAGATTTGAACTGCATGCATTTGGGATTGCAGCATAGTTTGTTATCACTAGGCCGCCAGAGCCCCCCTATTACTCATATATGCTGTTTTATATAAGTATTTACTATTGATCAATGCTCTTTATCACCCTATCTCAGCAAGTTCCCATTACACTTTGCCTGTTCCTTTACTTGCTCTCCCCCGCCCCCCCAATCAGTTCACTAATATTTGCAGCCTCAGTGATTTCTCCTTTTCGTCTACACCTCTTTTTCCCTGTCCCCCTGCTCCTTTTGGACAGTTACACATATCTTGTTCCTGTTTGCTGATTGCAGTAGCCATATGGTCCTTTTGTCAGTTTTTCACAGGTTGATCCTCTCTTGTCCTGACCGTTTATAGTGTTCATTGTTGGTACATTCTATTTCTGCACTCCCCATCCCCCCAACCCCCTGTATAGATGATATTTAGGTGAAAAGTCTCAAAGTTCCTTACAGAAAGAATGGTGCTCAGCAGTCTGAAAGTTCAGGCCGGAATTTATTTTTGAGGCATGAGTGTGAACTCTAGGGACTGTTCCAGTGTTCTTCGGGCCTGAGCCATTTTCCACTGTAGAAGAAAAGGAGGAAAACCCCTGAGTGGTATTTAAAGTACCAGTAACTGTCACTGTGGAAGGTGGCAGAGGAGAGAATGAGTCCCTCAGTGCTACATGGAAAGAAAAATACATTTCTCTGTGTGTTCTTCTGGAGCCACTAACTAACTCTTAGGCTCTTCCTCCAGTGAACAGCTTTAGAAGAAGTGGGGGGAAAATCCTCCCTCCAGAATTCTGGCAGGACTGTTGTGCTTTTAGTCCTAATCACCTCATTTTACAGATGAAGATAATGAGGAAAGTTGATTAATTTTTGGGTTTTTGTTTTGTTTTTTAAGTCACTGAAAAATGATATAACATAGTGTCAGACGCTATTGGCATCAATAGCTTGAGGTTGATTGTAATGAAGCAGAGATGAAACATACTTCCAACTTTATTACCAGTTCTGACACCAGCTGTTTCCCACAATGCACTCTACTTCTCTGCTGGCCTCAATAATTTGTTACAAAGACCAGACAGACCTCAGAAAATATTCAGTGTTAAGGAATTTATTAGGGAAGCTATTGTTAGGTGCCATCAGGTTGAGTACAACTCATAGTGACCCTATGAATGACAGACCCTGCTTTATCCTGTGCCAGGTGCATCATCATCTCTGACACTGTAGCAATCCATCTCATCAGGGGTCTTCCTCTCCTTCACTAACCCTCTGTCTTTCCAGGTGTTAGGAAAGTAGCAGTTGATGGTCTAGGATCAGGAATAACTCAAGGTAATAGTCCTTCAGCCTCTTCTCAGCCTGCCTGCAGGCAGAACTCTCTCTCATTTCTTTGCTCTGTTTACAAAGCTCTGTTTATTAGCTCTGCTGATAAGTGCCCTCGTCACCAACCCTGCCAGTAAGCCTCAACCAGAGTCTCTCAGCTTGCCGAGTGTCAGAATCAGGTGGTGCTATTCAGATGTGGTTTTACTTTAAATAAGTATTCTTCCTCACTCATTTTTTCTGAGTCAGAACTGGCTCACAGCTGATCCTTCATTGGGTTTCCTAAGCTGTCAATTGCGTAGGAGGAGACTGCCTTGCCTTTTCCCCAGGAGTCACTGGTGAATTTGAACCACTGGAGAGATGTGGCCTCTGGGAAAACAATGCAATTCCCTGCAAACAACACTTCTTGACCCCTGAACTCAAGCTGTCAGTTACTCTTAGTTCTGAATGGAGTCTTTGGTCCAGCTCTATGGGCTTCACGTCTTCTTAGAGACACATCCAACTGTTAGGAGGTAACATAGAATAGTCAGATGATTCTTTATTTGCTGTCCCTACACCCACCGCAAAACCAGGAGTCATGAGCTCAAGGTATGCAGCTACTGAGTAGCTATGCTTATCAGGAAGTCAAAGGCAGCTCAGTGACAAGACCTAGAGTGCCAGAGGTTTTTCTTATCAAGCCTCAGACTTTATTGTCAGTTTCCAAGGGCTACCCTAGAGGCTGTTTTTCAGTTATGCTCTGGATGGACCAAAGCAAGAAGTATCCCAGCCTGCTTTCCTGCTTATGATGTCCAGTACAGCAAAATGTGTTCCTCAAGGGCCAGGTTTATGTTAGCTTTCTCCTCTCTTTCAGGATGAACCTGTGGAGTGGGAGACACCTGACCTTTCTCAGGCTGAGATTGAGCAGAAGATCAAGGAATACAACAGCCAGATCAATAGCAACCTCTTCATGAGTTTGGTCAGTTGAAGGCCTGGGGCTGGGGAAGTGGGGACCAGAAGCGAGCTGTGTGCTTGATGTCCACAGGGTCACAGCTGAGGTTTGTTCACACTCAGCCTTGCCCCCAGGGGCAAGCCTGTTCCATGTCAACTGACTTCTGTAGTCATGGTTTCTGTCTCTCTCTCCTCAGAACAAGGATGGTTCATATACAGGCTTCATAAAAGTTCAGCTAAAGCTTGTGCGTCCTGTCTCAGTGCCCTCCAGCAAGAAGCCACCCTCCCTGCAGGATTGCCGGCGGAGTCCAGGACGGCCCACAGCTGTGAGGCGCCGAACTTCCTTCTACCTGCCTAAGGATGCTATTAAGCACCTACACGTGCTTTCACGCACACGGGCACGTGAGGTCATTGAAGCCCTACTTCGCAAATTCTTGGTGGTGGATGACCCCCGTAAGTTTGCACTCTTTGAGCGGGCTGAGCGCCACAACCAAGGTGAGCTGTGCTTGCATGTGTGTGTGCCTGTATTCATATACCTTTTCATGTCGAGGCCATAGGAGCTGAGCCTTAACTTTTGACTCTCTCTCTCTTGCTTCCTGCCTGACCTACAGTGTATCTTCGGAAACTATCGGATGATGAACAGCCCCTGCGGCTGCGGCTCCTCGCTGGGCCCAGTGAGAAGGCCTTGAGTTTTGTCCTAAAGGAGAATGACTCTGGGGAGGTGAACGTGAGTATCCAGCTTCCCTGGTTTTTTGCTTGTCATTAGGTAAGTAGATTGTAGCTCCAGTAAGGCTTAAAGAGGAACAGAGTTGAAAGACAAAACTTGTGAAGCCTGGAAGTGTTCTATTACTGAAGGGTTACATCTGGGCAGAAAGACTATTGACTCCAGCATCTGGGCATGGCCTATACTATGGAGGCTAGGGAACATCTGGTTTGATTGCCTATCAGGTTATAGCATCACTTTGTGGGGCATCTGGTCTTCTCTCCTGCCATCAGAGATCCAAGCACAGATCATTCAGTCAAGAACCTTGATAACAGAAAACTTCAGCCTGATATGCTGGTTTTTACAGAGGTTTAGCTGGCTGTAACCTGTGTTCCTCTTCTTATAGTGGGATGCCTTCAGCTTACCTGAACTTCACAACTTTCTGCGCATCTTACAGCGAGAGGAAGAGGAACACCTTCGCCAGATCCTCCAAAAGTACTCCTTTTGCCGCCAGAAGATCCAGGAGGCTCTGCATGCCTGCCCCTTGGGGTGACCTCCACCATAGAGGGTGGAAGGAGGAGAGTAAACAGCACCAAGGGGATGCCGTGTGAATGTGACATGGCCTGTGGGGCCTGAGGAGTGAGTGTGCGTGGGCGTTCTCCCCATTCTGGATATGAGCTCAGAGAACAGCTAAGGAGCCAACCCTCTGTCCACCTGTGGGTGCAGCTGAGCATGGCTCTGTACCCCGTGGCCCTTCATGTATTGGGTCATGGTGGGCTAGGGCTGCCCTGGAAAGCCGCTTCAGGCTTGCAGCAGGAGTCAAGTAGGCAGAAGCCTCCCTAATTCTTGGCTCTGATACCAGAGTCATGGAAAACCTACAGGCAGAACAAGGGGGGGAGTGTTTGCACGGGTGAGAGACCATCCTTTATGGGGAAAGAGTGTACGTTTTGGATCTTGGATGAACTCTCAGGACAGTCCTATTAAAACCAAAGATGGGTGCTCAGGATAAGGCAGGCATCCAGGGAAGGTTCATTTCCCTCCAGAGTGCCCTCTGACCCCTCATACTCTGGAGTCAATGAAAACTATCTCAAAGTACAGCAACATGCTTCAGTGCCTCTAAGGAGGGTGTCCCTAGGCCCGGTTCCATGCCAGTGTGGACTACCCAGGTCTGTGCCTTTTTTGACATCCAAAGCCAAGGTCTCTCCAGTATTTTTTATGATGTGAATGTGTGGGATGTTTTGTGGCCTCAACTGAATGCCTTCTGTGGAGATAGAAATTGGGGATGTCACTCATTACAGCTTGGGGCCTGAGAGTATTGACTGAATAAAGATTTGAGAATACACCTGCATTTGGACTCTTAATTATAGCCTCACAGCCACTATTGTACCTTTGCCAGGTCATCACACAAATTTTAAAGGATGTTGTGAGGTGCGATGGCAAGTCAGAACTTCATAGCTGACCTCCAGCAGATTTTCAGAGGCAGTAAAATCACATGTGAGATTATAGTGAGAGGGTATCATGGCATGATTTCTTCAGATAGTTACTGTAGACCAGACATACTGCTCATAGCACGGAGAGTACTTAGTATAACTCAAGTCATTGCTGTAGAGACCCTCTATTGGCTTCCAAGGCTGTAAGTCCTGAGGGAGACTGCCCATCAGACTCCTAGAGCCATGGGTGGACCAGAATCACTAAAACCAGGTCTTTCGGTTTTCAGCATGTAACTCTTTAGGAACTAAGTCACTAAAGCTCCAATCTAAAGGGTACTCAAAAATTCTTAATTGCTGTAGAGTTGGAATCTACTCTTAGCTAACCCTTACCCAGTTTCCAAGGCTGTAAATAGCAAGGGACGAGGCTGCCATGGAGGAGCTCGTGGATTTGAACTACTAGAGAGGCACGGCCTTTTGGATAACATTGCAGCACCTGATGGACTACTCCACCAGAGCTCCCTACCAAAGGGAGAATTGCTGTTAATATTAATAATTGCTTTCATGGAGCTTGCATTCTGATGGATGTTGAAAAATCACTGAGTTTAAAAGAACTTAAGACTTAAGTGCAACATTTGCCTCTTCGTTTTTAGAAATCTTTTGACAGGTTCATGTGCGACAGTGACAAAAGATAAGTGTGGGTTTAGACTAAGACGTGGCAAACTCATTCTTTGTTACATGTTGCCTCGATTTAGGGGAACTGCTGGGCATAAACTCAGCAGGATTGTAACAGCTATCGCATATGTCACGCCTAAGTAGGAACAAAACAGCGTCGGCTTGCTCGGGTGGGACCTACCACCGCCTGGAGCGCGCGGCCTGCCGGGACCTGACGTCCCCCAGAGCATGCTGGGATGCGCGGTGGCTAAGGGTCGTCGTTGGTCACGTCCCGTGGACCGATGAGAGCGGCAGCCAATCAGAGGGAGAACAGCGAGGGGCGTGCGGAAGCGGAAGTGAGGTTTCCGTGGAGACGGTCGAGCCAGCGGAAGGCGACGGCGGCACCTGCGAGCGGAGGCCGAGGCCGGGCATGGCGGCGCCGTCGGCTCTGTGAGAGCGCAGCGGCCTGGGGGCCCGCCATGCGCCGGCGGCCCTGACATGGGCGCCAGCGGTTCCAAAGCTCGGGGCCTGTGGCCCTTCGCCTCAGCGGCGGGGGGCGGGGGCCCGGAGGCTTCCGGCGGGGCGGGAGCGGAGCAAGCTCTGGTGCGGCAGCGAGGTCGCCCCGTGCCCCCTTTCGTCTTCACGCGCCGCGGGTAAGGGCCCGGGCCCGCCCAGGGTGGACAGGAGAGCGCCCGGGCCACCGCGCACGCCTGCCTCCTCCCTCCGCCTTTGGGTCGGGACGACTCCCATTTTTGAAGCCCTGTGTGGAGCGTGACGGAGAACGCCGACTTGTAGGCTTCTGCTCTTCCTACAGGATGAATGGACCTGAGCCTTGTTCGGGGCGGGGTGCTGGTGAAGCATGTAGGGCTTTGTTCCTCCACCCGATAAATCCAAGCAAAGGCCACCGTGAGACCCGGGGCCGCTTGCTTTAATCCCATCCACTCCATCGTGCAATCTGAGGCTCCTAGTCCTGCCCTCTCTTTGGAAGGGAGGATGAGCCCTTGTTCTAGCTGCTCGCTTTCCCCGCAGTGATAGGTCGGGACTTGGAGGGGAGTGGTGGTGATGATGTGGCTTCCAAGAGGATCTGACCTGTAGCCGACCTTCCCTCGGGTTTTCAGAGACAGTAAATCGCACAGGAAAAGAGACTGCCCATCTTTCTCGCGTTGAGCGTCTGATGGATTTAAACCACGGGCCTTTGGGTTGGCAGCACAGCCCCTTACCATGAGGCTGTCAGAACTCCCTGGACTTGGAGGGTGGTGGCGGGCCAGACGGGTGCGGCTAGGGAAAACTACCTCTATTCAGATTTGTACAGCAGCCTTGCCCACCCATAGACTTACAAGGCCACAAGTGCCTGACCCTGGTGAGCTTCTGGAGCGGGCACGCAGGTGATGCTAGAGATGTGAGTGGACATCAGGAGGTTGAATAGTGGTGTATATATAGCAGCACTATCCACCTCCTGCCTTTAGGCTCATACTTAACTCGGAGATCTTCTTAGGCTTTGGCACTGCACCAACAGTGCCTATGGAGTGAGATTAACCTGCCTAAAACAGCACCTTGCTAAATGGAGGGGTCCTGTGCCATTTTTTGGGTAAAGGCAGCATAGAGTGGGCTGTCCTTGCTGAATAAAACAGGGATGAGATGTGGCCTCGGCTGTCTCAACAGTGCTATGGTGTGGCTTCTTTTGGGTCTGACAGAGTAAAGCTGGCCACCATTCTATGTTCTGTTGCCTTCTAGTAGATGATACTCCCAGCAAGGGATTTCAGGAATATCATTTTTTCCCACTGTTGTCCCTATCCACTTGGTATGGGCACACTTGTCTGTGTTCTGTGGCATTTGCCATGACTAGTTACAGGGTTACAACTCAGTCTGTTCACCTCTTTCTCTGTACAGCTCCATGTTCTATGACGAAGATGGGGATCTGGCTCATGAGTTCTACGAGGAGACAATCGTCACCAAGAATGGGCAGAAGCGGGCCAAGCTGAGGCGAGTGCATAAGAACCTGATTCCTCAGGTGAGGTGCTGTACGGTTCTCACTAAGGTTGCATTGAGAGGGTGTGAAGAGGGTCTGCTGTCATGAATGGGGAACTCTGTGGGAGGAGCTGGGGGAGCAGGAAGACTTTCTGGAGTAAGGGCCCTGAGCTGCCTCTCACTAGCTTCTGTTTCCATGGCAGGGCATCGTGAAGCTGGATACCCCCCGCATCCATGTGGATTTTCCTGTGATCCTCTATGAAATGTGAGCCTAGGGGGGATGACAGGCACAAGTGCCCCTACCCTAACAAGAAATTCCTAGGCTCAAAGCGTGGTTTCCTTTTAGGAACTCAGGCTGGGGTCACAACCCTGAATAAACTCTGTTGGCCTGAAACCTTCAGCTGTGAGCAGGACAATACTGCAGTGTTGGTCAGACTTTGATTTGTATATGGACAAGAAGCAAGACAGGACTACCCTGGTCAGGAATGCCTGGTTCCAGTGCACTTGCCTGCTTTCTTCCAAACTTGCCTAGGGCCCAGCCCTGATAGAGGCTACAGCACTTTACAAGCAAGGTCTACCTTCTTCCAGCCCCTGGGCTGTGGGGGCGATAGACAAGTGGGAACTTCCTTTCCTTCACTTCCCTTATCCCTTTGTTGGAGCATTTCAGCCGTTTGCTACCTCGATTCCTCCTATGTTGGGCAGAGGCTGGGGGTAACACCACCCTAATGCTTCCTGCCTACCTGTCCATCTGTTCCCACCCCCAAACGGATGAACACTTTGCTGGCACTTGATAGTAAAGGGGACTTAGTGTGGAAGGCTTCTCCTTTTGCCCACGGCTGGCCTGACCTCTCCCCACTGCAGCTAGTCGTTACATTGGACCCCCAGTTGTGTTAGTACAGACCAGGGTTGAGAAGGAACTTGGATGCCTGTGCCGGCAGGGAATTACCCCAACCCACTTACTTTGTTTAATCCCCCTTGCCTTTGTACTAGCCTACTCTCCATCTTGGGAGGTGACCATCCACTACCCTGTGATAAGGGACAGTACCCCAGGGCTGGTGCCGGTAGCTCTGAGGAGCCCACCAATACTCTTCCTATAGTATCCCCTCCTTTTCAGGATCAGTCAAGGGAAAGTACTGGAGTCCCTGCCTTTTGTGCTCTAAATAAGGACAAAAAAAGGAGGGAACAACAATAAAAAGATTTAAAAATGTGAAGGTTTGTAAATAGTCCATGATGTTGGAGTTGAATCAAATTTCTATATAGAGATGGCTTTCCTTTCTTTCTTTTGTTTTAATTCCTTGCTGTGCAAGCTGCGTGCTTCTAGAGTAAGGGAAAATGGCTAGAGGTGGTAGTCTCTAGCCTAGGAAGGCTGCTGTGTTATCTGTTCAATTTCAATAAAATTCTTTGTAGATCCTGTACAAGACTGTATCCTTTGGGGCTGAGCTCAACCTGCTGCCAGCAGGTGGCAGTGTGTGCACACAGCTTGAGTACCTTGCTGGAGTAGGGCTCAGGATAGAGGTTCTGTGTAGTGGGGACTCATGCAATTTGAATGCCTCACTAGGGCTTGGTCCCACTTGTCTGCTAAATTAAGGATATGATGCTCCTCCGGTACATCTAGAATATCTGCCCTGTCCGCAGCAGTGCCAGTGACCCCAAGTCCTCTAGGGCTTGGTCTTTAGGTAAACTGCAGCCTAATGAGTGGCACTGGACTTTCAACCAGTTTCCAGACTGAAGGTCAAACCCACATGTATGAGGATGCCAGGAAAATGGACCCTGGACTCTTTTTAGCAGGCAGTATTGACTCCTCCACCCCTAGTACTGCTCCCTGCTGTCTAGTTTGCTTACCTGTACCCCAGCCCCTGCAGACTTGCTGTCTATAGTTCTCAGTGCCTGCCATAAGGTAGGTTCTCCCCTACACCTAGCTAGCTTTTAGCCATCAGCCCAGCTCCCAGGGAGGGGGATATTAAGGGACTCCTGAGTGAGGACCACACTGTGCAACCTGGACTTTGAATATTATTACCTTCCCATCCCCTCTACAAGATGCCAGGCATAAAACTCTATAATTCTGCACTTATCCTCCCCCATACCCAACTGGCTGCCCTCTGGTTTTAGCATTCCTATTGTGACTGCTGCAGCATGGAGGAATTCCCTTTGCTGGGCCACCTCCATCTGACCCCAAAGCTGGAAAACAATAGGGGTCAGGGCAGTGCTTCCCCACTCCCTCCCAAGAGCTGTGCTCACTTCCTTCCTGCTGGCTGCCTGAGGAAGTGGCCCTGCCCTGGGAGAGTCTGGTCTGGCCTTCATTTCCCCTGGGGCTCCCACCCCTGGAGCTCCCTGAGCCTCCATTCAGGAGTATAGGAATACCACTTTTCTGTGCCCTGGTCCAGATAGCCATCTCACACAGTACACCCCCCACCGTCTTACACAACCTGGTAGAAAGATCCTGGGCACCTGGAAGCAGGCCAGCAGTGAACTGGAGGTAAGAAAGGCCTCATGGTAGTTTAAAAATGTGCTGCTATGTTTGCACCTCTGGAGGGATCCAGTGGTACCTTGTTGCAGCCTCCCCAGGGCCCCTTTCCTACAGGAGCAGACCCTTTTCCTGATCCTTATAAAGCCACTTCTGTATAGCAGGCTCAGTGAATACACAGGAAAACCCCCTGCAGAACTCCCCTGCCCTCACTTGTCACACATACCAACACAACTGTCCGCTCTGGCACACTTGACTTCTCTCAATAGTCAAAGGAAAAAGTCCCCTTCTCCAGACCCCCTACAAGATGTCAGTTTCTTTTTTTTTTTTTTTTGCATAAGTTCTGGGAAAGCATCTGCTGGTGATCACCAAGTTTTCTTGATCCTGAAAGCTCCACATCATGGGGTGTCTACTCCAGGGAAGGCTAGGAAAAGGAGTCCCCAGTATTAGTGTGAGAAGAGGCCAGTCTCTAAACCTGGGCCTCTTGTCACCTGGCACAATTGGGGCCAGTGCCCAGTCGGGGGAAGGTGGTAAAGGCAGCCTGTCAGTCCCAAATGCCAGAGGGTAACAGGGTGAGGGCAGAGGGTTCTACCCCGTGCTGTGTCTGTTGCAGGCTCTTTCCATACGGAGGGGCAGCAGGAAGTGAGGAGAAAGGGCTGGGGTGGGAGGCGGGAATAGGTGGGAGGGGATGGAGTTTATCAAGTCACGGGCGGGCGGGCTGCCCCTTAGGGCAGCAGCTGGTGGGAGCGGCCCGGCCAGAGAGCTTCACTGGAGAAGGAAGATCCTAGGACCCAGAGGGCCAACGGGCTCCTGCACAGGTGAGCCTGGCGGAGATTGGTGGTCTGCACCTTGGTAGAGGCGCCCCAAGCAGCGGCCTCTTGCTCTCCTCTCTGGCCCTTGGAAAAGCTCAGTCTTACTCGGGAGAACGGATCTAGGCAGGGACCAGAAGGGCTCGCCCCTGCTCATCTACGAGAACGAGGGTGGCAGCTTCCTTGGAGTTGAGAGGGAGCCCCGGAGGATCCCACAAGCTTCCGCGCAAAAGACTTGGGGAGGAGAGGAGCCCAAGGATTGGTCCGGCTCGATGGGGTAAGGAGGCAGCGGGATGCCCTCTCTCCCTGCCCACTCTGGGCCTCCCTGTCCCTGTCCGCCAGTCACCCAGCGATCCACGGACGAGGTTGCCAGGACAACCACTGCCTCTCTGCCCCGACCCGCGCAAGCTAAGGGGCGGTGTTTACCCCCCTCCCCGGCCTCGGGGAGAGCTGGTTTCCCTCCCCCCCCCCCCCCGGGAAGGGGGAGGGTCCCGGCTCAGAGGGGCGGGGTATGAAGGTGGCGAAGGGCAGGACTAGGCTCTAGGCAGGATCCCCACTTGCACACAAAGGGGCAACTGGGTAAGGGACTACACCCGGAGCGGCTAAGCCGGATCCGCTGGTGTCCTAGTCGAGGCCTTGTGTCCTGTAGCACCTCCTTATGGCCGAGCGGGGCAAAGAAATCTTTTTTTAATCCCCACTTTTCCTCTGTCCCTAATGCCTGTCCCTTTAAGGGGCTGGCGACGCCGCGAAGTGGGGAGGACTGTACCACTGGCCTCGTACGGCCAGGGGAAGCTCCGGGTTGGTTTTTGGGTGTTTGCGGCTGCAACCTTCGACACGAAGCCTCGTCGAAAGAAGTCTCAGGGTCCTCTGAAATAGCTACGCTTCCAGACAGAAGTCTCAGGGGGCCCAGAGGCCGAGACCTAGACCTGAGAGCGAGGGGGCGGGCGCGCCCTCCCTCCCCTGCCGCGAGTCCCACCCGGAGCCCGCCTCCGCGCTGGATCTTAAAGGAACCGAGGGCCAGGGGGCGGAGCCAACCGAGGCGCGGAGCCGGGACTGTTCCAGGGCGAGCGGCTGGAGTTTGCCGGGTTGGGCCCGGGGCGGCGGTGGCGGTGGTGGTGGCCATGGAGCGAGTCCCGGCGACGCCCCGCGAGAGGTGAGGGAAGGCGGTGCAAGACTGGAGGCTCAGTCAGTCCCTTGCGGGCTAAGGTCTGAACCCTTTCCCGGGGATGCGTCCGGAGAGGCGACCCGGGGACCCCCACCCCCACCAGGCCGAGCGCAGGTCCCACGTGCGGGGCGGGGGCGGGGTCCCACACAAAGGCCGGGACGAGCCTGGCAGTCGGACGCACACATTCCCGGTGGCTGCGGCGGAGAGAAGGACTGGCCCGAGGGCCCCTCTGTGGACGCTCCGCCGCCCCTTTGTGCCCTCCACTGAGCCTGGGAGAGGGTCTGGGAACAAGACAGTCTTGACCGCCTCACTCTTTTTCGAGGCCGGTTCTACCGGTCTTCGCGTGCCTTTCAGCTTTGTAACTTCTGTAAGAACCACGCCTTACCTGAATGATACCCTTTCTCCGCACCATCAGGGGATTCCTAGTGGTGGGCCACAGGGCATGCGTATCTTTTGGCAGTGGTTCCAAAGTTCAATCCCATAGCTCCATTTGTACTTTATCAGAAGAATCACTGATCTGAGAGGTCCCTCCCTGCCCAGCCGTAGGCCACCTGCTCCAGCAAGTAACCAAATACTTCTTGCCGTTTTGGGGATGTTTTTATTATATCCATCTGTGGTATGAAGTGATGTAGGGTTAGTTCCCATACAGAGTTGGCTTCTGGGAAGCTCGGATGGGCTTATGTTGGATACCTCTTAAGATTCTTGAGTCTGACTTGCTCTCCTCCACCTTCCCCCAGTTCCTGAACAGGTGCCAGGCAGGTGACACCATTTTCCTGCAGTCCCCAGCATGTGGGCAGGCCCAAGCCCCGCCGTCACACTGGCCCTGATGCTGGCGGTGGCATGGGCCACAGAGCTCAAGCCCACAGCGCGTCCCATCTTCACAGACCGGCCCTTCATCGTAGCATGGGATGTGCCCACGCAAGACTGTGGCCCACGCCACAAGGTGGTGCTGGACCTGAGGGCCTTTGACGTGCAGGCCTCACCTAACGAGGGCTGGGTGAACCAGAACATCACCATCTTCTACTCAGAGCGGCTTGGCCTGTACCCCCACTTTGACCCAGCAGGGCACTCGGTGCACGGTGGCGTGCCACAGAACGGTAGTCTTCAGGCCCACCTGAAGATGCTGCGGGAGCATGTGGAGCACTACATCCGTGCCCAGGAACCTGCAGGGCTGGCTGTCATTGACTGGGAGGACTGGCGGCCTGTGTGGGTACGCAACTGGCAGGACAAGGACGTGTACCGCCGGTCATCACGCCAGCTGGTGGCCAGCCTCCACCCCGACTGGCCACAGGACCGCGTGAACAAGCAGGCGCAGTACGAGTTTGAGTTTGGTGCACGGCAGTTCATGCTGGAGACACTGCGCTGGGTCAAGGCAGTGCGGCCACACCACCTCTGGGGCTACTACCTCTTCCCTGACTGCTACAACCATGATTATGTGCAGAACCGGGACAGTTACACGGGGCGCTGCCCTGATGTGGAGGTTGCCCGCAATGACCAGCTGGCCTGGCTGTGGGCTGAGAGCACGGCCCTCTTTCCCTCTGTCTACCTGGATGAGGCACTTGCCTCCTCTGCCCATGGCCGCAAGTTTGTCAGTTTTCGCGTACAGGAGGCTCTTCGTGTGGCTCGCAAACACCATGTGAACCACGCGCTCCCCGTCTATGTCTTCACAAGGCCCACCTACAGCCGCGCGCTCACAGGGCTCAGCGAGGTATGTGCCTCAAAGGACCCACTGGCAGGTTTCAGTTACCAGGCCTGTAGCTTAGTGAGTATGTCACATCCTCTTGCCCCATCTTCTCTGCAGCCTTGTGAAAGGGTAGCAGGATTATTGCCTTCTTACAGATGTGAAAACTGAGGCCCAGAGAGGCTGAGTAAAGTGCCCAAAGCTTCTAAGTAAATCAGGGGCACAACAGGCACTTGGGCCCACGTATTCTGACTCTGGAATCCTGATAGATAGCCCAGGTTCAAATGGACCTCAGATTTAGTAAACTGAGACGCTAAATAAGGGTGGAAAAATTTGAGGAGAATGTGAAATAGACGAATTCCTGGCAGAAAGGCGACAAGTACTGTCTTTTATTAAAGAGAGGCCTATGCTGGAGGTTCAGCAGGTAGGTCTCTGCCCACCTTGTCTTTTGTTACCGTTTTGGGTCTCAGTCTCCTTCAATGACTGTCCCCTTCCCATACAGATGGACCTCATCTCCACCATCGGCGAGAGCGCAGCCCTAGGTGCAGCTGGTGTCATCCTCTGGGGTGACGCGGGGTACACCACGAGCACGGTAAGAGTTGATGTACAGGGCCACTCAAAGGGTCTGGACCTTTGCCTCGCCACTTGAGGGTGGCCAAACCTTGTCTGTCTCACCCCAACAATCCCTGGCCTCAACTCCAGAAGGAAGCCACCACCCTCTCTACTCCCAGGAAAGGGGAAACTCCATTTTGAACAGCTGTTGAGTTCCACCCTTCCCCTCTTGCCCAGCTGGGCTTCACTTTCTGCCTCCACCCCCTCCAGCAAGAGTAAAAACTGAGGTCTTGGACATGTACGTGCATGTCCACGTGTGTGCACACAAGTTTGTGAATAAGAGAAGGTACAGTATCTTCTGTATGGATAGTTTCCTGTGGACTAGGGCACCTAACCCTGACCCTCAATTCCTGACCTCTGTGTCTGCCCTCAGAATACCTGCCAGTACCTCAAGAATTACCTGACACAGCTGCTGGTCCCCTATGTGGTCAACGTGTCCTGGGCTGCGCAGCACTGTAGCATGGAACAGTGTAATGGTCATGGGCGCTGTGTCCGCCGAGACTCCAGTGCCAGTGCCTTCCTGCACCTCAACGCCAGCAGCTTCCGCCTAGTCCTTGACTACCCACCTGGAAAGCCCCTGCCGCCACCCCAGGGGAAGCTCAACAAGGCCGACCTGGACTACTTGCAGACACACTTCCGCTGCCAGTGCTACTTGGGTTGGGGTGGTGAGCAGTGCCAGTGGGACCATAGAAATGCAGGTGGAAGTGCCAGCCAGGCCTGGGCTGGCCCCCAGCTCCTCAGCCTACTGGCTCTGACAGCCTTGGCCTTTACTGAGACTGTGTAGGGGTCTCCCACTTGACAGCCAGGTGAGCTGGCTTCTACCACAGAGGCTCTGCGGGCATGTGGGAACCTGCAGGGTAGACGGATGAATCTAAAGGGGGCAGAGCCCCCAGGATGTCCAGCTGAGGCATCTATACAAGCTCTCACATACCCCCTGTTCTAAGGGGGAGGGGCAGTCTCCTGAGAGGCCCCATCTCTCCCTGCCAGGGGGCCAGAGGGGATGTGGCTGTATAGGAGAGGGCCTAACCCTACTCTCCTGCCTTTAGATAGTTTATTATTGTTTGAGGGTCTCTTTTGTAAATTAAATATAAAACAAATGCTTCTGTACTTAGACTTTCTATATCTGGGCCAGCGAGTATGAGGGAAATTTTAGGGTCTCTTTGAGAGATTTGAACTCACCTCTGTCCTTGGCTGTGAGATCCTGTCCCTGGAACTTCTCATCTGTACAGTGCAGGGACCTGGGTCTGTGAAACCAGAGTTGTCTCCTCTGCAACTGTCCCGCTGAAGCAGGGGGCCACTGGGGGCGGAGGCACCCCCATTCCACCCAGCACCAAGGCCCTCGCATTCTCAGTATTGAATAGGAAGGGGCTGGGCCAAACTTTGTCAAGGCACAGAGCTCATTGTGCTTGCTTCCACCACTTGCTCCTGAACCCTCAGCTGGGCTAGTGCCAGCTGCCTCGCCTCGCCCACCCAGGGAGAAGGGAGAAGTGGATGTTTGATCTCCATGGCTGGGCAGGTAGCCAAACCACCCCTCCTTGCTGTTCTCACGGACAAGGGCCTCTCCTCTGCTCCTTTCTTCCCAGAACAGCAGACTCAAGCCACACATACCACACCTCTTCATGCTGGGGACACTGTCCTCTGAGCCAGGGGAGAAGGAGCAGGCAGGAGCTGGGGATGTGAACTATGATGTTGAGCCCCATCCCACTATAAAGATACATGCTGGACCTGGGAGCCATCCTGAGTGTGGGAGCAGAGACGTCCTCAATGGGCAGCCCCATCCTGACCGTGAGAGGGCACGACAGGTGCCAGGTTTCCCCAGAGGGAGCAACCCAAGCAGTTAGACCAGCTTTGCCACCCCACCTCCAGCCCATCAGAGGAAGGCAGGGGTGGGTTACTGCGTCAGTCTCTGCCCCTCCCCTCAGTCATCCACACCGTAGTCCCTAGTTCAAATCGGAGGTGACTCACCCATGGTCCCTGCCATCAGGAAACTCACTGGAGACAGTCTCCACAACTAAGTGGCGAAGGGAGACCGGAGTATGCACCATTAACCTGGCTGCCAGTGCTCGGAGGCGACATCTCGAGGTGTGTCTTACACCTCATTTCAGAAGGTGAAGGGAAGAGATGCACTAGATGAGAAAATTGAGGGGTGGGGTGGTAGAGGGTGTTCCTGAGGAGCACACAGGAGAGGGGTGTGGTGGTCTGCAGGCAGAGCCTTCCACCCCAACTCCGAGGAGTGACGGGGAGGCCAGACTGACGTCAATCAAGGGGTAAAGTGATTTCTCATTTTTCTAGCTGGTGATGGGCAGAGAATGACAAGAAGGGGGCTGGGTAATTGGACTGGGAGGACATTGGGTAAATTCCCATGGTGGAGGAGGAGAAGGTAGAGGCATAGCCTCTGGCCATGTTGGGAAGAGGCTGGGCTGGAGAGAGAAGATACAAGTGTTGGTCAGATGTCAGTCAACAAGGTCACGAGCTGGTAGAGCCCATCAGAGGAAGAGCAAAGATGAGCGGTCACCTGTCTTCCCAATGCCTGTCACTTCCCCACCCCTCCCCAGCTATGACGCCCCACATCTGTCACTTCCTTTACAGTGGTTGTCTATAACCGTCCACCACAGGAGTGATTGAGACACACCAATGACTGTCCTATGCAGCTGTGACTTCCCAGCACACACTTGTGATTCCATGACATACACAGATATGACCCCACAGCTGTGATCCTCCCCCTGCAACTATGACTCAATCCCACCACAAAGCTCTCTTCCCAAACATCTGTGACCCCAAAAAAGTGACCTGTACCCCAACAACTGTAGTGAACCTATCACTTGTCCAAGAGGATGTGGAAGATATGCTTGAGAGAATACAACTTGGGGATGGCCAGAGCTGTCCTTGAGTGAAGTGGGAGAGGGTGACACCATGGTCCAGGGCCTGGACCCTCAGACTGGACTGACCTCAGATTGGATCACACCACTTGTACCAGTTCCTGCTTCCTAAACAGGATCAGCAGGGAGCACTGATGGCATCATGGTAAGGACCAACCCAAGGACCAAGGTTTGAATACACCAGCTGCTCTGCAGGACAAAGATGGGCCGTCTGCTCCTGTGATGTTTACTACCTCTGAAAACCTGCCAGAGGGTCAGCTCTGAGTCAGGTCCAACTCGATGGTACATAACAATAACAAACAGGATCAGCAGCCACTGTGTCAACAGCCCCTGGTACCCTGAGCCTCCCTGTCTCCCAGCCCTCTATCTCAGTCACCCTGTCCCTGGAGAACCAAACCCAGTAGCCAGTTTCTGCTGTCATTTGTTCAGTGGCTACAAGCCCTGGGCTCACAGACAGACCTCCTGGGGTGAGGACTCGGTATTTTCTTTGTTCAACCTTGGCAGGCAAGCCTGGGCCTGGGTACCTGCCAGGGCGCTGTAATCAAGTGAAACCTGTAGATACCCTCTCGGGGTCACAGACAACAAAACTACACACAGACTCAGTCTCAGGTACCGTATCAACACACACATGCACACTGGTATTTGTGCTGAGGGTCACTAAAGAACTTCATAAGGACACTGACCTGACACGTATAGGAGTGATGACAGGGCTGACTTCACAGATTTTCAGGAACCAGACATGAGAGCAAAGCTGACTCCTAGGCTGCAGACATGGGACTTGAGGCCCACAGTACCATGAGTATATTTTAATTATTACTATTTAAAAGTAATTTTAACCTGAAGCAAAACATAAGTAACTAAAAATATTATGATGAATCCAGCTTGAGTTGTAATTGTCTTTTCACAAACATAGCTGTAAAATTTTTTTGAGGAAGGAGCCCATGAATGTTGGACATAATGTAGCTGTACCTCAAAGTGCCCAGCCCCTAGGCACTGAAAACTCAGGAGCCTGTCCAGCTGAGGAGGCCACCCAAGCAGACACTTCCCCCCTTTGCCCTCCCAGTAAAGCCACAAGACCTGCTCTAATGATGACAGGGTGGGAGGGGCACCTTCCCACTCCATCCCCAACAAACTCACTGAACTAGGGGTACAGAGCTGAATGTAGGCACTCCTGGCCTCCCAACCCAGAGCCGGCCTCTTGGCTGGCCCCTAGGTAGGGTGGGGTGGACCCCTAGGAAAGCTCAGAGTTTCCAAGCAGCCACTTCCTGCTTGACTGGTGTAGCTGGAGCCAGAGTGGAAAGAAAATGGAATCTAGCAGCACCCTGCCTGGGCCCCCACCCTGGAGCCAGGAAGTTTTGGAAGTGATGCCCCACCACCGCAAGGTCAGCAGGGACAAGCAGGCAGGCTGGCCAGTCCACAGGAGGGTGGTGCTGTCCTGTCCTCCAACAGATAGCCAGGAAGGGACAGGAAAGCACACACTCCTCTCCACACCCCTTGCCACCCACAGTTGGTCAGCCCAGAGGTCAAGAACCTGGCTGGAAGCTGCTCTTCAAAGAACAGAAATCACAGCCTTTGTAGTCTTTGGGGAAAGGGGGTGGAGCAGGAAAAAAGGCCTATGAGGTAGCAGGCAGAGGCCCATCCCCTGAGGCATCACCATCCAATGGCAGTGCTTCTCTGCCCTCTGCCTTGACCCACTAGGTAGATGTTTTCCTGAAATCAGAGTAGAGGTGGGCTAACGGATAAAGGGTTTGTTCTGGCTGCTCTCCACAAGGGGCAAGAGTTCAAAGCCTCCTCAGCTGCTGCTTCCCTTGACCAGGTTCCCAGCGACCCACTGTGTCATGGCAGTCCACCTGCTGCCCTTTTGTGCTTTCTTCCTGACTTTGCTGGACACAGCCCAAGGCTCCAGGGACCCTGCCGTACCCAAGCAGCCCTTCATCACCATCTGGAATGCAAATACCGAAGAGTGCCTGAAGACACACGGTGTGGATGTGGATGTTAGTGTCTTTGATGTGGTGGTCAACCCAGGGCAGACCTTCCGAGGCCCTAACATGACCATTTTCTACAGCGACCAGCTGGGCACTTACCCCTACTACAAGCCCACTGGGGATCCTGTGTTTGGCGGCCTGCCCCAGAATGCCAGCCTGGACACCCACCTGTCCCGCACACACCAAGACATACTGGCTGCCATACCTGAGCCTGACTTCTCAGGGCTGGTGGTTATCGACTGGGAGGCATGGCGTCCTCGCTGGGCCTTCAATTGGGATGCCAAGGAAATTTACCGGCAGCGCTCAATCGAGCTGGTACAGGCACAGCACCCTGACTGGCCGTTTTCTTGGGTGGAGGCAGAAGCTCAGAAGAAGTTCGAGGGAGCTGCGCAGGCCTGGATGGCAGGCACCCTCCAGCTGGGGCGAGCACTTCGGCCTCGTGGCCTCTGGGGTTTCTACAGATTTCCTAACTGTTATAACTATGACTTCCTAAACCCCAACTACACAGGTCAGTGTCCAGAACCCATCAAGGCCCAGAATGACCAGCTTGGATGGCTGTGGGCCCAGAGTCGAGCCCTCTACCCCAGCATCTACCTGCCTGCAGTGCTGGAGGGCACAGACAAGACACAGATGTATGTGCGGCACCGAGTGAGTGAGGCTCTCCGTGTGGCCTCCGCTCTTGGGAGCACTGACCTGCCCGTGCTGCCCTATGCCCAGATCTTCTATGTCTCGAAAGACCGATTCCTGCCCCTGGTGAGTTACCTTCCGTGATCCTGTCCACCTTGTGAACTTGTCAGGTATTGAGCTACACAGCCTTGGGGACCTTGCATTTCGTCTGTCCCACATTCGTTGAGTCCCTGCTGCTTGCCAGCCTTCGGTGGGCCCTGGTGATTCTGCATACATTACAGAGTTGTAGGTTCTCCTTGTGTAGCACTCACAGACCAGAGCCCGTCCCCACGGGCTTGCCTTTGGCCACTACAGCAGCCTAAGTGAAGGGCTAGAGAATTGAGTCTGCCCTGTAAAGTGACTGGGTTGGGGGTTGGGGGAGCGGAGATCAACAGCACAGTCCTTTTTCCAGGAGGAGCTGGAACACAGCCTGGGCGAGAGCGCAGCCCAGGGAGCAGCAGGTGTGGTGCTGTGGGTGAGCTGGGAGAACACAAAGACCAAGGTAAGGTCAGAACTGGGCAGAGGAAAGACTGAAGTGGCACCATGGCCAGCTGGGAAAACCCTGGCCCATGTTTTCCACCTCTGTGGTCCTGGCTGGCCAGTAAGTACTTAGGTAGACCCATGTATATATAACTTCGATGTAGCTAAGGGTCTCTCCCTCTCTCCCAGGAATCATGCCAGGCCATCAAGGAATATGTGGATGCCACTCTGGGGCCTTTCATCCTGAACACGACCAATGCGGCTCTCCTCTGCAGTCATGCCCTGTGCTCAGGCCATGGTCGATGTGTCCGCCGCTCCAGTCACCCTGAGGCTCTCCTCATCCTCAACCCAGCTAGTTTCTCCATCCAGCACAAACCTGGGAGTGGGCCCCTGACCCTGCAGGGTGTCCTGTCACTTGAGGATCGGGCTCAGATGGCTGTGGAGTTCACATGTAACTGTTACCGTGGTTGGTATGGAGCATGGTGTGAGCAGCAGGTTAAGGTGACTAGTCACTTATAAGAACACACATATTAGCCATCTAATAATGCACTCCAGACCTGGCTAGAGCTTTCTAAGGATAGACACACTCACATAAGGCATGCTCATAGTCACACATGCACCCACCCATTCACCAGCATGGGTCACCCAGCACATGAGTGCATGCCCATAGGCCAGGATAGTAATCATATGGGGTTAGAGCTACAGACAGACAGTGTCCACTCCATGTCCACAGGCATTGACCCTGCAGGGTCATAGCCATCTCCTTCAGAGACACCAAACCAGTCTTTACACTGCCGTCACCACAAAAGCTAACATTCACTGAGCATCCATCTTCTTTATCTCAAGCTTTGTGCTGAGTATTTAGTGCTGATGAGCTTATCAAATCCTTAAACTTTTAGGAAACTGAGGCACATACAGGGAGAAAAGTACTTTGCCCCAATCGCAGAAATCAAGAGAAGCTCAAATTCAAACCTAGGCTCCAGAGGTGAAGCCCCCGAACCTCTACTGAGTGTCGATGATTACTGCTGTTAAGTGCCTGGAGTCTATGAAGACTCCTAGAGACTCTATGAACGGGATCTATCGTGTGCCATCCTCATCAACACCAGTCCCGTACAGTCCCTCAAGTAAAGCAGACAACTTCTTACAACTTCTAGAGTTGTTTATGAGCACCTAAAGTTTGCAGAACTCCGGGTGATCTAGTAGGTCGAGAGTTCTGCTGCTAACCCAAAGGTGGGACCCTCTCAGGCGGTTCCAATCCACCATCGACTCTGCGTAAGAAAGACAGGCAATCTTCTCCCGTGTCATTTACAGCCTCTCCAACACCCACTGGAGTGGTCAGCCATAAGTCAGTTCCAACTCCACGGCGAACACTTTGAGTTTTAATGAATTTAAAATACGCAAGAGCGGGCGCTAGACGGCAGAGGACAGTCACTATTCTTTTGGGGAGACGCTGTTTCCAGGGCAGGATTCACATTTCAGGAGGAAACCTCACCTCACCGTTTCCATGCCAGCAGGAGGAGGAAGACTTGGGGTGGAAGGTGGGTGTGGGAGCGAGAGGGCCGCGGTGCGCCCCGGGGATTCGCCCTAAAAAACCCTAGAGGGGCAGGATTTGTCTGCACCCAAAACGAGGCGGGGAGGGGCTGAGCCGGGAAGGGGATGAGACAGGAACAGGACGGACCCAGGGATGGCCTCCGTGGAGCTGAAGAGAGGCGGGACCGCAGCTCACGGAACCGGAGACGACACTTGTAAGGTAAAGGACAGGAAAGAGGTGGAGCGTCCGCTCGCCACTAACGCTGACTCAGCAGGGGCGGGGCAAAGGCGGAGCCAGGGCTTACACTGAGTCTGCGCGGAGCCAGAGTGATGGGGCGTACAACGGAGGGCGGGGTCTGCGCTCCTCGGGGCCACTCGCCACTGAGGCTGACTCAGCAGGGGCGGGGCAAAGGCGGAGCCAGGGCTTACACTGAGTCTGCGCGGAGCCAGCGTGGTGACGCGCACAACGGAGGGCGGGGTCTGCGCTCCTCGGGGCCACTCACCACTGAGGCTGACTCAGCAGGGGCGGGGCAAAGGCGGAGCCAAGGCTTACACTGAGTCTGCGCGGAGCCAGCGTGGTGACGCGCGGAACCGGGCACGGGGATAGGGGCGTGTTTGCCTCACCTGACTGAGACTCTAAAGACCTGGCGGCGACCTGCAGATCACGACAGCCGCGGTGTGCCTACTGGACCCCTGAGGGCTAAGGACGGACAGCCAGAGCGAGACCCTGAGCTGTGCAGAGCGAGGTCCTGAGCATCCCGGAGTCCGGCGTCACTATGTTAGTACCGCCCCCTCCCCGGACTCGGGCTAGCTGTCCGAGCCGTCTGTGCGATTCACAGGTGGTGATGTCACCCCGCAAGTCTCCCGCACCCCCCGTTGGTGGTTACCTTCCAGAATCCGCTGGGCCACACCCACCTACCCCACACTGTCAAACTCCCCAAGCACTCCTCCACTCCCCAGAAACTCCACTTCCCGGGACCCACTCGCAGGGAAGGGAAGACATAAGCCCTGGAGAGACTATACAGTTCCCTTCTAAGGGGCCCAGGAGCCAGTCCTGCCCTAGCCCACAGGAGGAGGGATTATTGGCACTGAAGGGGTTAAGCCCACTGGGGAAGTCTGGGTCCCTGGCCTGGGGGCGGATCCTTGGGGCTTCCTCTCTGGACTTAGGGGTACCAGCGGTTCTACAGAGGAGGCTGTGCAGGTGAGGGTCCTCAGGCCTCTGAGTGAGATGTGTGAGGGGAGGGAGATACCTGTTACTGACTAGCCTTGAATTGGCCTCAACTTCGGGGGTTGTTCCTGGGGACTGGGAGAGGGGAGCCAAGACCCATCCTTCTGGAGCAGGTAAGTGGGGGGAGGCAGTTTTCCTACACTCCCACAAGTCCTGCAGCAGAGCTTGTCTTGCCAGCAGCTGTAGAAAGAACAAGGTGGGCAAGCAGTGGGGTGTGAGCGTGGAAGGTCTGGGTCTACCAGTTCAGCGGCAGTTAGGCACCCCTGTGAATGTAGGAAGGAAGCTGTAGTTCTTATCTATGTTAGCTATGAAACTCGGGCCATTGGGGAACCTGGCCTGCAGGGCCTCACAGCCTGGAGACCACAGACTAGGCCTTGTGTTTGTTCTGGAGTCAGTGTAGCACTTAAAAGGTAGGTCAGCGTTATAAATAAGGCACAGTTGAGGAAGGGATCTCAGATTCTGTATGTTAGGCAAGGAAGACGAAGGGATCTCAGATTCTGTATGTTAGGCAAGGAAGACAGTCTTAGGAGCGAACAAGTGAGCCTGCAGGTAGGTGAGTGGAGCCCTAGGTTTGGCTCAGCATTGGGCATAGTCCAAGTGGTTAAAAAAGCCTGGGAACTGAAGAAAGCTGGAGTGCAAGGAGATAGAAGAGACAAGATCATTGGGAAAGGGGCAGCCATGTTCCCCCCTAAGGAAACACTGAGTGAGTTTAAGCAAGGAGGTCATAGCATTGAGTCTGTATAGTCCATCCATCTGATAGCTGGCCAGCTTTAGGACCAATGAAGGAGGCTGAATTCACTGTCCTCACACAGTGAAGTCATGTTATTGTGTACCATTGAGTCAGAACTGACTGACCATTCAGCATGTTTTCAGAGATAGACAATCAGACAGGAGGAGACTGCCCATATTCCTCCTGTGGAGCAGCTAGTGGACTTGAACTGTGTACCTTTGCATTGGTAGTGCAGTTCCTTACCACTAGCCAGAGTAGTCTAGGGCTAGGACTCCTAGATTCCCTTCTTTTAGCAGCTCACTGTTGCCCTCATCCTCCATCCTGGATAAGGAAGGACACCTTGAACTGTCCTCTTTCCTGCGTCAGCTTTCCAACATAAAGGGAGTGGGTCTCTTCTAGGTCACCTATACAATCAGGTGAGTGAGGACAAGGGATAACTCCCCACTCCCTACTTTAAGAATGCACTCTCCCTCCTTACACGCTTAATACTTCACTATCCCAACCCTTGCCTGCCTTCCAGGCCTGGCTCAGCATAGGCTGTTGTCCACAGGAGACTCCTTGTGGTCTGAAGAGATGCCACTGCCTGGAAACCATGGCCTTAACTCCCAGCCTGGTCCTGAGCCGCCTGCTGCCTGGCTTGGCTAAGCTTGGCTCTTACGTTTTGGCAAGAGTTAACTCTGAATCCCAGCCTATCCAAGCTGACCCTAACCCCAGATCCTGCATACTGGATGGAACTGATCCTGGGTGCCAGACCAGCTGAACTGACTTTGGACTCCACACACCAACCAGAGCCCTCTGCTAGCTGAATTGACATTTAAGTCCTAGAAGTCATCCAGAGATGACCCTCAGTCCTGGTGCAGCTGATAGGATTCCAGATCCGGTACATCAGCTAGAGGAAACCCCAGGCCCCAGCCTGGCCAGGTTGACCCTGGAACCTGTGCATTGCCGGCCTGAGCTCCTGGACGCCTGTGCTGACCTCATCAATGAGCAGTGGCCCCGAAGCCGAGCGTCCCGCCTACACTCCTTGGGCCAGTCCTCTGATGCCTTCCCTCTCTGCCTGATGCTGCTTAGTCCTGGCCTCACGCCCAAGGCAGCCCCCATCGTGGTGGGGCATGCTCGCCTGTCACGGGTGCTGGATCGTCCTGAGAGCCTCCTCGTGGAGACAGTGGTAGTGGCCCGGGCCCTGAGGGGCCGTGGCTTTGGCCGCCAACTTATGGAAGGCCTGGAGACTTTTGCCAAGGCCCGGGGCTTTTCCCGACTACACCTCACTACCCATGATCAGATGCACTTCTATGCCCACTTGGGCTACCAGCTGAGTGAGCCCGTGCAGGGCCTTGTCTTTACCAGCCGACAGCTGCCTGCCACCCTGCTCAATGCCTTCCCCAGGACCTCCTATCCCCCAAACCCCTGCAAAACCCCCAACCTGACAGCCCAAGCTGCCTCCTCAAGAGTCCCCAGGGGACCTCCATTGCCACCACCACCACCCCTGCCTGAGCCCCAGACCATCCTCCCTCCACCTCCACCCCCACCCCCACTCCCACCAGGCTCCTCTTCACCAACCCTACTGGAGACACAATATCGAGATGTGAAGGGCTGTCCCATCTTCTGGATGGAGAAGGACATCTGAGCGCAACCAGGGCAAGGCAGCATCTTTCTGGATCAGTGGATAGCCCAAGACAGTATCAGCCCCTAGTCCCTGAGACAGGTGTAGCCTGCCAGGTGGGGTCCTCAGGGCTCCAGCTCAGCCACCTGTGTGGCTGAATAAAGACTTGTTGGGTGTGTATGTGATTGTTCATTTGGTGGTTTTTACCCTCGTCTCACAACCTTGTCTCAGGACCCTGGTTCTCCCAAACCCGCCCTGGCCCTGCGGGGCTGGTGCTGGAACATCTCTTTGCCCCTCCCACCCTGCCAGGCTCAGATCACAAGAACCAAGTGGCTGTTCCTTTCCCCATTCACTCACTGAGCATTTGCTGCATGGACTGGGCACAGAGAACAGACAAGATGGATAGGATGTCAACCCCAAAGAACGGACAGAGAGCAGGCAGGATGCATGCTGGGATGGGGGAGGTACAGAGGTGGGAGCTCAGAACCCATCAGAGGCCCTCTGTACTTGTGGATCGACCCAGGAGACCTCCCCGGGGGGGCTGCTGTCATAGCCGATATCTGAGTACTAAGAGCCAGCAAGGAGGTGAGGGCTGAGTGTTCTTGGGGAAAGAAATGAGCAGAAGAGAGAAGGGGACTTCTGAGGGTGCAGAGGTAGAGGTACTGTGGTAGGGGTGGAGAACACAGGAGGCCTAGACCAGCTTGGGATCTTGTCCTGAGAGGGACTCGTCTCTTGGGGACCAGGATGTCCTCAACAACTCAAATACTCTTGAGTTTGGGCTGGGGCACTGCCCCTGCTATATGAAATATGTAACTATGAGCATGGTCTCTTAAGCTCACCTCCCTTCTTCCCTGCAGGTTTCCATCCCTGGGGTATGATCATGAAGCTAGACCTGGCCCTGGTGCTGGTGCTAGGGCTGGCCCTGTCCTTGGGGTGTGGCCAGCCTCCGCCGCAGGCCCCCAAGCGCCCCTTCTTGGTATTGTGGAACGTGCCCTCAGCACATTGTAAGGATCGCTTTGGTGTGCACCTGCCACTTGAGGCCCTGGACATCACAGCCAACTATGGCCAGCACTTCAAAGGCCAAAACATCACCATCTTCTACAAGAACCGGCTTGGCCTTTATCCCTACTTTGGGCCCAGGGGTACCATTCATCATGGGGGCATCCCCCAGCTTGTGCCCCTTGGCCACCACTTGGCACGGGCTGCCTGTCAAATCCGATACAGTCTGGGACCTAACTTTGCTGGTCTGGCTGTACTGGACTGGGAGGAGTGGTATCCACTCTGGGCTGGGAACTACGGCCGACGGCGGGCTTATCAGGCAGCCTCATGGGCTTGGGCACGGCGCGCATTCCCTCACCTGGATCCCCAGGAGCAGCTCCAAGAGGCCCGTACTGGCTTTGAGCAGGCAGCCCGTGTGCTGATAGAGGACACACTGTTGCTGGGCAGGGCACTGCAGCCCCGTGGACTGTGGGGCTTCTATCGCTTCCCAGCCTGCAGCAATAGCTGGCACAGCACGGCCTCCAACTACACCGGTCGCTGCCACACAGCCACCCTTGCCCAAAACAACCAGTTGCATTGGCTCTGGGCTGCCTCTAGTGCCCTCTTCCCCAGCATCTACCTGCCCCCCAGGCTACCACCTGCCTACTACCAGGTCTTTGTCAAACACCGCCTGGAAGAGGCCTTCCGCGTGGCTCGTATTGGGCACTTGTATCCTATGCCGGTCCTAGCCTATTCCCGCCTCACACACCGGAGCTCAGGGAGGTTCCTATCCCAGGTGAGTGAAAACTGAGGCCTAGGAGTTTGAAAGGAGCCCTGACAGGGTAGCATGTAACATATTAGGCTATTAAAGTCAGGAATTCAAAACCACAAGCCACTCTCCAGAGAGACAGGGCAAACAAACACCTCCTGTAAAGATTTACAACTTAGAAATCTAATAGAGTCATGAGTAGAAATCAACTCAGGGGCAGTAGGTAAGAGGAGGGGTCTGAATGGGCCCTGAATTAGAACAGCTGAGGAGACCTTGCCCAGGATGATTCAAAGATGAGGCTCTTTTCTCGGGCACATGATGAAGGAGGTCTAGCTCTGTCCTGGAGCATCTTGCTTCTTCAGATTGTTGGTCTAAATGGAGACATTCTCTGAGTCAGGGACGTGAGAGGCCACTTAAAAACTCAGTGCCAAGTGGTCTTACCCTAGAGGTGGGGGATCAGATAATAGTAATGAACCAAAATTTCTTAAAAGTGGAGGAACCTGGCTGAGCAACTTTCCATCTCCAGGATGACCTTGTGAAGACCATGGGTGTTAGTGCAGCCCTAGGGGCAGCTGGCGTGGTGCTCTGGGGAGACCTGAGTTTGTCCAGCTCTGAAGTGAGTATTGCTCCCTCCGGCTTCCCACACAGCCCATACTGGGGTTCCAGGACTGGGGAGAGGCTAGTGTTGGCACCATGAGCAGAGCATTGCCAAATCCCTTCCTCTCCCCTCAGGAAAAATGCTTGCATCTCCACAATTACCTAGTGGATACTTTGGGCCCCTATGTGATCAATGTGACCAGGGCTGCCATGGCCTGCAGTCATCAGCAGTGCCATGACCATGGGCGCTGTGCACGGCGAGACCCGGGACAGCTGGAGGCCTTCTTGCACCTGCAGCCGGATGGTATTCCTGGAACTTGGGAGTCCTTCAGGTGCCACTGTTACCCAGGCTGGACTGGACCTACCTGCACAGAGCCCAGGCCTGAGCCTAAGGGAGACAGCAGGAAGCCAGGAGTCAATTGCTCCTAACCTGCCATTCCCCTTGTCCTTGTGGTCACTTGTCTTGCTCCCTGGTGGGAAGATGATGGCTCATATCTGACAGTTTATTCTTTCCATGCACAAACCCCACTCCACCCCCCCCCCCATCCCTGGGGATTGGAAAGGACCAGAGAAAATGTTTCTCCCATTTAAAAAATGTGACCCTAGCCAGCATGAGCCAAGGTTCCAACTGATTAGGGCTGAGGTCATCAGAGGTCCATCCAGGGGCAAATGAACCCCAAGAAAATCTTGGTTAAGCTCTAGATTTGCTAATCTGTTTTCTATACTCTGCTTTCATCATAAACCCACTTTGCTTTTCACTGAAGTTTAGTTGTCTTCATTTTTCTACCCTCCCCCACGTCCTCTCATGGTTACCTGATTAAAGTGGTCCTGTTAGCCCTGTCTAGGCTGCACTAAAGCCAATGTCTAGTGAAGCTGGTACTTCAGGGGGGGCCGCAGGTAAGGGAGACAGAGTCCCTCCTGGAGGACAACTTCAGAGTCAACGACCAGGTACGTGTGCAGCCGGCTGATGCAGAGCATTGTGGGTGCATAATCCAGCTAGAGAGTCGTCAATTTACTAGTCCCCCGAACAGACTACGGTTCCCACAATACTTTGCGCCCCGGCGGCCGGCGGGCATCCACGCGCGCAGCCTCCTGGAAATGGTAGTTTCGGCCGCATGGATGACGAGCTGAGCCTGGTGGCCAGGAACTCGCCTTCCCGGCAACCCGTTTGGCAGGGCGGGGCGCCTAGCGAAGATGGTGGAGCGCGCGGCGTGTGCCTCCAGTCGCTTGCCCAAGTCTCAGCGCCGCGCACTGGCCGGTGTCTTGCTGGTCCGGAGTCCCCACCCGCCAGGTCCCTGACCCCGCGCCCCCCGTGTCCGGTCCTCAGTATGCCTCGCGCCCGCAAGGGAAACACGCCTCGCAAGGGCGGTCAGCGCCGTGGAGGGGGTGAGTAGGGGGCGCGAGGTTTGGGCAGAGACCCTGTGTGTGACCCCGTCGTGACTCTGAGGGTCCTGCGGTAGGTATCCCCGCCGCTTCCAGCCCACTGCCTCCTTTTGGAATGCCCTGGCTGCCTGCACGTGCCACAGGGATCTGCGGCCACGTGTGCGCCCAACTTCAGAGCGTGCTGGTGCCTGTCCGGAGCCGCTCGCCTGGCGGGTTGCAGTTCGACAGGCACTTCCTGGCTCATTTTTCCATTGCCCCTCCACTCCGGGTGCCCGCTAGAAAGGGAGGGAGCTGACCTCCATGCCAAGCCCTAGGCTTTCCCGGACTGGGCGAGGAAGTTGGCCGGAGGCCCAGGAAACCCGACCAAGAACCAAAGGAGAAGGGGAGAATCGAGGGAGAGGGAGGGTCAGTGGGAAGCCGGAGGAGTCCAGCCTAGGTGGGCCCGGAGCCCACACCCTGAAACCCTGGGCAGCCTTATCAGCATCAACCAGGAGTATGACTTTGTGTAGTAAACACATATGTTTACAGTGCAGGAACGGGACCCCTGTAGTACACAGCTTAGGGACGGCCGTTGCCCTAATGGGACTTGAGAAAGGGGACGTCTGAGTGGGTAGTGTCATAAGCCCGAATTGGTACTGGGACATGCACACCAAGTGGCCTCTGCCTCAGAGGGACTTTAGAGACTTCCCCAGGGAGGAGCTTCTGAGTCCAAGAAGGTGGAAAAGAGCACCGGATTGAGGGAGTTAAGCAAATGTCAGGCCGTTTTAGCCAGCAGAGTGATGATTGAGGAGGTGAGCAGAGACCAGTGTCGAGCTGGACTTTGTCCATCAGGTGGCATGAGTAGTATTTCCCAAGTACAGGCAAGGACTGTCAGCCTCAGCCTGGCCAGAGTCCCTACACACGAGTGCTCTGATGGAGCACATGAGCCCTGCTGATCACTCACACCCTGTGTTCACTCATCTCTAGAAGTTCACACAGTTGAGGGTTACATCACTTTCTGCCTTTCCTCCTAGGGTTGGGAAGACCTTGTGTATCACGTCAGTCAGTGTTGAAAGCCAAAGTGGACCAAAGAGAGTGTAGAGGATAGTGTACTTGAACACTAGGTCCCTGTCATCTACTAGCAGCTGGGCTGCTGCTTCTAAGCCCAGTAGATAGTGAGATTGTTGGCCCATAGAAGAAACATAGCAAGTAACTTGTGTCTCTGCTCACACCACCAAAAAGAGATGCTTTTGCACCTCTTTTGTAGTTGGAGAAACTGAATCAGACTACCCGGCTTAATAATACACCTGTTAAGATGTGGGGCCAGGATTGGAAACCTGCGTCTGTTTGACTGTAGAATCTAAGCCTCTCACCGTCACCCTGTCCACTTTGTGATCATAATCCAGGCTGGTGACTGATCTCCCTTAGGATCTACCTGCTGATACAGTCCCACTTCATGCTAGGTCAAAGGCCTTGGTGGCAGTTGCACAACTTCTTATGCCTTTTCCTGTCTCTCTGCCTCTTCCTTAAAAAAATGCTCTGATCTCAGGAGGACACTGTTCACTAAACCTGACAGGGTGTTTGTAGGCTGGGCTTGATACCAACAGATAGACCTTCATTCCTGGCTCCTGCTTCCTGGTTCCTTATGTTAGCCCTAGCTCCATTGCAGCCTGCCTCCACCTCTTATCTCCAAGAGGTGCCGTTTTCTGTCCTCTTGGGTCATGGGCCTCTGATAAGGTGCCTCTAGTCTTCCCTTATCAATAGATGCAGGCCAAGCACCCCATTTCCCCTTCCTCAGGTGCCCGGAGCAGTGCCCAGGCCGACTCAGGTTCCAGTGAGGATGAGGCAGCCAGTGAGGCCCGCAGTACTGCTAGTGACTGCCCCAGCCTCCTCAGCATCACCGCAGAGGACGGCCTTGGTGAGAGTTGGTGGAAGCAGCAAGGGCTCCGCGGGCAAGGGGTTGGCGGGCAAGGGCAGCACAGGATTGACCAGCTGGCTTTGCAGGGGGGGAAGCTGTGGATGAGCAGGCCCAGCAGGAAGACCTTGAGGATAAGCTGAAGGAATATGTGGACTGCCTCACAGACAGGAGGTAACCCCGCAAACTCCTACATCCATATCCCTGCTTAGCCTGTGACAGTCGTGGCCCAGGGAGAGCTGGCCTTCCTTTTCTGCCCCCTAGTGCCAAGACCCGGCAAGGTGCCCTAGAGAGCTTGCGCCTAGCCTTGGCATCCCGTTTGTTGCCCGACTTCTTGTTGGAGCGCCGCCTCACTCTGGCCGATGCCCTGGAAAAGTGCCTCAAGAAAGGTTGGGAGCGCATATGGGAGACCTGAACTGGTTGGGTGCTGACCCCTGACCATGGCTGCACAGGCTAACGGGAAAGCATTCTCTAGGGAAGGGTGAGGAGCAAGCCCTGGCTGCCGCCGTGCTGGGTCTGCTCTGCGTGCAGCTGGGCCCCGGACCCAAAGGTGAGGAGCTGTTCCAAAGCCTGCAGCCCCTGCTGGTGTCAGTGCTCAGCGACAGCACAGCTAGCCCTGCCGCCCGGCTCCACGTGAGTGTTCCGTGCCAGGCAGCACCCCCTCTACGCCCCATCCTTAAGCAGAGTGATGGGTTCCACTTACTTCAGGCTCTCCTACTCTGAGGGGCTCTGAGGCTCCTGACTAGGGACCCAGGTTTACCCCCTGTGTCCTGACTTAGCTCTCCTCCCAACAGTGCGCCTCTGCTCTCGGCTTGGGCTGTTATGTGGCTGCTGCTGATGTCCAGGTGAGTAACCTGGGAGGGGGCGGGTGGGGCGGATGGCACGTGCACCACTGTGCTGCCTCTGAGCCACTCCCCTATCTTCCTGTGTCCCTAGGACCTGGTCTCTTGTCTTTCTTGTTTGGAGGGTGTTTTTAGCCGGGCCTGTGCCAGTCATGGCTCGACAACCCCTGTGGCCCCCGCTAGCCTGCATGGGCTGCTTTGTGCCACCCTGCAGGCATGGGCATTGCTGCTCACCATCTGCCCCAGTGCACACATCAGCCACATCCTTGACAGGTAGGGGCACCAGAAGGGCGATGGGAAGGGTGAGGAGACACCCCACACACCACCTGCACATGAAGCTTAGCCGCCCCCTTTCCCAGGCAGCTTCCTCGACTACCCCAGCTCTTGTCCAGTGACAGTGTGAACCTGCGGATTGCTGCTGGCGAGACCATCGCTTTGCTCTTTGAGCTCGCCCGTGACCTTGAGGTGCAGGAGATGAGTGCGGACTAGTGCCTGCTGATGCCACCTGCCCCTCCCAGGCTGGATGCAGGAGACACCACAGAGAACAGGGTGGCCTTAGCTTAGTGTGGAAGGGAGGGAGTCCTAACCCAGTTGCCTGTACTAGATGCTATGGTGGGGACCCTAGGCAGGGGTGTCTGTCCGGGCAAATGCCAAGGAGCAACTTAGTGGGAGAGGGAAAAAAGAGCGTTCTTAGTGAAGGGGGTGTGGGGGCCTGTGTTGAGAGCAGAGCTCAAGCTCCTACTCAGTGTTCTCTATCACCCTCTGCCCTCTGCAGGAAGACTTTGTTTACGAGGACATGGAGACCCTCTGCAGCGCTCTGCGCACCTTAGCCACCGACAGCAACAAGTACCGTGCCAAGGCTGACCGCCGGCGCCAGCGCTCGACCTTCCGAGCTGTGCTGCACTTTGTTGAGGTGAGAGAGAATACGTGCACCTGAGTGGGAGGGCACCCCCAGAATCCCAGTCACAGCAGCCATGCTCCATCTACCCTATAGGGCGGTGAGTGTGAGGAAGAGACGGTCCGCTTTGGCCTTGAGGTGCTCTACGTGGACAGCTGGGCCCGGCGCCGGGTCTACGCAGCCTTCAAGGATGTGCTCGGTTCTGGCATGCACCATCACCTCCAGGTAGGGGAGAGGTAGCAGGGGGCCCAGAAGGGCTGCTTCTGACTAGCCAGATCTCACTGCTCTTTTCCTTTCTAGAACAATGAGCTGCTCCGTGACATCTTTGGTCTAGGCCCCGTGCTGGTGCTGGATGCCACTGCCCTAAAGGCCTGCAAGATTTCCCGCTTTGAGAAGGTTGGCATCCTTGGACACCTTTATCTTTCCTCCATTTCCCCTTCCCAGGAGACTGGGGTCAGCAGGGACCAGAGGAGGAATCCTGGAGCCCCGGGCTCCCCCTTCCCAACTTACCAGATGGTCACCCTCTGTCCCCACAGCATCTGTACAACGCTGCTGCCTTCAAAGCCCGGACTAAGGCTCGCAGCCGGGTGCGGGACAAACGGGCAGACGTCCTGTGAGGCAGGACCCGCTGAAGAGGACCCACTCTCTTGCTCATGTTTTTAACAGAAGACAGTGTGACATCTGGTCCCTGCCAGTAATTGTCGCTTTATTTTTTTAATGACAAAACCAAAAATAGACATGGGGATAGGAGGGCTGGTGTCCAAGCTGCTTAGGACCCTGGCCCTTTGCCCTGTGCTCAGCCCCATTTCCTCTTCCTGCCCTGTCTCAGCCTGGCCAGATGTGTCTGTCCTGGGGCTGTGGGTTGGGCAGCGTCGCGCTTGGGGACTGCTCCTTTATCTCCCTTCTTAGGCCTTAACCCACTTATTAGGAGGGGATATAAAACATCTAGTCAGTGAGCACAGCAGGTGGGGGCAGTGAGGCTCCCTGGGATGAATTTCTGTGCTAACTTTTTAAGATTATTTGGGATCATTAAACAGAATGCTCAGTCTTCTGTGGCCTGATTTCTGGGTGTTTCTGCTTGCCCCCCCCCAGGATGCTTCTCCTTACCTCACCTTTGCCTTTCTCCATGTGGCTTCCCCCCTCCTCTGGGCCCTGCCTGTCTTGGGAACTGAAGCTGGACCCCCCACTAGGAGGCCTGGCAGAGTCCGGTGACAAGAGTGGTGTAGATAGGCAGCTATTTCTGGACTTCTTGAACCTGCTGTATGGGGATGGCCAGAGGCTGCCGACAGGCTACAGGAGAAGTTAGGAGGCTGATACCCCCTCCCCTGACCTTGGACCACCCGAGCAGAGTCTTGGCACCAGCAAGTGGAGCTACATGTGGCCTTCAGAGAGCAGGAGAGGCTGGCAACTCTAGGGTCCAATTCTGCTCTTGGACAAAAACTTCACCAAGGAAGTAATGCATATATGGCCAGCAGCAGGAGAGGCGGGCCTAGCCAGTGGCCACTTTATTTCCCTCTCTACACAGCCCCAGGCCCCAGGTCCAGACTGCCTCAACTGGGTGCTCGGGCCTCGCTTGAGTTGAGCCTCCGCAGCTGGCTGAGGCTGGCGAGCCGGAGTTTGAGTAGCGTCTCCTCTTGCGTCCGTAATGTGTGCGCCAGGACACGCAGCGATTCACTCTGCAGTACTGCAGAGAGCAGGCAAGGGAGGTGGGTGGGCTGTCCTACCACCCTTTGCTCCACCCAGCCCCAGTGCTAAAGACTCCTGGACACCACCCTACATCCCAGCCTCCCCACCGCTGCATATCTTACTCTGTGGCCATGCCCTCCACCCACACAGAAGGGCCTTCTGATCCCACTGCCTTGCCCATGGTTGCATCCACACCCTACACCGACCATACCACTCAGGTAGACAGCCAGGACAGCAAGCGCCAGACAGGTGAATACCAGCAGTGTGAGCAGCAGCAGGAAGCCCCCCCGGCTGTGCAGAGGGCCACAGCCAGCCTGGGCACACAGTGATGGGGGCAACACCCCTAGCAGTTCATCCCACGGGCGTGTCTCTTCAGCCAGGTAGGGGTGCAGTGAGCCTGTGGGGCAGGTGGGGTGTCAGGAGGGTGGTGGGAGTAACCTCTCCTGTTCCCCAGCCTGTCTCCCACACCCCGCCCTCTCACCTCCGCTGTGCAGGTCACTGATGGATTCCACCTGATGCAGGTGCACCTCCTGCACATGGTTGGGGGCCAGTGGCGGCCTGCTTCTTGGGCTCAGCACGGGTGCCACAGTATCTGCAGGAGCAGGGCAGGACAGCCTCAGCCAACTGGTCAGTCCCTCCCTGGTCTCAGCCGGAGAGGCATGGGTTCTCAGAGATGCAAACAGTGGTGCGTGTGGCTGCGACTCAACCCAAAACTGACACAGGCCTAATCCTTGGTCTGACCCCCTTGGCTTGTTTGTGTGCACATTGCCAAAAGGTGGGCTAGCCTTGCTTCTGTTTCTGCCTGAGCCCCTCAAAGACTTTGGGGATTGCTCTACTTTCTGGTTCCTACTCAAGCTTTTCAGCCTCGTAGGACTTCAGTACATGGAATTCAGTCCTGATCCTCCGCCCAGCACAGTAGCCTCCCCACTCCTCAGCACCTTTCTGGCCTCGGTTCTGCATTCTCTAACATTAGTACGATGCTGCTGTTGTGTGCATCCATCCCACTGTTTTCACTCAGCAGCAGGGCAGGGATCCATCTTTGTAATCTGCTTCACGTACCGCTGAGGTCTCCCCACAGGCACTCTATTGAGACTGTCTGGACATTGAGGTTTCTAATTCTTTTTGCAAATAACCCCCTAGAAGGACATCTCATCATTGAATAGGAAAGTTTCCCCAATTTTCTGACAGTTATTAAAGACAAATTCCTGGAAAGAGAATACTAGATCAGAGAGCCTGGGTCTTTTTAAAACTATTATCAAATTACCTTCCAGAATGGCTGTCCAAGCAAGTACCACTGACTGCAGCCCCATTGAAATAATATATATAATCCCGTGTATATAGATAAAACTGTGCTTGCTAATTTGAGAGACGAGAAAGGTTTTTTCTTGACTGATTCAACTTCTTTCTCTGGGGACCTTGGCCCTTAAATGCGTGCCTCCTTGTATAGGACTTATCCATTCACACCCTCCGAGGTCTCTCTTTTGTCTCTGAGGTCTGTGTATTTGTGATATTATCCTTACAACCATCCCTCCCCTCCCCTAAACGGTTTCTGTTGTGATCTCTAAATATTTGATTCTATTTTCTTCTATTCCTTGACTTGGTTATTTTAATTATATTTTAGTCCCTTAAGAAGACCTTCATTTTCCCAGCTGGGAGCTAGATAACTCGGGGGGGGGGGGCGGGAAGAGGTGATCACTTTGTAATGGGAGGCAAAGGTAAAAGTGGTAGAGGAACTTTTTTGGTCTGTCAGTCAGAATGGTAACGTGACCTTCATGATTTGCCTGAAAATGTCCCCTTGAACAAGTAAAGCAGAAACAGGTGGTGTCCAAGTAGGTGGGCTGGAGGTCATATTAAATCCCGTCTTTATACTTTGCCATGGTTTTCTCACACTTACTAAATGAACATGGATTCTGCCCATGGAAAATCACAGTAAATACTATTGCTAAGACCCCCCAAAAGGAGGCAGGGGCCAGCCCCCTCCCTTCCAGTGTACAGTGCTGAGAATGGAGAATGATGTGTCAGGGGGAGTTGGCTGAGCCGGGCTTTGAGCCAGGAGCCGGCCCTGGCAGCTGTTCCTGCATCCTCTGCTTTCTGAAGCTAGATGCTCACCTGGATGCTTGCTGCTGAGCCTTGCTGAGCCTCAGTACGTCCTGCATGCAGTGCAGCGGTCAGGTAAGTGTGACTAGCAAGGTCTTGAGTACTTGCATCAGTTTACTCAAGTCTGATCTTTAGCCACTGGGGACACGGAAGCCCACGTTTTCTACTGAGTTCTCTGCCAGTTACCTCCCTCCAGGCCCAGCTTCTTCCCTAAAGGAAGAGTTGCACTGGTCAAACCACTACACACCCCATTTAGCACAACTTGTAGTTAGCTCACACCCACTGGGCAGGCAGCTCCCTTCTACCCTCCTCTATCTCCAGGCAGGGCCTGAGGTGAGGTGTTTCCAGCAGGCCTCTCCATACACACAAAGGAGGTGTTCCAGGCAGACCTCTCCATAGAGAGAGCAGGACCCTTCACTCAGGCTTGGATCAGATGCTCATGACCAGCCAAAGTGGGCCAGGAGGCAATTCTCCAGGGTTCATAGGGTCCTAGGTCTGGGATCTTGCCCTCCCCTCATATTACCCTCTCCTACCTTCTTGGACTTCCTCAGGCATGGTGGATAGCAGGCAGCCAGGGGACCAGTGACAGTGCCCAGTAGCAGAACTAGACAGGCAGCAGTGGCTCCTCTAAAAGCCAGGGGAAGGCTTGGCCACCTCCCATTCTGGGCCTAAAATAAGTCTGAGCTCAGCCTACTGGGCTATATTTAGAGGGGCTAGCTCTGAGCCCTGGAAAGGGGCAGAGTGACCTACATGGGCCAGCCTGGACTTTCTGCTCAAGGGCATGCCTCCATGAATGCATGTCTTCAGTGTCCTACTTGGGAACCCTATCACCCAAGACATGCATGAGACCCTGGGTCTCTAGACCAGCCTCCAACAACACTCTGCATAGCAGACACCAGTGTCCTTCCACTCATGTAGACCTCCTCCCAGCAAACAGGCAGAGCTCTGTGATATGAGGAATCAGGGCTCAGAATGTGCAGAACAGGCAATCCACCCACCCCTGTACAGGAATCTCTGCTAGATGCTTTGTCAACAAACAGTCATTGCCAAATTTATGACCGTAAGTGAAGGATTGCCCCAATCCAACCTCAATTTCTTTGTAGAATAACAGAGGACTAAATTACTGAGAAGCGATGACATCAGTTTGAGGACAAAAGTGCATGTGATTCAGGTCATGGTCTTTTAGTCACTTGGTATGCATCTGAAAGCTAGTCAATGACTAAGGAAGTCAGAAGAATTGATGACTTTGAATTGTGGTGTTGGAGAAGAATGTTAACTATCCTGTGGACTGCCAAAAGAATAAACAGATGCTTTAGAAAAGGGGCAGCCAGCATGCTTCTTGGAGGCAAAGATGTTGAGGGATTGTCTGACATATGCTAGGAGAGGTTTTTCCTTGGAGGACATCAAAGCAGAGGAGGACTCTCAACCAGGTGGACTGACGCAGTAACTGCAGCAATGGGCTTGAGGGTGTCAGAGATTGTGAGGATGGCACAGGAGTTCAGTTCTGTTGTTTATAGGGTTACTATGAGTCATACTCAACAGCAACAATGGTTCTGAAGGGAGCGCTTGATGGTAAGCAGTTGTTCTGCCAATCCAAAGGCAGGCAGCTTGAACTCACCAGCTGCTCCATGGGAGAAATATGGATAATCTCTGTGGATATCTTGCCTCTGAAAATCCACTAGAGGGTCAGCTATGAGTTGGTTCTGACTCAATGGCACATAACAACAGCCGTTCTTATGTGGGATCCAAGTGAAAATAAAGATGCAACCACATGTCTTGAATTACTGTGTTGCTCAAAGGCTCCTCTTCTGTACAAGTGCACCTGGGCCACAGACGTTTGTCAGGATAAAGTCATCTGCTTATCCTTGGAGCCTGAAGAGATGGTCCAGCTGTGGTCCCTTTTATTTACCCCTTTTTGCCATTCGACCCAGGCCCTTCTTTCTTCATGGGGGCAAAGTAAGCCCATCATCTCTCTTCTAAAATATCCCAGATTTCACTCCGTTGACTATATTCGTGCTCCTCAAAAAGGTCATGCTTTTTTCCACCTCAGGGCCTCTGAACTGCTGCTGCTGTTTCTTCCTGGAATGTTCTTCCTCCAGATATCCTGTGGCTGACTTAGTGGCATTCAACTCAGATCACACTCTCAGTAAGGCCTTCTGCACACGCTCTTTTCCACATCACCCAGTTTTATTTCTCACATAGCACTCGGCCCTCAAATTAGTCAGCATGTCCTGTGCGTGTTGGTAACCCCAACCAATTTAGGCTCAGACAGGACAAACTGAGGTCCTGAGCCTGCTGGGAAGGTGCTCAACCACACGCCAAGTTCTAGAACTAGTGGCTGCTCGTGTAGCCGGTCCAACATCGGCTGATAACGTGTTTATTGCGTAGCTTAGTACAGTCGGCCTGCCCCGCCCCCACCCCAGCAGCCCGGCCTGTTCACAGCTTCCTGCTCATTCATTGCCCAAGGAGGGGTCCCTCCTCCATGGTGGATGGGGACTCTTGGCTCTGGGCAGCTCCCTGGCTCTGGAGGTTTCTCCAGAGCCCCACTTCTCTACCTCTTCTCAACTGATGGACCTCCGCGCCCAGCTTGGGCCGCCCCTCATGGGGCTACATTCAAGGGTTATCTGTTAATAAATAAGCCGGTGCGGCTGCCCCTCAACCAGAGCCTGTCAGCTGGTGCTGCCTCTGCCAGGGTATGCCGTGGTGTGCCTGGTCCCAACTCGTGTCTCCCCATTCCAGGGTCTGTCCTGCCCTGTCCCACCCGTCATCTCCTGGCCTGGTCACCAGTGCGTTGCACTGCGTGGGCCCCGCTCAGCACGCGACTCCGCGGCGTAGGTGCGCCTATTGCGGCCCTTCCTGCGCAGCTCCGGGGTTGGCGGGCGAGGCGCGGGAGGCGGGCGACACATGCGCAGGGAATTTGCGCCACCGCCGCCGCCTGGCTCCACCAGCTGCAGGAAGTCCCGGTACCAGAGCTTGGGGCCCTGCGGCGCAGCGGGCACCGGGTCCTCAACACGGGCCAGCCGCTCAGCCTGCACAGCGCTCAGCACGTGCAGCGCCAGGCGGCGCAGCGGCTGCGAAAAGCCTTGCTCGACGGCGGCGCACAGGTACGCGCCCGAGTCCGCGCGCCGCAGTCCGCGCAGCAGCAACCCCTGCGCCGTGTGTTCAGCACGTCCTTCCGCTGGCACCTGCGGGAGGAACCATCGGGAGGCGGGGCAGTCAGGCCTTGGGAGAGCGCTCCTCAGCCCCAGGCAAAGGACAGGGATGCTACGGAGTATCAGAGGAGACGTGGGCAAAGGGACGAGTGAAGGCGCACACTTGCCAGGGCTTAGAGGTCTGCAGGAGTGGGCCGGACAACCTGAGGGCGGGCCAATAGGTGGATTGGGGCGGGGCTTCTTTCAGGGTGTGTGTGTGTGTGTGTGTGTGTGTGTGTGTGTGTGTGTGTGTGTAAGGAGCCCAAATTGGGTGGGATAGAGTTTTTGGATCTGAGGTGCAGTTAAGGGACCAAACTGAGAGGTGTGGATAAGGGGCCTGGTGGGGTGAGGCTCCATGTAGAGGCGAAGGGTAGGCCTGGACCTTCTTAGCCTTGTCAGACAGCTCCTGGATATGGACCTGAGGCAGAGACCTGGTGGGAAGGGGCGGGGCGAGGCTCACCAAGGCTCGGGCCTGCGCCCCTGCAGGCTGGAAGGTCCAATTAACGCGTGCCTGTAGAGAGCGGGGTTCACATTCCAAAAAGACGCTGCCACCCTCCACACCAAACACCTTCCGCTCCAGTAGTGTGGGGCGCGAGGGGTCTGGAGGAGACGGGAGTGTCAGATTAGACAGAGGGAAACAAGGCGTTTTTGGGGTGGGGCATGAAGTGGGGAAGGCAGCTCGCGCACTCACCGCCAGAGCACAGCGTGCTAGGGTCACCATTCCTTACGTCTTGCCGCCTGAACCGCCTAGAAGGAACGTTGAAGCCTCTGTGAAGGGACTGTGTTCCACCCAGGGGGTGAGGGACCCTCGGGTTCCCTCCCAGCGACTGCCCCAGCCCGCCCACCTCTTGGCACTGGTCTGGAAGCGAGTGCAGGCAGACCCATCCCAGGCACAGTAGGGGTCACGTGCCAGGCAGCATTCAGCGCACACACGGCCATGGGCAGAGCAGCGGTGCAGGGCGATCTGGGCCACTGCGCTCCTCGAGCCTATGTACAGCTGGTGCTGGGAGACAGAAGAGATTCCAGACTGGGAGGGCGGCCACAGGCCCATCTCCCACTGGTCAGAGACCCCTTCTCCAGGGGACTCATTCTCACTGAGGTCTCATTCAGGTCACAAAGTCTAGCCAGGGCTGAACCTATATAGGAACCAGAGGTTGCAAACTACCAAGGAGAATATGGGGGGGGGCGCCACTTTGGACATACAAGAGGGCCTCCCACCCCTTCACTGTATAGTCGCTTACCCGCTTGGAGGAGATCTGCATGCTGGTGACAGCAGCTGAGTCCTAAGAGGGAAGAATGGTACAAGTGACAGGGCACAGCGGGGTGAGGGGAGCTCGAGCAACGGAGGAGATAGCCTCACCTCAAATATGTGCAGCTCCTCCAGGAGCAGCCCCTCCGAGCTAGGCCGGCTGCCCTTGGGGACGGAGATTACCTTTAGCACTGTTCCAATGTCTGTAGGGAGGAGAAGGTGTGAGAAGAGGCCTCTAACCTCCACTGAGGATATGGATTGGAACAATCAGAAATGAGAAAGGTGATGGGAGCACAGCCCAGGCAAAGGGGGACTGAGAAGGGAGGAGAGCTACTGCCAGACCAAGGAGCCTGTATAGGGTCCTGGGGATGGTCGGTTGGGGACAGAGGGCTCACCTGTGCCAATGAAGAGGACGTCATAGTGTCCATCTGCAGCTGCTACTCGGTCAGCCACGATCTGGGTGAAAGTGTACCCAGCGCCCACTTGCAAGAAGAGAGGGCGACCCCCCATGGGCAGAATAGAATTGTACATGAGGGGATGGTTCCGGGCAAACTGGATGACATCATCAGGAAAGTCCTTGGTGGAACTGAAAGTGCCAAAGGTCTTGCTGGGGCACTGGGGAAGGACGAGCCGAAGTGTGAGTGTGGGAGATTGGGAGGCATCCCTCCCTCCACTGTGGCTTCAGATCTGAGAGGAGAGGCCCAGGTTTGACCCAGGGAATCTGAAGGAGAAAGCACCACCTCCCAGGAGAAGCCCGGTCAGATGACTTTTCCTGACCATAACAAAAAAGAAAACATAATTCACCAAGACACTCCCGACCCAAGACTGAAGTCTCCAGCCCTGAGGCTTTGAAGTGGATTGTGGACAGAGTTTCTAGGCGACCCACCATTCCAGGCCTTGGGTAGGGAACACGGCCCTGGTAAGACACCCACTGGTGTGTGGGCCCCTCTTTATGTGCAAAGGGTCCCAGGAAAGCCCTGCGCACGTCGTTCATGCTGTAAACACACACAGCGGAGCCCTGGAAGACGTTGCTGCAGACAAAAACAAGGGAGGAATGAGAGAGACCCTTGGGCGGCCAGCTGGCCCCTCTCTGTGTCTCCTCCTCTCCAATCCTAACCTGGAGGTGGAGAACACAGCATAGAGCAGTGGGTTCTGGCGGTCTCTCGAGGGCAGCAGGAACACGTCCTCTGTGGGGAAAGAGGGTGGTTAGGGGAAGAGGTCCCGGGGTGCGCCCCTGCCCCACTCCCCCTCCGGGCACTCACGGAGCTGGTCGAAATGGGTGTCACCCTCGACTCCGGGCACGGAGCATACCAGCCGCGCCTTCAGGAAGGTCGTCCACTTGTTGACCAGGCTGCGCTGACCGCCTACGTCGTTCTGCGAGAGAGAAGAGAAACGGTGAGGAATAGCGAGGGGTGGGACCCTGGAGGGCTAAATAAACGGCGCAGGGTCCTCCCAATATGGCCCGAGGACGCCTTACCCGGCAGATCTGACCGACGCGGGACACCGAGCGGCGTCCCAGTGCGGGAGCCGCCTCCACTGCCAATTCACGGAAGAAAAAGTAGATCTTGTCGTCGTCTGGGTTCTCGTTCTCCGGGATCCAAAAAACCTTTACGAACTTGGGCTCTGGCCGCAGCAGGAAGCATGCAGTCAGTACAGTCCTGGTCCAGCCAACTACCACCCTTCCCCCCGCTCGTGGCCCAAGCGCGTCCCCCCCTCTTCAGCGCTGATCATAGTCTTGGGGTATCACACAAGGTCAGCTGGGGGATCGAGCCCCTCTGTGCAGACTGAAAACCATAAAGCAGGTGCGCCAAGCACGGAGTGGCCACAAGAGGGCAGCAGAGACCATAGCTATATGGGAACCGGGCAATGACCCTCGGGAGACTTGGAACCTGCCCCTCACAGTTAACTCAGGACAGAGGACCAGCAACGAGGGAGATGGTTTCTCGACACTGGTGATTCCTCCTTCCTAACAAGTAGCAGATACTCCACCCCTGCCTCCATCCGGCCCCCTGGTCCTATTGGATGTAGAATAAACTACCTGGTCACCCTTAACCAACGTTCTCTTCGTGTGTTCTTGTCTCAGGGTCTTAACTGTTGTCTCAGCTCTCTGAATGCTCTTCCCTTAAGCCGGCTCACTCTCTTGCTTTGGGAATTAGATGTCTCTTCAACAGAGTGGCCTCCTTGCCACCTCCACCCAGTCTCCTTTCCTTTTCCCTCTTTGCTGTTCTCTTTTTGGCCTTAATGCCTTGGGAGTGGTCTCATCAAGCCTTCTCCAGTCTATGAAAGTCTATGAGTGGGCACCTGTCTTGTCTGCCATTTGTGTGCCCCCAGTGCCTGGCACATAGTAGGTACTCAAAGAGACCTGGCTCCGCCCACTGCTCACTCACTTCATGAGCCTTGGTTGATATCCTCCCAGTGTAGGGGGATGAGGGCCCCTTCTTTCCTGGCCCACCAGCCTCTCACCGTTGAGCCATCGGGAATCGTGTGGCTCGGTGCGGAGACTCGGCCGTCGGCCCAGGCTGCGGAAGATGGTAAAGTCCCGGCCCATGAGGTCTGCGGCCACCCCCGAGTACAGCTCCTCCCCTGTGGACAGGGCAGAGGCTGCTCAGCTGGGCTGAGGGGTACATGGGGTGGGAGGGCCTAGGCAGCTCCTGGCTTCCAGGGGAATCATAAGGCTACAAGGGAAACCTCCAGGTCTTTGGGGGTGGGGGTTGTCTTGGGACTTTATGAAGTTCTGGAATCTCTTAGGGTCCCAAGACCCTAAGAGGGTCCCTCTGTTGGGGGTCCCAGCCTTGTGGACTCACCCACCAGCACGGAGGCGCCCCGATGCCTGGGGTCATAAGGACTCTTCCCCTTGCCATCCTCTAGGCTCCGAAGGTCCAATTGAAGCATGGGATCCTGGGAGACAGGGGGAGAGTTGTTACCGGCAGACGCCCTTCTTCACCTCTTGTCCTCCTCCTCTGCCTAGAGCCGGCCTTACCTCCAGCCAGTGGCCCACCTCCACATACACACAGGCCGGGTGGAAGGCTCCTGTGCCACAGGCCAGCAAGTGGGTGTGGTTGTAGACATGAAGCAACTTCACGAAGTTCATGCACTCAGTCTACGGGCAGACATCTGCAATGAGGCCTCCTCCCCACGGAGCTCAAGTGGCAACCCCACCCCTGCCCTCTTCTGCACCAGCCCCAGCTGAGACAAGTGTAGGTCACAGGGACCAGGGATTCTTGGTGACCAGTCAAGCCCACACTTAACTACGGTGAATACCTGGGGAACCATAAGCCTGCGCAGCACCCACCCCCATGACTCAGAGGCCTCCAAGGAGAATAATGTAAGCCCCCACCCTGACTCATCACCTCGAGACCTCAGCCACCTGACCCCCCTGCCCTCGCCCTGGCCAGAACAGGCCAGCCTCTGTCTTAGCCCTGCCCGTCTATAGAGTGAGGGGCTGGCCCTCCCCAGCCCAGCCCAGCAGCCAGCACTCACACTGATGTCCTTCCCTGCCCAGTTGCACTCCTCTCGCCATTCCACGGGGGCCGGCCAGGCCAGCTATGGGGTGGAAGGAGCACAATCAGGGTCTCTCTCCTTAGGTCCCACCACCCCAGGTCCCTACAGGCAATCAAGTGGGGTCCCCAAATTCTATCCCTGGATGGCATTGAGGCTGGGGGAACCTGGCACCTTTTTGGGCCGCTTGCTGATATTGTCCAGGCTGAGGGAGGCCACATGGTTCTCAGCACCCACAAATAGCCGTCCGCGCTCCTCGTCCACCAGCAGCGTCTCGTAACAGCAGGCTCGCTCCAGCCGGAAGGTCCGGAGACCATGCTGAGCCTGGAGCTCTGCAGGGTGGGTGCATCACTGAGGACGCAGAGTCCTGCTGCAAGCCCCCCTGCCCTGCCAAGACCTGCAAGGATCGCTCTCTCACAGGCCAGGTTTGTACATGAGACCTGGCTCACATACATGTGAGTTTACACATGCGTGAGTTTACACACGCAAAGACAGGCCCACCCAGGTGCGTGTACTTAGCTGCTGGGGTGGGTGGTGCAGCCCCCAGGAAGGGGAAGCAAGTTGAGCTTGGGCATGCATCGACAAGCCAGGTCTCCGGCGGGCACACTGGGAGGCCAAGCTTGTGGAAGCCAGGGCTCTGGGGGAGGCTAGGCATGTAGGGACAGTCAGAACCCCTACCCTCAAATGAGGGGATCCTCTCTGCCACTCCACCAGTAGCCCAAGTGCAGGACAACTGCCTGCCAGTTACCATTGCACAGGAACCACCCTGCCAAGCAGCATGGAGTGAGAAAGGGGCACCAGTGGTCCCCACACCTCCACTTCTTTGTGGCTCTGTGGCAGGGACAGAGCCTGAGGGGGTAAGGGATGGATCAGAGGCACAGCCTGTTGCTATGGGGACAGGAGGGGTCTTTCTGGGAAAGCATGAGGAGAATGTGGGCAGAAAGGTTGGTGGCTGAGATCAAGACAAGGTTAACTGGAGATGACCTCAGTGTCACCACATCAGCCTGGACCCCGGGTCTTGGAGACAGACACACAAAAGGGATAACACAGCAAACACACCACATATACTCTAAGGCGTCCCTTTCCTGAGCAAGCTGAGTCCAGCCCTCCCACCTGCCAGGTGCACCTACCTTGGAAGGAGAGCCGTAGGCGTGGGGTGCTGGGGGCAGCACCCCCAAGCAGGGCCACCGAGAGCAGGGCCAAACCCGGGATCATGGCGGCAGCGGTGGCCCGCCCCATCCCGGTGGCGGCTCAAGGCTCTCAGGGTTCAGCGGGCGCGTGTGGAGGAGCCTTGAGCCGCCCTGGATTCTGCCCCGGGATCTGGAAGGGAAGGAGTCAGGCAATGAGGGCGGCAATGAGGGCGGAGGCGAGGGGGGAGTCCCCAGGGATCATATTACAGCCCCTAGGGGCACGCGGCTGGGGGGTCGCATTCCACTTCCGAGACTCCCTTAGGAGGGTGCACTGCCCGGTCACAATCAGACACACCCACACTGGGCACACCCTCCAGGTCAGAGGTCACCCCTACACTGGCAGGAGCCCGCCCCATCACGTCATGTTCTCCCTCTGTCACCCCTCCCGTATACACATGCACAAACATTAAATCCCAAACACTGCGTGCCCACTTCATCCCAGCCTAGGACTAGGGACTAGGGAGGGGGACACACACAGACATGAAGCCCATAAGAGAAGGGGCAGAACACCAACAAGAGCTGATTGGCGTGGTCATTGCAAAGGCAGCAAACACAATGAGAAAACCACCTCGTTGTAAGAGTGACAGTGACAGGAGGGGGTCCGGTCTCTGCCTCTGGGAGGACACTTCGCATCCCTAGGTCCAGAGACACACAGAGGCACCTTTGGGTTTCAGGCCGGGTGCATGTGAATGCGACTGTTTCTCTGTGTGTTTTTGTGTATTTGTATGTGCACGTGTATGTAGTGTGTGCATACATGTGTGTGTCTGTGGGGGGTAGTGTGTGCTAGGTAAACGAATACATGTGCACAAATAGGAATGCAGATTCATATGTATGATGCATGCCTATCTAGGCAGCATGTCTGTGATATGTGTATGCATGTGGGATGCATGTATGTATATATATGCCACACAGGTGTACATGCATGTATATGCAAGTCTGTAGGTATGCTGGTGAGCAAATACAGCTGCAACAGCATCAACCACTCCCTTCGACTCTGAGACATGGGTGAAACCCATTTTTTTAGAGAGAAAGACCTGGTTACCCAGGAGACCACAAGCCTGGCTCCCCCTGGGGCTGGGCAAGAGCCACAGCCTCATCCAGCCACACCAGCCCTGCGCCTGACCTCTCCCTCTCTGTGGCCCAGAGGGAGTGGAAGGGGCTGATCACACACACATAGAGATTCTGTGAGGTCAGACCAGACAGAGAGCAATCAAGTGGGAGAGCCAAGGGCCCGAGGCAGCCTCTCATCTCCGCTGAACTGCCTCTCCCTCCCCTCTCAGAAACTCCAGTCTTCCCACCTCATCCCCTCTCCTTCCTTAACCTCTCAAAAGGTTTCGGCACCTCAAAGCTCCTTTACTCTCTGAGCTGAACCCTTCCTTGGCCCCTCAGATGGTTAGAATGCCTGTCCTCCTTCTCAAAAGCTGGTGAACAGGTGCAGGGCACAGGAGCCCTGGGGTGGAGCAAAGCCTTGGGTAGGGCCACCAATCGGGTTTGGCGGCTGGGCAGGTCGTAAGGTCGTGATCCTGCCGTGTACTGGGGTCTTGTTCACCCAAAGACTCCTCACTTCCCTCACTCCCTCCACAGACACTTGCTGCCTCTTCCCATTCCAGCCTGTGAGGTCTGCTGTGCAAGAAACACCCAGCCTCCTTCCCACATACTCCAAGAACTCCGGCATTGATGCCTGCCCACCCCAGCGGCTGCCTACCCGAGGGAAGGGGAGTCACCTAGGGCCCACAGAACACCCTCCAACGGCTCCTTTAAGAAGTAGCCCCCACCCCCATCGGGCCCAGCTGCCACCGTTCCACAGGCCATAAAGTTTACGGGTAGATCAGGTGACTGGGGCAGGCAGCCCCGGACAGGCTAGAGACAGCAGAGCAGAGCGGGTACTCAGAGAGCATTGGGGAGAGATGACCCCTCCTCCCCTGCCAGGCCCCAAGGAAGGGTGGCCAGGCAGGGTCTCCAAAGAAGGATGGCCAATCAAAAGGAGGAAGAAGTAACAGAGACGCCCTCCCCACCCCACACCCCCTCCCCAGCTCTAGGTGGCTCTGCCCAGCAGGAATGAGCTCAGCCTCAGGGTTCCTCACCTGTCCCTCTGCAGCTGGGGGCAGGGGGCGTGGGGTACAGCTGCTATCACAGCTCCTAGGAGCCAGCTGCGGTGGGATTGGAGGGCTGGAGGTTGCAGAGGTGGTGGTTCTCAATTGGAGAGCTCATGTCCCCCAGGGCCTGGGCTCTAGTTCTTCCTCACCACTTAGACTAATTCTCAGTACTTCTGCCACCCAGCCCCTACTTACAGCGGTGACAGCCGCAGGGAGGGTGGGGGATGGAGACTAGGGAAGGGAGGGCTCAAGGGGCAGGCGCAGGAGGCTCAGAAAAGCTGGCTTCTGCACTGCTCTGGGGTGGGCCCCTCCAGAGATGCCTATCCCTGGCCGAAGGTGAGAGGAGCTGCCCACACCAGCACAGAGCCACAGACTCGAGGGGCCCTTATGGGAGGGAAGCTGGTGTTTTGAAGCTGGTTCTGGTGGATGCACCACATACTTCTTTGGAGGGGTTGACTTGATGAGGGCAGAGGCCCTCAGATCCACCTAGCTGAACATTGAAAGGGCTTCAACCAACCCCTTGATTTCCCCAAAATATATCCTGCTGTCACCTTCTTAGGGGTGATGGTCAGCAACCCTCAGGGGTCAGAAAGGCTATGTGGGCATCTCCAAAGAGCAGTTCTGTTGTCCGCCCCCGGGTGTCACTGAGTCAAAGAGATGCAGAAATCAAAGTTCCCTCAGCCAGGGCAGTGCTTGCCCCACCATCCCTCCTCCTCCGGAGCCACAGGACCTGGTGTTTCTGGGTTGGCACAGCTGCCTGGCTCCAGGGAGCAGGCAAAAGGCCAGCAAAAGGACCAGAGCCCTTAAGGAGGAGTGGTAGAGGGCTACACCCCTGCATGGGCAGGGGCTTGCAGGATGCGCCTCTCCTTCCTCAAGGGCTAGCTGTTTCTTGGACCTGGGCAGCTTCGCCCAGCCTCGTGCTAGCAAACAAAATTCTTCGGCTGTTTACAATTTTCCACCCAAGGAGCCAAGATCAGCAAGTGCCTTCTGAGGCTTCCACCCACCTCCGCCGTACCCCCTGCTCACCCCCCAAATGCCTCCAATTCTGCAGGTCCAGGATACCAACCTCTCTTTCATCCCTAAGTCTATACTAGCAAATGGGGGTAGGACCCCTCCATTTTTCCCAAATCCTGGGGCTCAAACCCCAGCTGGGTCTCCTCTGGTCTACCTGAGCTCCTCATACTGTTCTTCCTCCTCCTTATGTATGTCTCCTCCCCTAAGCACAGGTAGGAGGATGCCCAAGGGTAGGTGTTCAAGTTTTCCCTGTCCCTAGAAAGGTCTCTGTATCCCCAGGCCCAGACCCAGGTCCTGACACTCATGCCATGACACAACACTGCAGGAGCAAAGGTCACAGTGGGGCTAAGGATCCTGGGCCTGGGTCTCAAAAGAATGGGACAAATCTCAGATGCAGTCCCCACTCCTGCCTGCACCCTGCCCAAGGGCCACCCCAGGGCATCTTTTCCCTGAGCATCGGTGGGCAGAGGCCTGCCTGGGTTCGTGTCCTGAGGTTGCCTGTCAGTGGCACAGCCTGCCAAGACCTTGGTTTCTCTTTTTTGAAAGAATTGAGATGCTGTGCCAGGCCCCAGCTCCTGCCCCCATAGCCTTCATCACCAGATGGCCTGCTCCCCACACCCTGCCTGGACTCTGGGTGGTGCAGCTGGGTTAGAATACCCATTTGAGGGAGGCTGCGCCAGCCCTCTCAGTGCCCAGCCAGGGCTGGATGGAGCCTTTTGGCCTCGTGTACACACCTTCTTTAACCATTAAGGCTGGTGGCTCCAAAATCACATTTCCCTGCTCTGGCCACGTGGGCACCAGGACATTCTGTCCGGAGGACTTAGGCGTGTGAGGGGGTGGGGATCAGGGCCCTAGGGAGGTCCCAGTCACCCCCAGGTCTCACCTGACGTCTAACTTCCCTGGGTCTCCACTACCCACTCTGTGGATGGTAGGACATTCTGTATTTGTCAGGGCACTTCCCCCACCCAGTCCTTTGCCTGGTCTCCATGTCCCCTGGGTCCCCCTGGCCCACCTTTTTGGAAAGATCAGCCCCTCTCCTCCTTGCCTGCTCCCCTTCCCTTCTGAGGGCCATGTCAGAGCTGAGGTGGAGGGGTTGAGGGAGGGGCCACTGGGAACCCTGGGCCTCTGGCTTCGACCCTCCCCCCAACCTGCTCCGCCCCTGCCCTCCGCCTCCTGCACATTCCTCCCGGGCTGAGGTCAGCCCCTTTGGGAGGGGGGAGCCCCCACCACAGCAGCCACATCACAGCTCTTCACTCACTCCTGTTTTCTTCATTGCCCAGCAGGGTGGGGTTGAGGAGAGGGGGCTGCGGGCGAGGGCGGGGCCTCCATTTCCAGAGGCAGCCGGGGAGGTGGGGGGGGGGGGGGGGGGGTGCAGGGAAGGCTGCAAAAGGGGATTGGGGCCGTTCTCTGTGCTCATTAATATGCATTAACCCACAGGCTGAATTCCCTTCTTCTGCTGGGGAAGGGTCTCCTGCCGTGCCCGGTGAAGCTCCCAGTGCCTTCCGTAGTGGTGGAGGGAGTGGGCACCTGCCCCAGACATCAGCCCCCTCAGTAGCTCAGAGAGGGGCAGGGCTGACTCCTGACAGTGCTGCTCTGCGGACTGTCCCTCTCAGCCTTCCCTAGAAGCTGCTTCAGTGGGCACTCCTGCTGCCTCCTCAGCTCTGGGCAGCCTGGGCATCCAGGCCTACTTCCTGGGAGGCCCTTCACTCTGCCTTCTTCCATCCTGACTCAAGGTCCAACCCTGTCCCCTGCCCTAGGCTGTGTTCCTAAGGCTGTCCATCCCCACCTCTCCCCTACTCCTCACCCTGTCATCCCTAACACAGCACTGAAGCCTGGAGCTTGACTAGCATTCACACCAGCCCTCCACAGTATTCCAGCTTCCCGTTTCTGAGGTGCATCAACTCTGCCTTTTCTAGTGCTTCACTTGCGTTGTACTCTGTAGCTGGAAGGCCCTCTCCCTGCCACCTGCTGGACTTTCTCAAACCAATCTGAGTGCAAGTACAAGTCACTCTGCAGGGCTGTGGGTTCTCCCCTGTGGAGAGCAGCTAGATATCATGCCCTGGGGATTCCTGCTATCCTGCTGGGGACAGGTACACAGAATAGGAGGCAGGGAAGAGCAGGCCCTGCAGGAAGACTTTCAACCTTCTGGGGTCTATTAAGCTCGTGGAGACTGAAGGGGAAGGGAGAACTCAGGCCTCTGCTTGACCCTGCTCCAGTACCTCCCCACTTCCATTCCCAGTGAGGTTTGACAGAGAGGTGATGGGAAGGACTGTCAAACTATGGTTTTTCTCTCCACCAGAATACTTATGGCTTCTTCTCTCCTGCACAAGGAGAAACCAAGGCAGATAGGAACACTAGCTTTGCTCTCAGAAACAGTTATCCATGACCTTGACCCTTGGGCATTGGTGCTATCATGTGACTGAGGAACTGAATGGCTAGCAGGCAGGAACACATATGCTGTCACACACAATTGTATATAAACTCCATCAGGGTAAAGGCCCTCTCTGGGTGGGTAATAGGGACTGCCTTCCATTACAGGAACCTGAGGAAGTTTTGGAAGAAAGCAAGACCCCATGTCAGGAATAAGAGTCCCTAAGATCTCTTTTAGGGCAATAGAGACAGGGACTGTTTCCTATAGGCCTGGACTCAAACCTCAACACGGAGGAGTAGTAGGTACAGTCCTGGCCCTGGCCTCCCTGACCCCAGAGTTGCTAGGCCCTGACTGGCCATGCCTGACTAAGCGGCTGGAGTCAGTGTTTTCCAGTTTTGGTGGTGGACTTGGCCCTTTGGCCTGGAGGAAAAAGAATGACTCCTAGCTAGGGCCCCTGAAAGGGTTGGGGGTGGGTTTTTGTATCCTAAGAGGAATATAGGGAGGTATTCCCTTAGCCTACAGTTTCACCAATTCGTCATCATTGTGCACCTGACATCTAGTCTTTCATTCATCTACTGAAGAGGGGTCTGAACTGGGAGAGCCGGAAAAAGGGCTGCCTGCTTGGCTTCTCCCCAAAGGGCTTCTCAACACCATCCCCACTTCTGGTTTTTGTTAGAACCTGTCTCTTTTTCTCTCTCAAGCTGTTTCTGCACCCCTAAAATGAGTTGAAAATATCAAGGCTGCCACCACATCAGTAGTCTGAGCAACTCTGTAGAGTGGGCTGGCCCTCTGAGAGGCTCAGTCTCAGGGCAGTCCTCACGGAGCAGCGAGAGGTCACCCCAAACTGCAGCAAGAGGTCACTCCATCCTGAGAGCTTGAGGTTTGTTTTGGGATCAGAAGCAAGTGTCCTCTGGCTCTGCTGTCTGAAAGGTCCAGAACCTGAAAGCTGCAGCTGCCCAGGTGTAGGAAGAGGAAAGTGGCCTATTCAGATTGGAAGAGCTCTTGGGGACACAGGGCCTGGGAGCCTTCCATCCTTAGATCCCTTCACACAGCTGTCGTCAGACTAAGCATGGCTGAGTTCCAGCCCAGGATAACTCCAGGCAGTGGGGGATCCCCAGGAGCTCATGGAGTCCCTCCAGTTAGGGGTACAAGGCACCTGGGCAGTCCTTCCCTACTTGCCCCTCTGTGTGGTTGGGAATTTCCCAACCACCAAAGACAAGGCAGAATTGAGAGGCCGCCCCCGCCAGGGCTGTAACAATGGAGCCTTATGCCCTAAATCTGAGTGTGGGGGTTGGAGGGCCAAGGGCAGGTGGGGGGGGGCTAGCTGTCTGCTTTTGCACCCAGGGAAACCCTGTTTGCCAGGACCCCACCCAGATCCCCTGCCCAGCCTGGCACAAGGTGGATACTGGCCAGAGCTTTTCATGGCCCACCCAGGGAGGGTGGCAGTGGGTGCACCAGGCAGACAATGCCAAGCCCTCAATGGTCCCTCTGTGCAGTGCTCCCTCCCAGGATGGAAGGAAGGAACTATCTCGGGCTCTCGCTTCCTGCTGGGCGGGCATCAAGGCTCAGGAGCTCCCTCCAGCACATCTGGGGCTCCTAGGGGGTCCAGAGCTGAGCTGACTTAAGGCGGGGCTCTTGAGTGGGGCTCAGGATCCTGTTCTCATGCCAGTAGGCCCTCGGAGGCACGGATAGCAGGAAGGGCCCGAGGAACTGGGGCGGGCACTGGGCTGGGGGGCGTTGATCTCCTTCCGATGGTTGCCGGCCACAGCCTCTCATCTCCTGCCAACATTGGGGCTGAGGCCTCAGGGGACCAGCAGGTGTGCGGGGGCGGGGTCCCAGGTCCCTGGTCCCGGCCCCACCCCTCCGCCATCCTGCCCTCCTCGCCTCTGCGGCGCCGACCCTGGCACGCCCCCGGTGCAGGCAGCTTTGTCCAGCCGCGGGCGCAGAGCCGCCGCCGCCCCACAAAGCTGCCTTTGTGCCCCGCGGCCTCTAAGGGACCCGGTGACGTCAGCCTTCGTGACCTGCCCGGGGAGGCGACGAGCAGGCCGCTGCGCCCCCTGGCGGCCGGACATCGAGGAGCAGGCCTTGGGGCCCCTTCCCAGTCTGGAAGTATTTCACTGCGCAAACTTGCAATTATTGTTATTCCACGTCCGCTGCCCATGGATTATGAATTGTCTTTGGCATTCAGTGTCCACCCCACCAGTAACTCCGCGTTCTTAGAACCTTAGCGCTCCAGAATACTCTCTAAGGCTGAAGTGAGGCTATTAAGTCTTGACACTTATCCACCCTTCACGTCCCATAATCTCACTCCCAGCCTGGTGTCTGACAAAACAAACATGCTTCAGGCAACATCTCAGATGGGGCAATGGGAGGATGTGCCAGGAGCTACAGTGTCACCTCAAACAATTCATGTCTCTGGGTCTAAAAATGTGTTCCTTCTACACTAGATGGTCTCAAGTGACGCAGTATTCCTTAAAAGAACAGCCTCGTAAGAAAGATGGATGTAAAAAAAAAAATTTTTTTTAAAAAGAACAGAAAAGAAAGATGGATGTCTAACTGCCCAAGTCAGGTCTGAAGACTATTCCAGAAACAGGACTGCAGAGATACTAGGTAATAGGCACATACCACCACCACCACTCCGAACCCCCCCGTGGTAGATACACACACACACACATCACATAAGCTGCCTAGCTTAAGTGAGAAAACGGAAGCTACAAGCATTGGGCTCAAGTACAGTCTGGAGCTGGGTACCAGAGGCCCTGTCACAGGTGAGGATTCCAGGACAGGACAGCTTGGCACATTGTAGCAGTCTCTGCCAAGGGGAGTGAAGAACACCCAAAAGTTCTTGGTAAGTTTTTTCTTTCTACATTTTATTATTTCAAACCAGGTGAACAATTCCATAAAACGTGAAAAAAGCAAGGAAGTGTTCAATGCTGAAGGGCCCGGGCCTAGGGTGAGGGCAGAAGGGGCCTGGCCCCTCAGCAGGCAGCGGCGGTTCCTAGGTTAGCGCTAAGGAGCTACATTTAGGTTAATGGAGCCAGGGCCCAGGGCCGCTGGGTGGGGCCCTCAGTGATGTTGGCAGTTGTCTGGAACAGCCCTTGGAACCCAATTCTGTGGAGGGCAGGGCAGGGGTGCTGTCCTCACAGGGGGACAGCCAGCAGAGGGATGGGTGTAAACACGCAGACACACTCAAGGCACGGAATCACTGGAGGGTCAGGGAGTGGGTGGGGGTGCTGGTCAGGACCTGACAGTTTTAAATAGTTTTTCTCTAAAAAGTTTTTTTTTCCTTTCCTTTCTTTTTTTAAAAAGCTACGAGAATGAGCAGGTGGACTGTGGTCTCCAGGAATGGTGGCGTCTCACAATTCTTGTGCTTTTTCCTTTGGGGCCTCCAAGCAGTTGGGGTTGGGAGGGAGGGGTAGGAGGCTCCCTGTAAACATCTGGACTTGGGCTGGGATGGGGGGCTGGTGTTGGGCAAAGCCAGGGGTCCCAGACTGGAGAAGTGGGTGCCCTTCCAGCCACAGGCCTTGGGAGACTCAAGCGTGTGCTCCAACTCCACCGCCCCCCATCACAGAATAAGACAATGGTTAAAAACCAGAACAAATGTCCAGGAAGGGGATATCATTCCTGGTACCTCAGACAAAGGCGGGCATCAAACAAGGTGGCCTGTGGCCACCCCTCCCCCAAGTCTTTGGAGCTGAGGGAGGGGGGTGAAGGGAGCCAAGAACAGAGAGTAAAGAAGGGAGAAGCGGCTGGGGGGCACAGGTGGGGAGCATGGTCCTCTTGCCCCCATCTTCTTTGGGGGGTTATGGAGAGCAGAGTCGGCAGTGGCCCTGGAGGTACCTGGAGGTAGGGGGATAGTCAGGACATGGGTGGGCCTCTTCTCCCACCTCACAGTCTGTCTAGACAATGACCCTCTCCTTTTTCCCCACCCACTGGTTACCAGGGACACAGTCGCTACCCAGGAGCCAGTTCTGTTGCTGGGTTACATGGAGGCGGGGAGTCTAGCCCTTGCAGAGCCATGCCCACCTCCACCAGGGCCAGTGGGGTGAGGCTCAGCCAAGGACCCTCAGACAGGCTGAGGAAAAGAAGTTTGAGATAAGCACAGAGCTGATCTCATTGAGGGGCAGACGGGTGAGCCCCTGTTCTGTCGGATGGGAGTGGAGTTCCTCGGAGCAAGGCTGGAGAAACCCTCTAGTCCTGCTCCAGGGATCAGCCACGCCCTTCTGTGGGGCCACAGGGCAGAATGAGGCCAGGTCTACCTCTACCACCTCCTCACTCTGGGCTCCCACTGTGTCCTTGCTCCAGGTTCACCACCCCACGTCCGGTTCTCTCCTAGCTGCTGGGCTCACCATCCTGCCAGGCCTCACTGCCCCTTAGAAGAGGCCGCAGTCCTTCAGGTTGTTCTTGATGATGACGTCGGTGACGGCATCAAACACAAACTGCACGTTCTTGGTGTCGGTGGCACACGTGAAGTGCGTGTAGATCTCCTTGGTGTCCTTGCGTTTGTTCAGGTCCTCAAACTTGCTCTGGATGTAGCTGGCTGCCTCGTCGTACTTGTTGGCCCCTGCGCGATGAGAAATGGCAAGGCTTTGTGCCACGTGTGGGGCTGGCAGGCCTCTGTTCCACGTGTACAGCAAAGGTCTATGTGTGTGAACTGACAAACACAAAATGTGAGCTTATGTGTGCCCAAGACGAACAGGGTGAGTGCACACGTGGGTCAGTGTGTGAGAAGGAGGATGCCCATGCGCATGATGCAACGTATAGGGTCCATGCTAGGCAAGCAAAAGAAAGCAGAAGTAATACGCCCTAAGCGCATGAATGACGTTGTCCCCCCAGAGACCAATCTGTGAGAGCAACTTGCAGTGACCCATCTGTCCCGCTGGGGGCACCTGCGAGCCACCTAGTCAATGTCTTGTGTGACAGGCACCGCCCCTCCCCAGAGGTCCCGTCCCCACACCTGTGTACTCTGGGAAGCAGATGGTCAGGGGGCTGTGTGTGATCTTCTCCTCAAACAGGTCCTTCTTGTTGAGGAAGAGGATGATGGACGTGTCCGTGAACCACTTGTTGTTGCAGATGCTGTCAAACAGCTTCATGCTTTCATGCATGCGGTTCTGAGGGCAGGGCAGGATGGTGAGCGCCAGCCACTGCCCCACCTGGCCCCCGCCACATCCCGTCCCGAGTCCCCTCACCATCTCCTCATCTTCAGCCAGCACCAGGTCATAGGCGCTCAAGGCCACGCAGAAGATGATGGCAGTGACGCCCTCAAAGCAGTGGATCCACTTTTTCCGCTCAGAGCGCTGACCCCCCACGTCAAACATCCTGTGGACAAAGGGCTGCCTTAGCTCCATGACCCATTTAGAACCCCTGACCCATTTTACAGGTGGAGAGATTGAGGACAGAGTAGAATTGTCCCTGCTGAGCCCTGGGTTCTGGGCTAGGCTATGCCTGGGCCCACAAGAAAAGGGGGCCTGGTCAGCAGGGCAGGCTGTAATCAAGCCAGGTCACAGCATGGCTGCTGATTCCCTGGGTGGTGAGGACATACTGTCCCCGAATGAGCTGCTGGCACCCACACAGCCCTGAAAAACCTGAGTGATGTTAAGGGGTCTGGGACAAGCTCCTCACTCTGAACAGCCACCAGCAGGTCCTAGACTGAAGGTCTCTCCTTCTGTCACCTTAAAGGATGACAGGCCCTGTCCCTCGACCTTCTGACATGCTCACTCACTTGAAGTGTAGGTCCTTGAAGGTGAAGTGCGTTTCCACGATGCCTGTGGTCTTCACTCGGGTCCGCAACACGTCCTGCTGTGTGGGGATGTAGTCGCTTTGTGCAATGCGCTCCAGGTCGTTCAGGTAGCTGGGGTGGAGGTGGGGAGCAGGTGGGGCGCAGTGGGTGAGCCAGGCCGCCTCAACAAGGCTCCTTCCTTGCTACCCTTCCACTTCCCAGAAACGGTCCTTGCTTTCGCAGTACCTCCACCAGAGTCAGAAGAGGAAACCTGGGCTCATCTGTCCCTTCCTTGGGAAGGGGCCTGGGAGGTGTGGCTCAACTGCCCCTGGCTATGGAAGGGGCCTGGGAGGTGTGGCTGTGTCCAGGCAGTTGGCCAGGCTGGCCTCGGACAGAATCCAGGGTGGCAGAGCTACAGGCAAGGGGAGTGTTGGGGGTAGGGTACAAATCAGTCTTCAGTGAGGGATTTGGGATGCTAATCGGTGCAATTACAGCACCCACTGCAGAGCAGCCGGGCACAGTCCCTTGATGTGGCACTGGACAAGCTGGGGCCTGCCAGGCCCAGTCGGCTCCCGGCCCAGCCAAATAAAATTTGGGCTCCTTAGGGAGGACACCGACACCTGCTTGGCGAGGGTCCCTGGGGCCCCTCATTACAGCTCCCTTCATTAGTATCAGTGCTGCCCGTACTGGGCCCTGGGACCAGCTGTACTGCCTCCCTCGGGATCACTGGTGGTTGGGCTGAGGTCTCCCAGCAGGTGGCCAGTGCCAAGTTCTCAATCAGGGGGCAGGGCTACTGAGGCCAGCCCTCAACTCCCTCCAGCAGCCAAGCCGAGGCAGGCCAGAGGGAAATGACCTCAGAGACGCAGGGACAGAAGAGAAAAACAGGAAGGGCCATGGGGGACTGTGACGCATGTGTCGTGACCTGCATAAAGTGTCCACCCCCTAAGTGGCCAGTGGATGCCACACCAGCAATCCCCTTTTTGCTAGCTGGCAGGCCTCCCTTAGGGGCTCCTGCCCATCACAGTCTTCCAGAACTGCTGTGAGGAGGGACTGGAATAGCCCTGCTCCCTGCAGGATTCTAATCTGTTGCCTGCTTGCGAGAGATTTCAACTCAGTTCGTTGCTACCAAGTCAGAACCAACTCATGGCTCACCCTCCGGCAAGTTTTCAGCTCTGGTGGCCTAGTGGGAAGAAGCTGTGCTGCCAACCAAAAGGTAGCAGGTTCAAATCCACCAGCTGCACCATAGGAGAAAGATGGGCAATATCCTCCTACGTAATTTACCGCCTCTGATGGGTTAGCTATGAGTTGGTTCTGACTTGACAGTTCAACAAATTGCACAGGAGACTGTCCATCTTTCCCTGAGAGTAGCTAGTGGATTTGAACCACCTGTCTTTGGGTTGGCGGTGGAAGCATAAACTTTATCAGGAAGACAGAATCCCCAGTGTGTGAACAGTGTTGAACACACAGTGAGTGAGTACTTAAAAGGGAAATGAAGAAGCAGCATGGTGGTGGTGTAGCAAGCGGTCTGGTGGTAGCAACGGCTGATGGGACCTGACTTCCAGGACCTGGTGACTGAGGCTCTGTGACAACAGGGAGGGACAGTGCTAAGACTTGGCAGGCATGTGACTAACTCATCAGTGCTCTCAGAAAGGCACTCAGGCCACATAGGAGGGCGAGAAGGCTCAGCCCAGCTCTGTAGGGTTTGTTTCATGTGACTGGGCAGGGCTCAGGAATCATGGCCAGGCAAGGGTGAGGCCTGCTACCCATCCAACTTCACCAGCATCTAGCCTGTCTCAGGGTGGGCTCAGGCTTGAACGGACAGAAGGAGCAAGAAGGGCCTTTCTTTTTTTTTTTTTTTAAGAAGGGCCTTTCGAGTCAAGAGACCTGAGCAGAGGTAGGAGAGGGATGTTATAAAATAGGAATGGCAGTTTTACTGGGAGGCACTGTCCGCAGCCAGTGTATGCCCCTCACAGCCCTGCAGCCACCCACCAGCCTGTCCTGTCCCCATGGGGTCTTCAGCACCCTGCTCCAGGCCTGGCCACAGAAGGCGCTATGAGAAAAGAGTTCAGAATGTAACTCTGTGGGTTGGGCCCAAAAGGTCCAGGCCTGTCACACCTTTGGGAGTCCGAGGAACCCCTGCCATTTCCCTCTTGAGTTCTGGGCTTGGTCCAGAGCCACTGAAGTCCATGGGCTCCAATCTGTATGCACATCTGTCACCTCCTATCCAACATCTCCCTCTACCTGTGTGTGACCCTCTCTCCCCAGGATGGGTGGTACCCCTGCACAGGAATCCCTTTGCCTGTGGCTAACTGTTGTCAGAGTTCAGCTAAGGCAGTCTCTCCTCTGGGCCACTGCCAATCCCCTAGATGCTCTCTCCCTCACTGTCACACCTGAGGACATCGCTGCTCTAGTCATTACTGAGTCCCTGGGGCTCTGCACAGGGTCTGGTACACAAGCAGAAGGAAATGACCTTTACAATGACTATCTCTAAGGACAGTTAAGATTCACTTGGTTTGGAAGGGACGTGCAATACAAACCATCCTGCATATCAATCCTCCTGGCCTTTCAATACCCTCACCTCCACAACCAAAAAATACCAAAGCTGTTGTTGACAGTCATCAACTTCATATAAATAAGGAGGATCTTTTTAGGAGTGCTAAGTCTAGCCTCTCCCCATCGTCCCACCCTACTCAGCCCCCTGGACACTCACTAAGCAGCCGAGTCGTTGAGCTGGTACTCCCGAGAGCGGCCGAAGCAGGCCTGCACACCATGGTCAGCCCAAAGTCTCCGGATGATGCCGGACAGGTCCTCCGGGAGCGTGCCATGCTCCTCGGCTGCGCAGGACAGAGCAAACAGCTGCCTGGCGTCGTCCTATGCACAGCAGGTGGGGGTCAGCCAGGTAGAGAACACACTGCCACCCCCTCCATGAGACACCTCTGGAATGGGGCCTAGGTTAGAAGATTTATTCCCAAGTCCCTCAAAGTAAGACTTGCCATGAAGACTTTTAGAAGGTGGAAGGGGACAGGAGGCATCCACATACCGCTCGGGAGGGATCAGCAAAGTCAATCTGCAGGTTGCCCATGGCCTTGACAATGGCCATGATGGACTGGATGGTGTTGCTGTAGACAACCGCCCGGTACTGCCGGCACTCCTCCTCCGAGTAGCCATCCTCATGGATGATCCTGGTAACCAGGAGTTGGGAGTTAGGGATGCACGTTGCCTGGGGCTGCTGGGGGCTGCTTTACAGAGGGGGATTCTTGGCCCTGATCCACAGGGACCTGAGGGTGGATGACAACCTCTCAGAAGGTGCTGGGCCCCACCAAGACTGGCTGGGCCGGCATTGGAGGCAGCAAGAACAGAGGAAATCAAAGTCTGGGGGATGACTCCCATGTTACGGCACTTACTTCATCTGCTTGACAATGGTACTCTTCCCGGACTCGCCAGCACCTGGAACAGAGGGCACAGTTGGTCAGGGAGCAGAATGAGCCAGGGCCACCAGTGGTCCAGGCTCCTATAACAATGGAGGCACAACTCACCCTCCCCATCAACCGCACAGTGAGATGAAGACAGCGGGGTTGTGGGCAGTGGGGCTACCAGTGGTGCAGCGAGCTGGGTACTGTGGTCAATACAACCTGGATCACCTGCACCCTGTGACAAACTCTTCCTAGGTCTTTGCCTGTCATGAGCTCTGCCATCCACTATGGCTCCCCACTACCCTGGTTGAGTTCAGGGACCTTGGCAGGAGACTTGAAGCCAGATCCACAGGAGCCACCTGCTGTCCTCACATATGTAGGCTCGCCGCACTGTGTGGCTGGTGTTTGCCTGGGGCACAGAGCTGCCCCGTGTACTCCAGCAGCCCCTCTCCTCCCTGCCTGCATTCCAGGCTGAAGCACAGCATCACAGTCTTTCCTCTAGGCCACAGCCTAGGTCTGCCTGGAGCAGATGGAGGGAGACCAGGACTTGGGAGACATGTGACGTTTCTCTCTCACACACACACACACACACACACACACACCACACACACACATACACACCCATCATCCTTGGCTGGCAGAGCCCCCACCCCATCTATTTCCCTGACCTGTTCTCTACCATGCTACCATTCTCTCCTGTGATTGTCACAGCAGCTCTACAATTAAGAAGTGTTTCTGCACCCACTTTTATCGAAGAGGACACTGAGGCTCAGGATTCAGAAGTGTAAGGGGACATGTGGGACCTGATGTCTCGGCCAGCTAGCTTGTTTCAAACTGTGGCTCAGATCCTACAAAACAAATGCCCTAGGTGTAAAAAAGAAAATTTCCAGGTCCTATCCAAGACATAGCCAGATCTCAAGGAAACTCAAGGAGGCTGTACAAGGAAGCATGAAGATCAAAAGAAACCAGTCATCTCTCTAAAGGGCAGGTAGCAGGGCGGGGGCAAGGCCTCACTTTTCTCTCTTTCACGACTTACTTCCTGTCCTGAGCTCCAGATTGAAGGACCTTACCTGGGTCCAGTAAGCCTTACTTACCTTAGCCAGTGCCCTGGCTGTTTCCCCCACTGTCCTATCACTGCCAGTCACATTAGCGGTAGGTACTGCCTCTTACCACCTACAGGCCTTGCCCAGGCTGTTCTCTTTGCTGGGCGTGCCTGCCCCCTTCATGTGTGTCCCTCTGAGCAGCTCAACCCTCACTAATGAGTTTGTCCTGAGTGGCTCGACAGGGAGCCTACAGGTGTACTATGCTTGGGGACTCTGGCCCCACTCCAGTACTCCTTAGAGCTAGTCTGCACACCGTCAGAGGATGAAGTAGCTAACATGACCAGCAACAACTGCAGGCGCAGGGAAGAGAAAAGGCAGTCAAAGTTGTGAACAGCACCCGCTAAGGGCTAGAACTTTTCTGCACCTATCACATCTGGTGGCTCAGTGTTAAGAAGTTGTGCTGCCAACTTAAAGGTACATGGTTCAGATCCACCAGCTGCTTCACAGGAGAAAAACTGGGCAATCTCCTCCCATGCAATTTATTGCCTCTGAAAACCCTCTGGAGGGTCGATGGTACTCAACAACAGCAATCACGGGAGGTCACTTCTATTCACACCACCATCTAACAAATGAGGAAGCTGAGGCATGAAGAGATCGAGCTTACACACTGGAAGCCGCCTCTGTGAGAAGCCCACCTGCCTGATCTGCGTGCCTCGTGCTGGGGCTTGGTCAGTCCTTGGCCCCAGCAGCACCTGCCATCGGCCTCACTCCCTGCTTTCCTGGGCGGCCTCCAGTCCCTGTCTGCAGTGTCCTCCAAACATCACCAGGTAGCTGGAATGATTGAGCTTCTGGCTTTCCAAGATACCAGAAAGTGTGCGTGGCACAAATGTGCCAATTCCAGGCAGGCCCTGAACAGGGACCGGTTAGGCCAGTGATCCCCTTGGTGTGTCCAGTGCCGGTGGCATATGAGGCACCAGGACCAGTGTGTGCCCCTGGGCATGAACTGGTCAGATGGCAGCATATCTTCCCTCCTCACTGGGCCCGACAGTGCAGAGGAATAGTCAAATGCCCTCATGCTAACTTTCCTGCCTGCTTCTCAGGGACATGGGGAGGTGACCCAGGAAAGCCTGACAGTCAGGTCACTGGGCTCATCAGCCAGGCCCAAAATACACATCAGGCCAGGGCAGGAGGGACAAGCAGAGGTTGTTGTTATTACCTACTCACTTTCCTATCTCGTATTTCCACAGAGAAGGAAGAAAGGAACGTACAGAGGAACTGAGGAAAAACCACGTTTAAGTCTCAGGCAGGGAAGAAAGTACTAAGGATGTGAGGTGCTACGTCAGATCATATCATCCTCAGCCAGACTTCAGAGAGGACAGCTGCCCAGGACACAGGGCAGCTGAGATCTAGGGTGAGTCTGCCCTCTCTTGGGTGGTTCTGGGATCCTTGCTCACCAGAGACTTCAGTTTCCCAGCCTGGCCAGTGGAGGTGGAGAGGATACCTGGCACTTTGGCCACCAAAGGTAGGTAGTGTGGGCATGGAGATATTGTCACAAACCTACTTTGCATATAATTTTCCTATGGCAGCAGACCTGGCAGGTCCTGAGACAGGCAGCACCCAGGCAAGACAGGATGGGCCAAGACATTTGCTTTATGTAATGAAGGTTCTGTTCCTGCTAAGCCTCAGTCTCCTCTCCTAAGGACCCTAAAATTCCAAGAGCGATGCAAACCCATGTTTATTGCTGCTTTGTTCACAACAGAAAAGAGTTGGAAACAGCCCAAGTAGCCATCAACAAACGAATGGATAGAGAGGCTATCCATTCCACACAACTGAATATTATGTAGCACTGAAAAACAAAGAACTCATGAAATATTATACAAAATGGGTGAAATATGATGAGTGAAATATCTCAGTCACAAAAAGACAAATATTGTATAATACGACTGTTATACAACAGGACTGACATGGGGGTTGGGGGAAAACTAAGAAAAGAGGGGATAAATAATATACACGACATTGAAATACACGAGGGAGAGAACTGTATAAAAGGAACATCTGATTAGGTATTATTGGCATGACAAGAGTCCAGAATAAGAGTTGCAAAGTAAAGGAGAGGGAACTGTATAACAATGAAAGAACCTTTTTCTCAAAGAGAAAAGCAAACTGGGGGGGGAGGGGAGGCAGGGAGGAAAATGTATAACAATGAATGAATGGAAATAAAAAAAAATATGCTCAAACCTGCTAATACCAAGTAAAGCATACATTTTCTTTTAAAAAAAAACAATTTTTTTAAATTATTTTTTTATGTGTGTGTGTGTACCGTCAAATTGGATCTGAGTGGTACAGGAGGAGTTGCCCCTCCTTCTCCGGCAGAGCATCTGGTGGATTCAAACCACATATCTCTGGGATTTCGGTGCAGCTTCTTGCCACTTGGCCACCAGAGCTCCCCTAAAGCACACATTTTCTAAAGAAAAAACAAAATTCCAAGAGCTAAGAGGACAGACTTGGCCTGGAGAAAGTGCAACCAGCTGCTCCTCAGAGGCCTGGAGGGTGAAACCTTGTCTCACGTACATTATGCCTGTTGTGAGGAGGGGCCAGTCCTTGGAAACAGGTATCATGCTTGGAAAAGTGGAGGAAAGAGAAGCAGGAAGAAAAAGAGAGGAAGACCCCCAACAAGATGCCCTGACACAGAGACTGTAACAAAGGGCTCAAGTACATTACAGATAACGAGGACGGCACAAAAGATTCAGATCCACCTCTCCCAGGGTCGCTATGAGTCATAGTCAACTCAACGGCATCTAACAACAAGAGGACATGGTCTCAGCACAGGTGACCACAGAGAGAGCACTATTTGACAGGTGGGCACACCAAGGCCATAGTGCGTTCAGCACTGGGTTCAAGCAGGCAGGAGGAAGATAAAGGTGTGGTGCTGGTGGCCAGGCAGGAAGCAGGCCTAGCCAAGCTTGGAACACCAGGGCAGAGTCGGGGGTATGGTCCCAGGCGGCTATGTCAGAGCGGCAGTCAGGGCACAGAGCTGGGCAGGGCCTTGGTGTCACACACTCAGGTAAGACGGGTGGGGCAGCAACCTCACTGCTCACGCCTCCAGCTGGGCTCCTCTTCCTTCCACGAGGCCCCACCTAGATCAGCTGGCAGTGGCTCAGGGTTCATTCACACCCTGCTGTTCCTGGGCACCCAGCTCCACTGGCTGGCTCCAGATTGTCACAAGAGCACTGCGTAGACATAATCCACCAACAAGAGGCAGTAGGAGTGAGCCTCCTGCCCACAGAGGCTCTCCCCAGGAGCTCCAGCGTTGGCCTCAGCACTACCACAGAGCCACACCTCTCCCTGTCCAGGAAGAAATCTCTGTAGCTCTTGTCCTGAAGCGCAGCTGCTGGACCCACGGCGGGCAGGCAGGAATCGCTGTGATCTGTTGGGTGGCAGCTGCTGCTCTGTGTTAAAACATCTGCTTCCACCTCAGGAGCACTGAGCCCCAGCAGTGGAGGGAACAGATGGGGAGACGCAAGCCAGGACCGCTTGCCATCTGAACAAGACCAGCGAGGACACTACAGAAAGAGACAAGGGGGCCGCAGGTTCTGTTGTTCATCTTACTCCTGACCCCAGCATTCAAGTCACTGCTGCCCATCTCTGAGATCTTCTTCTAGGCTTGGTCTTGCTACAAGACCCTGGCACACTGCTGTTTGCTCTGCTCTGCTCTGTAGAGGCTTC